CCTTAACCTCAGGCGCAAATAATTCCATTGTCACTATTGCGACGCGTTACTCGCTAACGCTCGTAACCCTTTTCGCAATAAAAGATCCTTAACCTTCAATTGATAAACTCTTATCACATCATCAATATACAAGAAGATGCTTGGCTTAAGGTGATGAGGGCATTCTGGAACGCACCCACACATTATTCAATAATCAAACTCTGATGTTGCATTCAGAATGGATGAATATGATGTGATTAATATGGTGGGATATCCTTCGCCTGTCCCCTTTCAAACTAACAAGAAACGCTCTGCCTCATCCTCTTACTCAAATATATCTGTATCCGTTCGCATTGTCTTTTGTAATTCTTCGTCTTCCCCAATCCAAGAGTCGCCTTCCCTCTCTTTCACCCATCGTTTAGGCCAACAGAATAGTAACCTACGATTACAAAATGCTGGTCTACTGTTTGCCTAGCAGAATTACAGAAAACCAACGAAGTACAATTACAAAAGATGGACAAGCAAGCTAATCAAATGATTGCTCTGCAACAGTCCTTCGACAGCGTAACGAAAGGTTTTTCAGCTGTTAACCACAATCACTAACAACTTCATCCAGATATTCGCTCCAACAAACTATAATGATGTCTAAATACATACGCTTTCAAGAACAGAAGTCCCAACTAAGTACATGGATATCGTTAACGACGCTCATAAAAACAATATCACGGTTGATCTTCGTCCTCACACTAACAATACTAACAAGAGTGACAATGCATACAGCTTTTAAATGTCCACATTGCTGCATTGACCAATCGACATGTTCATATATTATTAACAATACCCTCAGTTTTAAATGTTCACATTCAAACATTGACATTTCGACGTGTTCATTTGAAGATTGGCAATGTCCAGTTTTTAAATGTTCACATTCAATCGTTGAGATTCGACATGTTGACTTTACGATGCCATGTCAATTACGTTCTGATCTATGTACGCAAATCTATCTAGATACTGGTCCTTAGTTTCGGCTGTTTCTGGTTACGCGCGGTTTGCCTTAACTTTAAGGTCGGTTATATCATTCGGCTAGTGGTTGATTTCAGTTTGAATATGCCAATATTGGTGTGCAACACGCCATCAGCACCTTGACATTGCAAAATGAGACAGTATGTTTCGGTCATTTGAAGATCTCTCAATCTAAAGTCCTCATGTAATGTACCTACGCTATTGCCCATGTATAATCTCTTTCTGTAGTGGGTACTATAATCTTATTTTATAGAATCCAGAACCCTTTCCCAAATGTATAGATGAGCTTTTGCTCTCTTTTATGCACATGTATGTTTTTCCTTTACTGCCTTATTTTCTCTGAATCGCTTTTCATCGTTTACTTTACTTTGAAACGATGCTTTCTCCCTTTCGCTCTGTTGACTTGCCCAATTTAAGCGCTTGCCCTCTTTTCTCCTTTATTACTGTATCCATGCTATTTTGAAGTTGCTGCTCATAAATAGTTTGATGGTCAGAAGATGTATCAACCAATCCTTATTCAACGCAACATTCCCTAAAGCTGTACAGGAATATTCCCGTTTGGACTTACTGGCTGCTTGTTGTCTCTTCGCGATGTTAAAGCTACTCTCTTCTCACAGACACCAAATATCATTGTTTAGTAAGGTAAGGCCAATGCACTCAAACTTCAAAACTCACGATTTGACGAAAAGAGAGGTATGGATTCAATGTAGAGCAAGATGGCAAAGATTACTACAACGGCCATGATGATGATAAAGTTAATTGCGTCGATGAAAGCGCTTCACTTCCATAATCCGTCGTGACAGGAGGTAGCACCTATGCCATTCCTTACTCTGAAGCCTGTTCTATCATAGCTCTTAACGACCATTTGCCCTCTACCTCTGTTGCAATTGCTTCATTCCTTCCGCTGACGCTAGTTCCTTCGCCCTATCCAGCTCTGTCGTGTTATTTTCTGATGTATGCTCCACTACAGATATACCACCACTACCACGGATAGATTTGATCGAAATGCTCGGGTATGAAAGGGAAGTTGTAAGAAAGCTGGGTCAGAGGCTGCCTATTGGCGGTCAGTAGCAGATACGAGTTGTTGTTTGACGGTTCAATCGGGACAAACGCGATAGGGTCGGCATGCGACTGACCTTCAAGTTCCAGCAAGCTACGTATTTTTGAAGGATGCTCCGATATCCAATAGCTTTTCACTCTTGGGCTTGGTTGCGAAGGCTTAAGAATGTTTGGAATCTGGAAGTCATCCATGTCAGTACTGAAAGCAACCTCTAGTGTTTGAATCGTTTGCGCATTTTCGATGCAATCAAATCTGAAGGAATGAGGGATATAGGATTGGAAAGTGCGTTACAGAAGCCGCCACAGCACCTATTTGTTAGTACCGGGTTGATGATATCCTGTTACCAAGTAAGCTTGTTTCTTCTGCAGCATACGTCGTCATATACAAATTTTGAGACATCGAACATAAGCTCATCGTCTAATAGCGTAATGGAATCCCCAAACAATATATGCACAATCATCGGTCCGGCGTGTCACAAGTAAATGGTGCTAAGAGGCAGACCCTTCTATTACAATGTCAGGGATAAGGATTTGAGCCGAGATTGCGTATGATAGGTGCTGTAGAACACGTTATTCCGTATCAATTTCTCCACTTTGGCTATTACGAATCTGCCAATTTCGCACTTCAATATTTTAGTGATGTTGGTTCATTCGCGACCAGTAGTATAAGTGCCGATCTTCGAGATGGCGCCAGTCAGGAGCTGATCTAAATTCTTGATTTGAAGTCGGATACCAACGGGTGTTACTATACTATCAACAATTGCTGATTTAGTTAGAGCCACTTGAAAACTACTCTTTGAAAGTTCGCGTTTGCTCTGATGTCATTTGTGAAGTTACTTGAAAACGTGTCAATGTACTGGATCTAACGATGTCGTACTTGGTGAGCAATGAAGAAGCCATCCTCTATCATTTTGGTCAAGAAGATCATTACCTGCTTGAAATGAAAGTTTTCGCACTAATGTTATTTGATGATCAGAATGAAATGTGCACATCAAGAAAAAAGGTTACTAGGGTGGCGTACAACACAAATATACAGTATATTGATAGGAACACGGGATTGACCTTTCTTCCAAGCGAGCCAACAACTGAATAATGATTTATTGTTTCATTCTTCCTACATACTATGATTCCATCGAACAACATTCAAAATGCTGAGTGGCAAATTCATAAACATATTACTTGTTTAAACCTGATCATACAGAGTTGTGTATGCTTTGAAATATCAGACATATATCGACACGTAGAACTTTTGGGTTAGATAGGATGTTGAGGGCAAATACTCTATCTATTCGCTCCTGCAAATTGCAGAGAATAAAATTATGAATTCTTATACTCTTGAAGTCTTATTTTACAAAAGTTTATGAGAGTATCAAATTTTAGCTTTCGGATATCTTCTCACCCATTTATTTGGAATATAGTTATGAGATTTGAATCTTGAACTATGGCTCGATTATGTCTGAGGAGATTCATCGCCAGGCGAAACCACTTTCAGGGAGCAAAAAATGCCAATACTGGTGAACTCTTAGCAATTGCCAGAGTGATGTGAGCTGGATGATGTGATAGGCGTCGACGTTGACGATGATCGTTAGATTGACCGTTAATGTGAGAAAATGAGTTACGCTTCCAGAGCCACCCATTCAATGGCAGTTATGCTAAACAAAATCAGTATAAAGCGAGATTGGTGGCATGTCACATCTGGTTTTCAGCACGTTCATACCTGTAATGCGTAGTAACATTCAAACTCAGGCCACCCTGTAGCTGTGGACGGGAAGCTGCATATGGGAGTTTTTAAACACACAAATTGTGGTAATGGGTAATCCTATCGACTTATTGCTGACTCTCATACATATTATCATCTTGAATCGCTTGCATGGACTAAAGCTGAGCCTATAATACTGTGACATGGTCTATCTGATGATTGAATGAAGCCTTCCATCCACTACGAATACCTGGTGTTCACACCCATTTGTTTTCGTATCACAGAAGACCACTGTTACACTGATCTAAAAAATTTCTTCAGATGCACAGCACCCACCACATTTGCTTTTTCCTCTACCAACATTTTTTTAAGCAGGGCGGTGTATGCGACAGACAAGCATCATGATATCTGTCACGATAATCTTGGTATGCCTGGTGTATATTGCATCTGGTTCCACTCCTCCTCCAGCACGGTTGGCGACAAGTAAACTATTGTTTCCAGCATTATCTTGTAGAATCATCCCAGCACCAACTAAAAACATAATTTATCTGTTTTCGCCTATTAGGCTGCACTGTTGTAGGAACTAACATATATTGTTATGGAGGTGACAATAGAGTGAACGGTGTTGACGCAATACTATCTGATACCTGGGCACTAAGCATCGCGAACGACTTCGATTTGTCTAATCCGACGTGGACTAATAAGCCTTGGAATAACTTCCCATCGACTCCAAGAGCTTTTGGGACCATACATTCTCTCCTAGATGGCAGTTCGTTTTTATTGAATGGAGGTTTGACCTCCCCTGTTGGTTCAGCCGAGACTAATCAAACAATTGTTCATAACACGATTACAAATGAATGGAAAGCCATCAATAGCTCCTTGATAGCGCAAACGCTCAACCATCAAGGTGTCATTGATGCAAACGGCAAAATATGGTATTTTGGTGGGGTTAGGTAAGTAAGAACGATGAAGACCTGGTGCTAATCACCTTTGCTGAACTTATTGATGTTACTTTGTTGGGTGCTGGGTAATCTTGGGTTGTCAGTGACTCTGACACTGGCCGCAGCAACGTTTCATACTGGGAAGGATTGGCCGCTTTAGATACAAATGTAAGTACACCATATCAGGCTGAAAAGGACATGAGACGAAAACAAAAATCTTCGACCTTGAAGCGAATCCTGATGGAATTTTTACATAGACTTGGTTGTGGACTACCAGTAGGGGTACTACTGGAGGCTATCTTAACCCGCGGATTGGACACACCATGACAATTTTATCAAATGGCATCATTCAAATCATTGGGGGCAATGTAGCCACTTTGCTTTCGGGATTAGATTCACGTGGCTATCTTCAATGGAGACTTGATCTGGCACCTATGGGATCTGTTGCCGTATACGACACAGTCAAGGGAACCTGGACAACCAAAAGTGCCACTGGCACTATTCCTCCCCATCGAAATTTTCATAGTGCCACCCTAGGTATACTTACTGGTTTTATCTGAAAAAAAAAATTGTTGGGAGAATCTATAAACTGATCAACAATTATCTTTTCTAGCCCAAGACAGCAACACTATCATAGTTTTTGGTGGTTCAGGATGTAAGCTTCTGGATAGTGATAACCCGTTTTACCTAAGTTACGGAAGCTAACCATATATCTTAGCTGGCAACGGCTCCAGCCTGTTCAACGACCTTTATGCCTTGGATTCGAACAAGATGACTTGGACACATATAGATATCGGAAACGGCCCCAGCGCTCGATACGGACATAGCGGTGTGTATTGTTATTTTACAAAGACGCTTCAATCTCAGGCACTCAACGTTCGTCTTGACAGCTGTGCAAGTAAACGAAACCATGTTTATATTGTTCGGCATCAATGCATCCAATAGCAGTCTCAGTGATATATATGCCTTGGATACCGTAAATTGGATATGGGTCCAGCATTTCAGTGCGTCAGGCTATTCGCAGCAGGCTAACATGAGCTATCCCGCCGCCATAAATGGGACTTCTAGTACTTCTGAAAGCACTGACAGCAGTGGCGGTAACAGTCTTGGGGCTGGTCCAATTGCAGGTATAGCAGTTGGAGCCGTCTTGGTAGTTGTGAGTATTAATTTTATACTACAATCTTTGAAACCGGCTCTCATCAATTTTTTCAGGCTGTCATTGGTGCGGTTTATTTTATGCGACGCAGAAAGAGAAGTCGGCAAGATGATTTGGACGGTCTGCAAACAGAACTCGTGGAAAGCAATTTAGGAGATAAAAGTGCAGAGGGAAAAGCTCCCACACAAAAGGATTGGTATACTGCAACATTCAGAGGAACAGATACAACAGGATCTATACCGCCTGAATATCATTCACATATTGTCTCGTATAACGCAAAACCTAATGCTGTTGATGACCTCGCCATCAGTTCTCAAAGCAAACCTAATGAATACGACTAGTATTTTACCTGATCTTGCATATGCCATGTTCCATTGTTTCTCTGTATTACATTTCATCTATCTATCATTAAGTTTCACCATTCTAATTCTTAAAAAAGCGTAAAGTGTAACAGTAGCGTAACGTATCATTTACCTTCGTAATTTTATGCGTAAAATTTCCTTATTTTTGGAGTCACATATACCTGAGAGTAAAGTGAGCTTGAGTTGCTTCATGTATATATAAACGTATGTTCCTTCACTGCTAAATAATAGATACAACATCACCATCAACTAATTATGTGCTGTGGCAATTTTGGCTTGCGTCAATGTCTGTATAGAAAAGGCACTTTTGGGAAAATGTAAGATATCATGTCCGTTGGTCAAAATCAATAGCATCGTCGGGACCATTTTCAAAAATTAATAGAATCAGTCACTTATGGTATTTGTCAACAATGTAAAGCTGTATTGATAACGAGAATTGAGTCAAAGTTTTACTGAGAATCTAACACAAATTCCAATTTTGTACCGACAAATTGATAATGGTCTCAAAGAATACTGTGCTGATATTTATTCACACTCCAAAAAAAATCGTACAATATGAAGCTGGACCAATTATTTTCATATTAAAATCTGACAAGCAAGACGCTATCCGCGGATGCAAGCATCAACTTGTGACGGCTTTGGAAGATTGAAGTTAGGAAGTGTTTGCAACGGCGAACAAGCTATAGGAGCACCTTGATATAGGACTTGCACTACAGCCACTTTAGTGATATCAAGCGTCTTGTCGACACACCAAGCATCTGTTCCGCCGTTTCCATTGATTTGGAACGGTGGAGTATCAATATTGATGACCTCGCCCATAACATGCTTGCAGTCGTGACCGTTGCGAAATTCAATTTTGTAATCCTTATAAGTGGCAGTAGTATTCAGACCTTTCTTGATGTGAAAGTAGAGGAAGGACCCAGGCTTGTTTGCAACATCATTTTTAACCAGAACGGCTTCTCCATCTAGGTAAGAGTGAAAATGGATTTCAAAGATGCCAGCCATGGGAACTGCTTTTGAAGGTGCCGCGCATGCTAGAGCAAATATAGTGAAGGTAAAGATTATGAACGAAGCTGTTCTAATCATTGAATACGTTTGCTGTTTTTTATTTGAAATACATGGTAATATATAACTGATTGAAAATCGTGTACAAAGATATTCCTGGTACTCAATTACTGTTTGTTAGCTATTTTGGAATTTCAAGCATTGCTGCCCCTACAAACTACTACAGTTGACGATCTCGATGTCCTTTATTCTTTTTTCACATCGTCTTTTTGCGCTTTCTGAAAAGCAGGCTATATTATCCAAAGTCCCTTTGCTAATCAGAGCTTTTCTTCTTTTGCGTTTTGAAAGATAGCTATACAACGGCAGTTACCATACGGGATATAAATAGCTTTCATATCTCCAATTAGATGATGGCATAAACATACGTATTCATGTCTTATTTTTTGGGGATACCTGGATTACTGCGCACCACATGAACCACAATTTCTATCTCCCAAATGACGAGCATAAAATATAGCTTATATTTCAAGCTTCTCTCATTGAAAATAATCTCTGCTTGATTCGCTCAGTCTACCTTGTATATCTGAAATTTAATGTGCATTCAGTTCGAGGGGTTCTAGACTGACAAGATACACACGGTGCAGTCACATGCACCCTGCAAATCGAAGCAGGGGTATGAGAATTGGAGTGCATCCATCATCATGAGAACGAAGCATAACTGAAGCTGATGTTCTTTATACTATAATTATGCCTTCAGGTCAAGCCATGGGAAAAAGTACCGAGGTCTAAATGTATAAGAGCTATATTTGGTGTGCTTTATTGATTCAAATTGGCTATAATATTGAATAAAGGTATGCAAATTCTCCAGCTCAAGAAATGGTAGGCATCATTATCGTACACTATTGCATTTAGGGCTAGTGAAAGTTTTTTATTGGCGAATGCATGCGTCGACTTTTGAAGGATGTTTTATGTGAAAGTTGGGATCAGCTTCTAGAGTTGTACAAGTAACAATTTCGCCTTTGTAACGGACTCGAACCATACTGACAGTTGTAATATCGAGAGTCTTGTCAATGCACCAGCTATTTGTACCGCCGTGCTGATCGATTTTGAAGACAGGTTTGTCGTAGTTTACAATCGATCCTTGATTATGTTGACAGTGATGACCGTTTCGCAGTTCAATGGTATAATCCGCATAGCTTGCTTCCGGGTTCAGACCTTCCTTGATATGAAAATAGAAATAGGAACCGGGCTTGTTCGCAACGTCATTTCGTACAACAACAGCTTCGCCCAGAAGCTTTGAGTTGTGATTTATCTGAAAGGTGCCCGTCAATGCATCGCCCTTGGATGGAACAGCAGAGACAAAAGGAATGATTGTAAGTAGAAGCGAGGTCACGATAGTGGAAGGAAGCATAAGGTATGATATGGCCCTGAAAAGCTAGGGTCAGTTCTGGTACTTCTTATATAGATTGGAGAGGAGGGGATTCAAGAAGCACCTTTTATTTTTTGCTAGGGCCAGCTTCTAAATTTATGTAATATGTTTTAAGCGGGTACTTATTCTGCAAATATATGTGTCATGGCACAGTTGACCAATCTGGAAGTTTCTGCTTGATATTCCCTATGTTTATGTTATTTTAACGTTCAAGCTTGCATGTTTGGAAGCCAATAAATTTGACATAAACATTCAGAGAAGTAGTGGATGACATTGTCTTTATAGATGAGCTAATCGCTACTCTATAGTGCATGCAGCTTTGATGACATGGAGACAGAAGCCGATAATGATGAACACATACAATTTAAAGCTGAAGCGATTTTGAACAGGAAAGTGACATCGTTGAACTTTCATTGCAATCAGACCAGCAAATAGCAATGATGATGATCGTGATATGGTATAGGACCCCATACAAGTACCTTGTTTGGATATACAGCATGAGATAATGAAATTGCTCCCCTTAAACCAGAAAACATATCCTACTAAAGTTTTTCGGCTTCACATCAAAGTTCAACTTGCCTAATCTGGAAACACTCAAGGAAGAGTAAGTAAACGAATGTATGTTGAGGAGAAGACCTGGCAGCTGTAGACACTTTTTTATGTACCATTAAGGAGTTTGATGGATATTGTTTAATTTCAATAGGATTAGCAGTACCAGCAGTGTAAAATTCTTCATCCACAGTCTTCTTTGATCTTGCGCGGAAAAAGGACCGAACAGACGACGTACAGACGACGTACAGACAGCCAATTGAATAGTATTTTGATTAGGCGCTTGAGCAGGGCGAGAACATCAAACACTTGCATCTTTGATATTCATTAACATCAGCATGATGAGCAGTACACTAATTCATTCCAATTTAAAGCCGAACAACAAGGCTAAAGGTAATCAAAATCCTGTTATAAAACATCAAAATTATATCGTATTATTCCGTATACTTGTCAGGTTGCGTTGTCGAAGCACTGAAATTCGAATTTTTAATAATCGAAGCCTCATCTTGGCAAATCAATGATCAAATGCGTAATTTTTTCTGCTTTTACTTTCAATAAATTATTTGGGATTTCTTTTATAAATCCAAGTTTTACAGTAAATGAGGATCGAAATTAGATGATCTGGTCGCTCTAAACTTTTAGAGCGCCTCTAAGACGGGTAAACCACGGGCCATCTACGGCGCATTAAAGCGTCTTAAAATTTCTAAGGTCAGCGAACATCAAATGGAAGGTATAAAATCCAGCATTTTTTCTTCAATTAATTCATTATGTCTGCAACTACCAAGATTGCTCTAACAAATGTTAGAGTGTTCAATGGACAGAAAATACTGGATCCTGCGACAATCGTGATCGATGGTGAAATCATCGGATCCGACCCCACCGGTGCCGTAGAACAGGACTGTGAAGGCGCAATCTTGCTTCCTGGTCTGATAGATGCTCATATTCATTTGGGCAGTATCAAGGATCTAAAAAACATGAGCGTCTACGGTGTTACTACTGCACTCGACATGGCCACTTGGCCTTTGGAGCTACTGACTTCTTTGAGGAATCAAAAAGGCGTGACTGACATTCGGAGTAGTGGTATATCGGCCACTGGGCCAGGCAGCACCCATAGTTATTTGCTTCCAAAAGAAAGTGTAATAAGAACTGTCGATGAAGCTAAGCCGTTTGTCGCTAAACGCGTAGCTGAAGGTTCCGACTATATCAAGATCGTTTGCGACAAACCCGGTCCAGCGCAAGATGTTGTAAACACCTTGACTGCAGAAGCTCATCACCATGGTAAATTAGTCATTGCCCACGCTGCAACAGTTGCTCCTTTCGAAATGGCTCAGATTGCCGGGGTCGACATGATTACCCACATACCACTCGACAATGTTCTGCCAACAGGCTACGTAGATCGTATGGTTGCCGACAAGTGCATTTCCATTCCAACTTTGGCTATGATGGAAAGCATGGCCAAGCTCCGCCGACGGGCACGGTACGAATATGCACGCGATTCTGTCACCGCTCTGTACAAAGCTGGAGTACCTGTTTTAGCTGGAACGGATGCTAATTCAATTAAATTCTCACCTTTTAACGTGCGACATGGTGAAAGTTTACATCATGAACTGGAACTGTTGGTTGAAGCTGGATTATCAAATTTAGATGCCTTGAAGGCCGCCACCTCGTTACCCGCCCAATACTTTGGCCTTAATGATCGTGGTGTCATCGAACCTGGTCGACGAGCAGACTTAGTGCTTATTGCTGGTGATCCTCTCCAAGATATCTGTGCTACACGTTTGTTGAAGCGGATATGGTGTGCTGGTATCGAAGTCGAACCTATCAAGCCCGGAAGTGGCGGTTGTCTTATTATTTGATAGTACTCGCCTCAATTATTGTAATCTTACTGTGTAATTCGTATAACTTTTTTTAATACACTGGTATGTCATTCTGGGTAGCATTTACGAAATGGGTTGTGCACATATGCATTATATATGAATTGGATCCAGGTGCATCGATCAGCTGTGGCGTTGACTTTGGTGCACCCCCTACCCCACCTTCTTGTCAAAATATCTGTGATGAATTATTGATCTCACCAACTCTGAAAGCTACCAAGTTCTCTAGAGCACAGAAATATAATGGTCGGTTTGTCTGAGGTGAATACATTGTAACATCTCGCTGTAAAGTTTAGAAAACTTCTATCGGCTAAATACCGGGCCTTAATCGGCCCTTGATGGCAATACTATATAAAGGCTGCCGTTAGAAACTTATTGAAAGAAAGCCGGCCTTCTTCTCTATTTTCAAAGACAATCTATCATGAATGTCAGCACCAAGATCGCTTTGACGAATGTTAGAATATTTGATGGACAGAAGATACTGAATCCTACGACTGTTGTCATCGATGGTGATATCATTGGAATCGACCCCACCGATGCCGTAGAACAGGACTGTGAAGGAGCAATCTTGCTTCCAGGACTCATAGATGCTCACATTCATTTGAGTGGCATCCAGGATCTAAAAACCATGAGCGGCTTTGGTATTACAACCGCACTCGATATGGCTACCTGGCCTTTAGAATTACTGAATTCTTTGAGAAATCAAAAGGGCGTGACGGATATTCGAAGTGCTGGGTTTGCTGCCAGTGCCTCAGGTAGCACCCATAGCCGTTTTCTTCCCACTGAAAGTTTGGTCCAAAACACCGATGAAGCCAAACTATTCGTATCTAAACGTGTAGCTGAAGGTTCCGACTATATCAAGATTGTTTGCGATATACCTGGCCCAGAGCAAGATGTTGTAAACACCCTGACTGCAGAAGCTCATCGCCATGGCAAGTTGACCATTGCCCACGCTGCAACAGTTGCTCCTTTCGAAATGGCTCAGATTGCCAAGGTTGACATGATCACGCACGTACCACTTGACAATACTCTCCCGAAAGAATATGTAGATCGTATGGTTACCGACAAGTGCATTTCCGTTCCAACTTTGACTATGATGGAAGGCATTGCCAAATCTCGAGGAATAGGACGGTACGAAAATTCACGCGATGCAGTTACCGCTTTGTACAAAGCTGGAGCAATTATTCTAGCCGGTACTGATGCCAATTCAAATCCTCGCACACCTTTTAACGTTCGACATGGTGAAAGTCTGCATCATGAGCTGGAGTTGTTGGTCGAAGCTGGGTTATCAAATTTAGATGCCTTGAAGGCTGCCACTTCGTTACCCGCCCAATACTTTGGTCTTAACGATCGTGGTGTCATCGAACCTGGTCGACGAGCAGATTTGGTACTTATTGCTGGTGATCCTCTCCAAGATATCCGTGCCACACGCTTGTTGAAGCGGATATGGTGTGCTGGTATCGAAGTCGAACCTATCATGCCTGAAAGTAGTGTTTGACCCAATCCCTGACAATGTGCCATTCTAATTTATGGTAGCCGTAAATTATGAACCAAATAAAAAAAAAACTTGCATTTCTGCTCTCACTTGGGTAAACAGCGACGAACTCTTTGAATCCTCATTATACCATCGTCAGTGGCTCAAGAGCCTTAACAGTAAATAAATTCATTCTGAGAGAGGCTCTTCCGCAATTTCAGCCTGCTGCAAGGAGTTGCCAAAACTTAATGATGTTTACTTCACTTGCCTTCTACCCATCTTCAGTATTATGTATCGTTGAGAAGAAATCGAAAGTAGAAAATAATGCATTGTTAATAGGATTATAAATTTCAATTAAGTAATATGATATCGGTAAGAGATGACTACAGCTGCCGTTTAGGCATTTAAATCATGTGTATCTACGATCTTCTCTGCTGCTGCCTGACCGATCTGATAGGCTACAGATTGAGTATGTCCACTAATCGCAAGTGGACAGACACTCACATCTGCAACCCTGATATTTTGCATACCATGCAAGTTCATACTTGCATCGACACAAGCCATTGGATCATCAGCCTTTCCCATGGATACAGTACTACTAGCATGCCAAATAGACGAAATGAAACCCTTGATGTATTCCCAGATAGCTTCATCGGTATCATCTTCTGGTGCTAAAATGGGCTGAATGCAGTGTTTCTTCAATGAGGTTTCCTTAACCAGTCTTCTTGCCTCCCGAATGGCAGCAATCATGGAGAGTCGATCAAATGGATGACTTAGATAGTTAGGATCGATAATGGGTGGATCAAAGGGATTGGATGATTTCAAAGCGACTGATCCTCGAGATTCTGGGTGCAATAAAATAGCTCCCACGCAGAAGGAAGTGCTTTCTTCCCCAAAAACATGTCCTGGAGGATACGTTGGCCCATTGAAAGCAATTTCAACCATGGGAACGGTTGGCCTCTGTAAATAGGACTTTAATTGTTCGCTCAGAGATTTAAACTCTGGAGTATCGTACAGGTGGTCTTGCTTCAAGAAAGCAAGGCAAAGTGCTTTATAGTGGGTAGCTAAAGGGCCAGTGCGGTCGTTGTCCCATTGTTTTCGAGCATCTTCGTACTGGTCCATCTTGTGGATGAATGGCACACGCGATGACATGGCATTGTCCACTAAATCAGCAATAAAAACACCACAGTGGTCTTGCATATTTTTGCCGATGCCAGGAAGATCCTTGATGACGTTGATGTCAAGAGCTTCTAACTCCTTTGCGGGACCTACACCGGAGAGCAGCAATAATTTGGGGGTGTCGATTGCTCCAGCACTCAAAATGACTTCCTTGGAAGCATAAACTGAGAGTTTACCATTGATTTCAACACCAATGGCTTTTGTGCCTTCAAACAATATTTTGGTAGCTTGTGATTTTACCATAATTGTCAGATTTGGAGTATCTAACTGAATATGCGCCGAAGAACTGGTGGAACGCATTCCCTCATGTAAGGTTGAGACCGAGGGTCCAACACCAATGGGGTTTCCGCTATTAAGATCCAGATTTTTCTGCCAGCCTAGCTCATATGCAGCGTCCATCAATGCGGCTGTTTCCTCCTCAAATTGGATCGAAACACCCACAGTTCCGGTATTTTGATGATAGCTGGACCCAGGTTCAGCATAATTTTTATACTCTTCTCCATTGTTGCCTGTGAAATTTTCAATCTGGGAGTGCCCAAAATGCATCAATATTCGACCTGACAATATCTTTGAATGCGAAGTAACAAACCTTATGAAACCTCTTCAAAGCCGTATCCCAAGACCAATCATCACTTCCAACTAATTCGGCCCATTCATCGTAGTCACCAGCGGCACCGCGAGTGTATATCATAAAATTGATCATTGAACTTCCGCCCATGCCCTTTCCTCTTACATAAGGCACTACATTGTTATTTACTGCAACTTGCGGTGCTGTCAGGTACCCATGATCCAGATCCGGACGAGTAAAGAGGTTGAGATATCTGGCGTATGGCACCCTATGGTCCACGTCTCCATGATCACCAGTTTCAATAATAAGCACCGAAGGGTTTTTCTTGGAGGAAACAAGGCGGTTTGCAATCAAGCATCCAGCAGTTCCACCTAAAACGCATCAGAGTTATTTACAACTGTAAGTCAAATGAAAGTTGATAGTGACTTCAGTACCTCCTACTATAATAAAATCGTACGTGCTCGACATTCAAAAAGATTTTTCAGCGATGAAAATAATCTGGAGCTGGCCTTTATATACCCTAATACTCGCAGTAAGCAATTGACTGAGATTACTGCAGTTGAGTTTGCATGTGTCACTTTAATTGCTATGTGACCAAAATAATACGTCTAAGCGACATTTCTAAATGCAGAGATATAGTTTTTGGTGCCAGTACGCCAAGCGACCCTGTCCAACCACCAAATGCGATTTGATGTAACCATGTGTTGTCGATGCTGACCATTTCCGTTTAGAGAGGCGGTTCCCATCGTTTGCAAGCCTCATTCTCCAATGTGACCAAATATACCATGTTGACAAAGTTCCAGTATCCAACGATCAACAGGTGAAATCCTTCATATTTTGTATCGCCAACTTTTAACTCAAGGCTACATGACTTTGAAGTGAATTCCCACATTCATGCTCACTGCTTGGTGATGAAAATTTTGGCCTAGCGAAAGGAGGTTTAGAGAACAGTAAATTGACTCAAAGCCACAAACTTAGACTGAAAAGTCTATGATTACAATTCCAATAGATACTTCTTGGCTATAGTTACGTTTAGTGTTGGAAAATTTAGAAAATTACTTTGGTAACGGAGGTTTTCGACTGCTGCACATTCATATCAAGACCCAAACACTGCTGACAGCTTAATTTTGTTGCAAGGTATATGCTGAAAGTTTGTATTATGTGGCTGATGTTACATTTATTAGCGTCTCATAAGGGAAGAAAATATGAGATCAGCTAGCTGGGCTTACGCACCATTTTAACTGTTTTACAAGCGAACAAGTAACCTTATTCACGTCACAAACCGCTTCAGTCAAAAGAAGATTTAACCTTTTTAGATCAGTTCAATTTCACAAGTTGTCATTTCCACGACACAGGAGAGAAAACTAATATATGAGCGTCGATCATGCTTGGTTCAGGTAGACATACATAATGCACAAATGCTAAACCAAGTCCGCTCTTCCGCATGACTGTGTTCTAGCGATCCTTCGCTGACGTTCCGTGACAAGCTCGGTTTTTTGCTTATAAACCAAGCGGTGACATCTGGGTGGACAAACCAAAATCGATTGTACCGAATAGTCCAATAAGCTTGCAATGTCCATAGAATCAACGTTCAATGTCCCTATCAACACTATCGAGGTTTTGCATTTGTAAATATAACGGCCATTGTTTGCCGAGTATACTGAACTTGTTCATCAAGAGAGATGCTATGCGCTTGTAGCCTTGATTTGGGAGAAATGTAACTATTATCTCAAGATTATAGTGTTATCCTTGCTGAAGATGAGAATATAATCAAACTCTATTCCAAGTTCATTCCGCGCTGTGAAGAATTTCCGTTGTTCAAAAGATCTTAGTCAAAGTGACCGAGAAATCACCGAGACTGTACCGCACCGCAGTGAGTAGGGTCCGCCTATAAATTACGCATTGCTTCATGCCCCCATTTGTTTCAATTATAATTCTGTTCTTCAAATGCACTTGGTACCGAATTCAGAAGCGGATAGTCGACGTTGGTGGAAGGAAGGAACTGTATACCAGATCTATCCTTCAAGTTTTAAGGACTCTAATGGGGATGGAATAGGTGATATTCCAGGGATCATATCCAAACTTGATTACTTGAATGAACTTGGAATCAACATTATTTGGCTTTCTCCTCATTACAAGAGCCCACAAGTTGACATGGGCTATGACATCTCTGACTACAAGGATGTACATGCACCTTATGGAACTCTGCAAGATGTCAAAAACCTTATTGACGGTTGCCACAAGAGAAACATGAAACTGATTTTTGACTTGGTGATTAATCATACTTCGAGCGAGCATCCATGGTTTCAAGAGAGCAGAAAGTCGAAAGAGAGCGCCAAGAGAGATTGGTACATTTGGAGACCAGCAAAGTACGACGACCAAGGTAATCGAAAACCACCATGTAACTGGCGTAGCTTTTTTAACGGAAGCGCATGGCAATGGGACGAGCAATCTCAAGAATACTATCTTCACCTTTTTGCAACTGATCAGCCTGATCTCAACTGGGAGAATGAGAGCGTCCGGCAAGCTATTTACGATGAAGCCATGAAATTTTGGCTAGATCTAGGTGTTGACGGTTTCCGTGTAGATACGGTCAACATGTACAGCAAAGTCCTACCATTCAAAGATGCTCCTATCGAAGTTTCCACTGATGAGTTCCAGCCAGCGCAAATGCTATTCTGCAACGGGCCAAGAATGCACGAGTTTTTGACCGAAATGAATGACCAAGTTCTCTCAAATTACGACACAATGATGGTTGGAGAATTAGCTTCTACACCTGATCCAGAGCACGTATTAAAGTATGTGGGAGCAAGTGCAAAACAGCTTGATATGGTGTTCCAGATGGATATGATACACCTCGGGTTTGGTCCAAGCTACAAATACGATTTCCACCCATGGACTCTAATCCAACTGAAAGATGCATTGACAAAATGGCAGCAATTTATCATTGATAATGACGGCTGGACGACATCCTTTTTGGAAAATCATGATCAAGCCCGCTCTATCTCACGATTTGGATCAGACGACCCTCTTTACCGTAGTGTTTCCGGAAAAATGCTGGCTACCTTCTTGTGTACCTTGACGGGAACACTTTTCATTTACCAAGGTCAGGAAATCGGCATGATTAATCTGCCCAAGAGCTGGCCTATCGAAGAATACAAAGATATTGAATCAATCAACTATTACAACTACATTAAACGAAAAACAAATGCTGATCCTGCAGCAGTACGCTTAGCTTTCGAAAACATTGGAAAATTAGCTCGGGACCATTCCAGAAGCCCTTTCCAATGGGATGACACAGAACATGCTGGCTTCACAACAGGAACTCCGTGGATGAAAGTCAACGACGTCTACCCCGAAATCAACGCAAAGGCACAAGAGTGTGACCAAAACAGTGTTTTGTCATTTTGGAAAAAGGCTATCAAGTTCCGAAATACCTACAAGGACTATTGTGTTTACGGTGATTTTTATCTATGCGATTCAAAAAACACTTCCACAGTGACATATATCAAAGCATACAAATGTAACAAAATACTGGTAGTGCTCAACTTCACCAAGGACGTTCAGGATTTCATTATTCCGGCTGAAGTTACTGGAGAACTCGAGCTCATTTTCAACAACACAGAGTCAACTGACAGAGAGAGCTTATTGGCATTTGAAGCTAGAGTTTACCTCGTTAAATAGAGTAAAATGTATCTTTCACCTATAAGCGCTGTTTTTTCTCCAGACAGCCTAGACGTGAATAAATTTGTTCTTTCATCAGATTTCGGTGTGGTGTAAGGCTACATGGAGGATTTTGGCTTTTATGGAGGTAAACAATTTGTTGTTGTTTTGCAAATTTAGAGTGCAAAATTCACCCTTTTTTGAGGTCGTTCTTATCGATATTCTCATGTATAATGAATTGGTTGGATCCATTCTATTACAGATCTGAGCCTCGATGCGAACATGCCACAATATGATGCAAATTGATCGCCCGCCCGCTTCGAGTTGCTTGATACGAGCTAAAGAAACATAGTACATACGATCTATGCAGTAAAACATGTAAATGCGGCGGATATCGAGTTTTATCGGGATGGAATGCTGCAAGTGTCATGACTTCAAACACTCGGACATAAGGTTTTGGGAATAAAATGTGTAAACAATGTGTTCGTATCACCTCGGTATGAATACAGTGGAGCCTAGAAAGGTTAAGCAAATACTGGACGCTTAAATCTTTCTCCAATGCCGAGGTTGGTTACACGCCATGGCACTCTATGGCCTTAAACTGCATATTGGATGAATGGGACTTCAGACAAAGTCGGAAAAGACATGTGTGTGAAAGATTTTTTTTTTTATATAGTAAGATAATTACATTGTAAAAGACATCGTATGCTTCCCGAATAACGGCAGAATTTCTTTCGCTAAGAGCCGCGGGAACGTTTATCCACTGGTCATATTTACGGCCATTGCAGAGGCAGACGTTTCCAACTTTCCAGACTTACTATCATGGCCTGTTGTCGCACCGTCACTTTGAATATCCTTTAGCAGATCTTCAGCAAGTTGGGTCACAGATTCAGCGCGAGGCAGTTTGTTTCCATCTCGCCGTTTATTAGTACGGTTTCCTCTACGTCGGTTTCCAGCATCCAGATCACCAGCTCGCAATTTGTCTAGAAGGTTATCCATGAGATACTTGTCATCATCTTCCTTGCCTGTAGCACCGGCTGTGGGTTTCAAACATCATTAGCATATGTAGCTTTATGTTCACAAAATGTAAGAAGCTCTCACCTTCGCTGATATCTATTCCTTTGGTTTTCTTTCTCTCAGATATCCTCTCCTTTCGCTCCTTTTCCACCTGACGTGCCTTTTCAATTTGTTCGAGTTTCTTTTTAGCATTGACGTTATCGCCCATCGCCTTCTGCTCGGGTAAAATTTTGAATTGCTTAGTAAATGTGCACAATATAAGCAAAAATGAACACGTTGCTAAACACCAACCTCCCAACTAGATGTGAACGTTTTGAAGATGCCGAAAAACTCGTCTGGTTTCATCTCAGAAGCGTTTTCGCCAAAGAATGTAACGACATCTTTGTATGCAATATCCATAGACGTGTAGCGTACTTCCAGCTCATCAAATTTCTTAACAGCATCTTCTTGAAAGTCTTGTATGCATATGAAATAACGATCGTCAGGTGTCGATTTCTTCTCTTTCTTCAACTGATATCTTTTCACCTCTTCCAAGATCATTTGCAAGCCAGATCTCAGCTCATTGTATTCTTTGATCAAATCCGAAAGTGTCACTGTATCCTTCAGATTAGTCCAACTGACTGTACCAAAAAGTGCGGTATATGAGAGGATATTCACCTTTGCATGCGGCATCCATGCCTTTTAAATCGTCAAAAAAGCCATAAATACGAGGAAATTTGGATTCAACAATGTCCACCAAGAAGTGAAGTAACGTGGTATTATCTTTGGATCCCTTGGTATCCACCAACTTGTTGATACTAGAGATTTTGATACCAAATGCTCCACCTTGATAACCTGTTCCATTCAAGAAATTGCCCAACATCAAGATCAACTAGTTGAGATTTGTCAATGAGTTATAACAGATTTCAGATTGATAAAAAACATGTTTTCTCAAACAGCTTACGTTCAGAAGCTCCTGGAAGCACTTTGAATTCTTCAAATCTGTAGAGGCATTGGAAACGGCTTGCATGTTCTGTAGGATATACACTTAGTGCCCGTGCGATAACTTGGCGCTTCCTTGCAAGTTGCGGTGTAAAATCGAAACTCACCTCGCTAAGCTGAGCATGCTTATCTGGGAATATGCGCATGAACAGCATGTTTTGAATACGTTCCTTATACCGATCGATCTTCATCATCTACAAAAAGTATTGAGTTATCAATGTAGACATGCACCAAGGTTAGAAAATAAATCGTGTCATGATCTCTTACCTCCAAACAAAATTTGTCAGCGGGTGACAGACTGTCTAAATCTTCTTCACTAGCCGAGCTTGCAAAAACAGACAGCTTTCCCATTTCATCTGGAGTTGGCGCCAGGCTGATCATGTTTCGAAGCAGAATCTCCGAGCAGAAATCAAAGTCAACCGCCAAGATCTTATTCCGAACCTCATCAAAGGAGATACGCTTGAGTTTGGCAAGAAGAGCAATGTTGATATTATAGGACTTCTTGTTGTCAATAATACAGATTTCTGGTTTCTTCTCTTTTTTGACCACCTTCTTGGGTTCAAACACTTTTTGTGCAAACAAGTCTTCCGCAACATCGAATATACCCTTTTCCTTCATCTCTTTTTCAAGTGCAAGTTCGTCCACGGTTTTGTTTCCCCATACCGTCTTTGAAAGGACATTCTGGTTCATCTTTGTCCACTGCAGCGCTTTCGTCTTAACCTTGGATTGATTCATCATCATTTTACGTGTATTGATGTTAGGTGCAGTGGCTGCCCTTGGCATATTGAAGGCACCAGGCGGTGGAGGGGGAGGAGGGGGTGCGAAACCGGACGAACCTGGCGGAGGAGGTGGCGGCGGAGGGGGAGGCCCACCAGTACCTAAGGATCCTGGTGGAGGAGGTGGTGGTGGAGGTGGGGGAGGTGGCATAGCACCAACAGCACCAGGCGGTGGTGGAGGGGGAGGCGGAGGCGGTGGTTGATCGGCTTGCACAGTGAAATTACCCGGAGGAGGAGGAGGAGGAGGTGGTGGTGGTGGTGGGGCTACCGATGTTGGCATTGATGCATTGAAGCTCTGCATCGGAGGTGGGGGAGGCGGGGGAGGGGGGGGGATAGCTGTGTTGTTCATTGCCGGTGAGTCGGATGTTGTAAGATCGATATTCTCAGATCCTTTGCCTGTTAGCTTTTGTTGAAGAGCAGCAGCTAAATCACTTGTTGGGCGGCCTTCAGTGTCACCATCCACAATTTGAACTTCACCTTTGGAAAGCAATGTCTCGACTTGTTGCTTGAGATCCATTGGGAGTCTTCCAACTTCTTTCCTTTGCAGTTTGGATTTTCCTTCTGAGCCGCCTTCCTCATCCGTTTGTTTGGAACCTCGCCTTTCAAAGCTTTTTCCTCTCCTAGTCGAGCCAATCAATGGCGCAGTCCCAGGTATAACAAACGTTCCAGGTATACTTGAATGGAGTTGATTGGTCAAGGAATTCTTGAATTCTTCAGAAAGGCCAACAGCAGTTGGGATGGTTTCAGGATGAGTGTGATTTGGAGACAAGATGCTGCCCCCTGCATAGCCATCAAACTCTTGTCCTTCTAGACGATCCTGAGCTCGTAGCCGGTCATAGGCACGAATCAGCTCTTCTCTAGTCATAACAAACGAGCCAGTTCGACTGCCTGCTTCACTGATGTCTGCATTTGGATTTGCTTCAAGGACCGCTTGATGGAACGTTTTTAACCTTTCATCCATCCTAGCCAAGCTTTCTTGGTACTCCTGTTGGGACTCTGTCAACTTGGTTTGTAATATGGAAATGGTGTTTCGTGAGACTCTCAGTAAATCTTCCAAAGATGAAGTTTTCGCTTTCAGTTGGCTCACAACGCCATCTCCTTTCAAAGACATCTCTAATTCCAGCTTCTTCTTTTCCTTGAGGGTATTCTCATACAACTCTCTCGATTCCTTTGCTTCTTGCAGGGCCTTCTGCACTTGATCCTTTTCTGTAAACTTCTCGACAAGCTCCACTACTGACATGCCATAGCCAGATGAGATGTCCTCCGCAAGACCTTTGCGATCTAAGACGATTTGCGTGATTACTTTGTCGATGAGTTGGAAATAACGTGCTCTGAAATGGATAACGTTGGTATTGCAGTAAAAAAAAATGATGCATTTTTAAATATTACTCAAAACTAACCTATCCTCAACTCCATCCCTGATCAGTAGTAAATGCTGTATGGCACTGAGGAAAAAATCGTAGCTACGAGTTCCTTCTACGCTTGACAAAATGCATTCAAACACATCCCTTGGATCGCTCATGTTGTTGATCATTTGCTCGTTATACATTTCCATGATTTCTTCGTTGTCGTTATCAGCCATTTGGTGGAAGTTGTTGATATGCCGAGTGACTTGATCATTGTTGAACTCGGCCATCTTGTCCAATATTCGCTGAAGACCACATGCGTTCATTTGATTGCGTATATGTACTCTGATGTCCACATCTTCCACAACAGTGATGACGGAGTTGATAAGCATGAGGTTGGATATCTATGGTTTTTGTAAATTACCAGCGGGCAATTGTATCTAGATGGTGATCGAAATGCTTACCGTATATTCCGTTAGATGGTTATCTGCTGTTCCTTGCATACCCAACTTTCGAAAATCGTCGCTGGCACCGACTAGACTGCCCATTCTACCTCTTCCATCAATGGTTGTCTCTAATAGTTTGAACCATGGATCAAAGCGTCCAAAGTCTCTGGTTGTGTTCCGCAATTGCTCTAACCCTCGCAATACAATCTCTTGACCAGATGGAACCTCGCAGTAGCACATAAATACAAGAACTTCGCACACCAACTTCCTTGTTTGGATCGGCGGTGATAGTAGAGATTGCATACAGTTGTATATGCATTGTGGATTCATGAGTACTTCGCGAGCACCCCACTATTTAAAAATTTTTATATGGCATGTTAGTGTACGCCATCCTTAGAAACACATCATGATATGCTTTGACTTACCCTGTTGTTCAAAAGTGACTTGAAGCACTTAATAATTTCGATTTCCATTTGCAAATCTGTTTCTCTCCTGCACATAAGATATCGCAAATGTCAGTCATGAGAATACAGGTAAGCATACACGTTATACCAAATTTCCTCACTTTATCTGCCTTTTGTTCAAATTTGCCAGCACATTGGTTATCACTTGAAGTCCGCGAGCCTCAATAAAAGTGCGAACCCAGCTGCAGTGTATTTCAAAGTTAGTTCACACCCTACTAGATTGGTTTCATAGTCGTCCTACCCAAGCAAATTACAAGTACCTTAGAGGCATGGTTCTCAGACTGACCGCTAGATGCGCCAGGATCTTTGGGTTAATTCCCCGAAAGTCAGGTTCTAAAAACTGCTTGATGTAGTATTCAGGAGTTCCTTTGTCCAGCTCTTTGATTTCAGAAGCCGACTTCCTCGAAGATGTTGATATAGAAGCGGTTGGTCGGATAGTTACATTTGCATCGGCTTGTTTATCTTGCGACACCATTAACCACTTTTTATCTGCAGAAAATGATAACATAACACTCCGTGCTCCGAGATCATGTATTCCTCTTCTTGTAAGCATTTTTTCAAACAACTCCTCAACCTCTTGATCAGATGGGCGGACTGTGGAAAATTGCCCGTTCTCATCAGGTAGACCTTTGAACGATGAAGTATCTCCTATCAATGGTTATTGTGTTTAGCATTTTTGACACAACTACAAATGTAGCCTAAACGCGTGGCACAAGTCAAGCGTGACACGAAACATCCTAATAAGAGGAAACTAGTGTGTACCTGGTGACGTTGGAGCATCCAACGGCATAGAAGGTGGAAGTGAATGTGACCGTATAGAGGGAGTGACATGTTGAAGAGTCTGATGAGGTTCAGGAAGTAGACTCGCTTTATTGCGAGCCTTTCCACGACTGAATAGCTCCATTGCCAGTTGATGAAGAGGGCAAAAAGCTTAGCTTTAAAGGTTTTTTGCAGTCAGTCAACAATGTGGCTCTTTTTCCATTTTTTTGGGTCTGTGGTTGAAAATCTGGCTCCTTGTTCTCCACTCCTGGCAACCCTTTTCATATGGAAGAAGAATGAAGCGGAAGAACTCGCTTTTGCCAATGTATCAACAGCCGATGGCAGCAGCATCTCGCTTTCGCCTGTCGAAGCGTTCAACTTTGATTGCTGCTTTAGCTCTATTTTTATCTGCATCGCTGATCATCAATTACTTTGTGGTATTCACAAAACCATCGCATATTTCCTATGCCATTGCCGATCCCATACCAGATCCGCCTCACCCCACCTTGACTTCCCTCATTATGGTTCCAGGCCATGCTATATATCATGGGATAATGAATGAATCTGACTTAAACAATGACGAGGGCTGGACGCTGGAGGAATTTCAGAAAGGCGGCCAAATCAAGGTATTCATGAACCACATTAAGAAAAGCATAGAATTGCTGCAAGACGATGAGAAATCTCTACTTGTCATGTCTGGGTAAGTATTCATTTGTTGGATGACTGTGCACCGTCATTCCTACTGACTTTCTGATGTTAAGTGGAGAAACTCGACCGCTGGCAGGCCCGTTATCGGAAGCACAATCGTATTGGCAAATTGCGCAATATTATCTGTCAAAAACATCGTCGAGTGGCTCATTAGATAGAATAGCTACGGAGGAGCACGCAAGAGATTCAATGGAAAATTTGTTGTTCTCCATATGCCGGTTCTACGAGTTGACAGGCAACTACCCAGAGAAGATTACAGTCATTGGGTTTGAATTCAAAAAAGAGCGCTTCATTAATATTCATCGTGCAGCTCTGCGATACCCAATTGAGAGGTCAGTTGAAATGATTGACTCTTCGATTCTTGCTTCAATTTATTAACGCCATCTTTTTTGCTAGGTTCCATTATATTGGAATAGATCCTGAAGAGACACCCAAGGATGTGGCGAAAGGCGAAAACCAAAACTCTCTTGGTCCATTTGAACAAGATGTATATGGATGCCACGGTAGATTATGGCAGAAGAAATTGGATCGCAATCCATTCCGTAGACAGTAAGTAACATTTTGCATGCTTAATGCTTCCTGCCTTCCTGCTGACAAGTAAAAAATTTAAGGCATGCATATCGGCAAACTTGTCCCGCCTTGGCGCCATTAATGGGCTACTGTCCGACGAGCAGGACTGAAATTTTTCCAGGCACATTGCCGTGGTAGTGAACCTTCTTTTTGTTATATAGCCATTTAGCAATCAACCTGTACTTAATGTAATGCCAACAATCACAAAATTAACACGCAATGAATTTGAGCAATCCTTAAATGCTTTCGTGGAAACATCACACAGAGTAGCGCTTGCAGACCAGTGGCAGCTTAAGAAAGATCGATTTGTATGTAAGCAATCTTGATCTCACAGATTGACGTCTTTACTTATACAATGATGTTCTCAGGGTAAGCAAGTGTATATCACGAAGAAGCAGACGATTGTGTGCCAGACATCAAGTCGTCAAGCAGAGTGTTCCACCGACTTCGAGATTTGTGACGATGTCCCAGATATTGCAGAGTTAGAGTTAGCATCTCCCGATGCTGGTATCATATGTACGGAATACCATATTGTATACTCTACTACATACTGTGTTCCAGTACTATACTTCAATGCCTATTTTTCAGGTAACAATCATGGTATTTAGCACTACATTTGGATGATCGCTGAATTTTTTCATCACATTAGACGGTTCTTTTTTGAGCAGAAATGACCTGGAACAGCATGTCTTCAGCAAACTTCATGTGGAAGCACTGAGAACCAATTCGCTCATACAGCAAGGCGCGATTTCACAGCATGACCATCCTATCTTGGGGCAACCGTTTTTTTATGTCCATCCCTGTGATACTTCGGCTTTGATGGCACAACTACAGATTGAAAATGCGTTATCATATATCATCTCCTGGCTATCATTCTTTGGTCCACCAGTTGGTCTCTACATTGATCCGATTTATGTGCAAAAGGATTGGGTGAAAATAGGGTGATATGATTCATACTTTACAAACTATCTATCAACTTTTTGGCTTCTACTTCTGACAAACCGCAAATGTCGAGAGAGGTATTCCACAACCAACGCGAAACAGTCTTCTCTTCGACCTCTTCGGCTTCATCATTTAAGCCAATAGTGACTAGACCAATCGGTCGAGGCAGGCGATTCAACCAAAGTTCGCCCGTCACCGAACCAGCTGATTCATGCAGACATAGGTGCAGTGCGGTCAAAATACCTTCTCTTGGTGATAGCATAATATAGTTGAACAGATGTCGGAAAATCGAAAGGGTAAAAATGGTGGTATATTGGAACAGTGACGTTCTAACTGTTCCTGGGTGGCAGGCTAAGTGATTTTTGGTTAACAAGAATAAATCAAGTCTGATTTTTACTCAATGCCGACTTACAATTGATGGATATGGTGGGGTTGACTTCGTGGACAAGCTCAGCCAAGTGTTTCGTAAGGAGTGCTAAAGTCAATTTGCTCTGCGCATATGCAGCCAGTCCATCCCATCCATAGGATGCACGAAATTTGGATATATTGATGTGATTGAGAGCGTATAGAACGGAACTGGACGTAGTGACGACTCTTGAGTCTCTCTTAGACAGTAGGGGGAGAATGCTCAAGGTAAGAAGGAGAGTCGAAAATGCATTCTACAGTAGGAAATGCTTAGCTATCGGGGTTGATGGAAGGTACATCAGGTGTTCAGTAACACTTACAACTTGACTTTGTAGCTCTAAATCATCTTCTGTTCTTTTGAAGGGCGGATTCATAACTCCGGCATTATCTAATAATACACTGGTTAAAGTTGTATATCATTCCTGAAAGATTTTCCAGAAGCACTTACTGACGAAGACATTTATTTGGCGGCCGTCGAGAAGTTTTTTCAGTTTTTTGACGAACTCCCGGACTTCTTCAAAATTTGATAGCTCAAGCTTCAGACCAGATATTTGATCTTCATTAGCAGCGACAGCCGCTTTAATTCGCTGTACAGCGTGTTGTAATGGTCTCTCCGATCTGCCAGCTGAAAATGATCACTTAGCCCCCATTTCGTGCCAACTTTTGCCACCTTGCAATACAATTTCATAATGTACTCACTTATAATCACATCCATACCACTTTCCATTAGTGCCTTAGCCAATTCACATCCAATACCAGTATCGCCTCCCGTAATAACTGCTAAACGTTTGGTAGGGCTTTGCTTATCACGTGCTGACTCAATTAGATTTTTGATCTGGTCGTTCCTACTACCCTGATCATTAACGAAGATATATTTATGGATAGTGTTGATGATGCACTCGAAGACTCCCAGAAAGTACACTTTGATAAACACGGGTAGCCAGTTGGTTTGCGAACAGGAAAGATGTACGAAATCTACAAATTTCTCTTGCCATAACGAATGCGATTGTTCTTCAGACTTGTAATTAGAAAACATCCGTCGATTGTCTTCTTTGGCCAGGCGACTTTGATATCGCATATAGAAGAATAGCGAGACAGCAGCTATAGGCGGCGTCAGGCTTAATATTATATCCATGGTAGCTGAACAAGAGCTAGGAACAGGCAGTCACGGTCGAGCGACAAAGACGTTAAAATTGATGACGTCGACAAGGGAATTTTGTTTTCCTTGCTGCCTGCATTAACAACAATCAGCTCATAAATAACTTTCCCTCCTCATCCACACTACTCATTCATAATGCTCCGTGTCGCTCTCACTGGCGCTATCTCCCGTGCTACTGCTCGTTCTGCCATCGTTGCAGCTCCCCGCTCTGCTGGTAAGTTTCGTTGGCATACTTACCGGTTAAATTGAGCGTATTCTGATCATATGTCATCTAATGTTTGTTTTTTTTTTTTTTCATTGGTCGATTCAGTCGTTGCTCAACGTTTCTACTCCAGCGGACACGAAGAAGAGTCTTACGAATCATTCTCTGAACGCTATGTCAAGTTCTTCGATGGTGTTGATGATTTGTTCGAATTGCAGCGCGGTCTCAACAACTGCTTTGCCTACGATTTGGTTCCCTCCGTTGCTGTCATCGAAGCTGCATTGAAGGCTTCCCGCCGTGTCAACGACTTCCCCACCTCTGTCCGTATCTTTGAAGGTATCGAGGATAAGGTTGAGAACAAGAAGCAATACCAAGAGTACCTTGATGAATTGGCTCCTCTTCGCAAGGAGCTTGGTATTGAGACTAAGAACGAACTCGGATTTTAGAACCTATCAAATGTGAGGACGACATTAGAGATGATTTTTAATAAAAGTTGAAAGGTTATGTTTATACATTCAATGGCAAGATTTAAAGGTTACACGGGATGTTATGGAACGGCCAAGCATTCAACGTTGATCGGCAGAAAAGTGATCGGTTACATCCACTGTCAAAAGAGTTCAAGCAAGACACGTTGCTTCAGTTCTAACTATCTTCCCACTCAGTGGCCGTAGTCTTCCAGCTTTTGTAGTACCTTTCGATACCATCCACGGCACCAATGTGCTTCTGTTGGAAATCTAAAATATTCCCAACTTTGCTAATATCAAAAGGAGGTTTGTGCACACCCTTCCGAGTGGTTTTAAAAATGAAAATTCAACATACGGAATCTCACTTCCTGACGAGGAAGAGAAAGGTATCTACATGTTACAAAACTACAGTGCTTCTCTGGTTTGTATGCACGGGCCAGAAACGTGAATGTCGCAGTAAAATAAACGCTCAATCGAAATATGAATCAGGGATACTTATGCGTTGCTATAAAAAAGATGGAAGGGTCGCTACATATGGATGATGTATTACACTTTAATATTTTATCCTTCATTAGCTTTTGGACACTCATACGACATGAAATTGTTGTGCAATGCTTGGAAGCAAAAATTGTAATGTACCTAGAGTTGAGGTGACAGCTCGTGTCGTTGATGATAGACTTCAGTCCCATTCACGCTTCAGCTTGACTTCTGTTCTTGTATTTTTCTCCTTTATTGAAGTTATAGATTATCATTGCCTATGGAAGCGGCCAGTTCAACCCTTCATCACCACGGTACAGACCCTCTGCTACAATATTTTTTTATTTTGAAATTCGTCTCAGAAAAGTTCACAGTGCAATCGTCTTGAAAATATAAGAGGTCAACACCAGCCAGGCATGCTCCCATTGCCGCGCTCCCGTTAAGATGTGTTGCGTGGCCACCCAGCAGGACCCTTTCATGACGCCAGCTAATATCGTTGGAAACTACCACTTTGTACGCAGATGTACTAATAATCTATGTTATATAACTTGAAATAGGGATGTTAACGCAGCACGGTACATCGCCTTTTTGGGTATCCATTGGTCTACCAAGTGAATCGCCCAGATCCTTTCAACGCCTCCTTTCTCTATCCCCCAAGTGTGCAATTCGATGACGTCTTGCAAGCGGCTCTCGTTGCATAGGAGCTGTTTCGTAGAAAGTATTGTGTTTTTTGCAGTGGCACCTCTCTTCTTAAAATAAAATAGAAAGCAAAAAAAAAAAAAAACGCTGGTGATGATGGAGGATTTTCGTAACGCATAAAAAAAACCCCAAAATACTTAAAGCAGTGACTCCAAAAAATAAATACCAGGTGCATCCTTGCTTAATTATGCTACCAGCTCAACTCTCCATTCGACTACGACAGAGTTCACGCCCACTGGTCAGTGCCATCCTGAGTCGACAGCAACTTGATCCCCGCAGAACTGGCTTTGCTATTCGGAGATATGCGTCGGAAAAGGAATCTTCTAACCCACCTAATGCTCCCAAAGGATTCGATAACTTTTTTGGTAAAGACAAAGGAAAGAACTGGCAGAAGAAAGCTGCTGGAGGCGCAAACAATGCTAATAAGGGTAGCGGCAATTCCAATGGCCCTTCTAAACCACCACCGATTCCAGACCCCAAAACAAACCTGACCACCATGGTTCCTGCTCTGTTTGGTACATGGCTGGTATGGCGCATGATAGCTCCTCAAGAAAACGCTCGTGAAATGACTTGGCAAGATTTCCGCAATGCGTTTCTGGACAAAGGTTTGGTGGAGCGGTTAGAAGTCATCAATCGCAATCGAGTGAGAGTTCATCTTCGTCCTGAAGCACAGTCCATCCAAGGCGTATCACCTTACGTCACTTATTACTTCAGCATCGGTTCAATTGATGCCTTTGAACGAAAACTGGATGAAGCTCAGTCGGAGCTCGACATCCCACCGTCAGAGCGCATTCCTGTCGCCTACAAAGACGAAGTCAGTGTCGCCAGTTTGGTGCTAAATGTGGCTCCGACACTCTTGATGATCGGGTTTCTCGTTTACATGACAAGAAGAGCTGGATCAGCTGGAGGAGGTTCCCAAGGTATATTCGGTATAGGCAAGAGCAAGGCGAAAATGTTCAATCAAGAGAGTGAAGTAAGCATCAAGTTTAAGGACGTAGCTGGTGCAGACGAAGCCAAAGAAGAAATCATGGAATTTGTAAAATTTCTCAAGAACCCTGTGCAGTATGAGCGATTGGGTGCCAAGATTCCAAAAGGTGCTATTTTGTCTGGCCCTCCGGGAACTGGAAAGACTTTATTAGCCAAGGCTACAGCTGGCGAGGCAGGTGTTCCATTCTTTAGCGTCTCAGGTTCAGAATTTGTAGAGATGTTTGTAGGTGTTGGTCCTTCCCGCGTGCGAGACTTATTTGCAACCGCCAAAAAGCATGCACCCTGCATCATATTTGTTGACGAAATTGATGCCATTGGAAAAGCCAGAGGAAAAAGTGGACAATTTGGCGGAAACGATGAACGCGAAAGCACTTTGAATCAGCTATTGGTAGAAATGGACGGATTCGATTCCAACGAACATGTTGTCGTTTTAGCAGGCACTAATCGACCCGACGTATTGGACCCAGCATTGATGCGACCTGGACGTTTTGATCGACATATTGCAATTGATCGACCGGATATTAAGGGACGAGCTCAGATTTTCCTCGTTCATCTTCGACCCATCAAGACTAAGGCAGTACTTCAAACCCTTTCTAACAAATTGGCAGCGCTAACTCCAGGCTTTTCTGGCGCTGATATTCACAACGTTTGCAATGAAGCAGCGCTTATCGCGGCAAGACACCAGAAAGATGAAGTCACCGACGAAGATTTTGAAAGCGCTATTGAGAGAGTTATAGCTGGCCTGGAAAAGAAATCTCGCGTATTGTCGCCTGAAGAAAAGAAAATCGTAGCTTATCATGAAGCTGGCCATGCCATTGCTGGATGGTATCTCGAATATGCCGATCCCCTTCTGAAAGTGTCCATTATTCCTCGTGGTGTAGCAGCTCTTGGCTACGCACAGTATTTACCGAAAGACCAATATCTATATTCGATAAAGCAGCTCATGGATCGAATGTGCATGACTCTTGGTGGGCGAGTTTCTGAGCACCTGTTCTTCGATACCATCACAACAGGTAGGAGACAAGTTCATGGTTTATTGGATTGTGTAGATGCATTGGAGTAACAGCGCTGACTTAATTTAATTTTTTACACGTTAGGTGCGCAAGACGATCTTGCGAAAGTCACTAGGCAAGCATACGGCCAAGTGGCTACTTATGGTATGAATGAAAAAGTGGGGCCCATTTCGTATCAAGACCCCAATTCAGAAGAGCGATTCCAAAAGCCTTACTCAGAGGCTACTGGTACACTCATTGATGCCGAGGTGCGCAAACTGGTCAATGAAGCATTTGATCGAACTTTCAAGCTTTTGACGGAGAAGAAGGATGACATTGAAAAGGTGGCTCAGTTATTGCTAACAAAAGAGGTGATCACGCGCGAAGATATGGAAAACCTTCTTGGAAAGCGTCCCTTCAAGGAGCGAACTGTGTATGATGAATACGTTCGACCTTCACAGGTATGTCACAACTTTTTGAGTATGATCTGATTGCTCAGCATAATATTGATATAACACTGTAAACATAGACAATCACTCCTCCACCATTTGAAGAAGGACCTATTCCTCCTCGAGATACTCCTTGAATCTACAGATTCCACATTTCATGCACACGTGTAATCTTTATAAGATAGTGGTTCGAACAATTGTAAATACAAATACGCGTTGGAAGCGCCAGCGTTATCGAAATTTGTTGAGACTGCTTTTTTCGTGTGCGTTTCTGTTATTTCTTTTGCAAAAAAATCTCAGGTCGGTAACTGTGGATTTGCAAGGTCAGACCGTCATGAGCACGAGCAAGCAACCGCAATTTGCCAACCAGGCAAGTCTCAAGCAAGCACTTTTTGCCGGAGCGATTGCTGGTACTGCTGTCGATACTGCTCTCTTTCCTCTTGGTAAGAATAATGGTCGACCAAAGCGCAATCGCAACTGCAATCCATACTCACTGTTGCCCCTTGACGTTCAATTTCATAGATACTGTGAAGACAAGACTTCAATCGCAAGCAGGATTCGTTGCTTCGGGAGGATTTAAAGGCGTCTACGCTGGCTTGCTATCTGCCGTCATTGGCAGTGCACCTAATGGTATGTCATATGTAAACTGGGTACAACCGTGACCTATACTATGATAGATGGGAGAGATATCGAGAATTCCTTACTTAACCATGATTCATCGCAGCTTCCTTGTTCTTCGTCACCTATGAGGCATCAAAGCGTCTCTTAAGCGCCTCATTCGGTACCGACAGATATACTCCTTTGGTTCATATGCTTGCTGCATCGTTTGGTGAAATTGTATGTATCCAATTCACACCGGCTCGGTACATTGGATAAACTGAACGGGCATTAACCACTTTGTTTGTTCCTTATAGTCTGCTTGTACCATCCGGGTACCCACTGAAGTTATCAAACAACGAATGCAAACCAAACAGTTTACTGCCACTTCGGCTGCCGTCTCCAGTGTCATTAAAACCGAAGGCCTGTTAGGATTCTACCGAGGTTTTCTATCCACAGTGGCGCGTGAAATTCCTTTTACTTGTATACAATTCCCTATCTACGAGTACTTTAAGCGTTCCTATGCTCAGAGCCAGGGACGTCGTACTGAGCCTTTCGAAGCAGCGATATGCGGTTCCATTGCTGGTGGTATTGCAGCTGCCATCACTACTCCTTTGGACGTATGCAAAACTAGAATTATGCTTTCACACAAGGTATGTGCAGACCCTGATGCAAACTCGGATAGACGCAGCTCAAAGATTCATTACTAACCCTCGTCCTAATCATGATAGAATCACGCTGTCAAACCTTACACTGGCATTATATCCACCTTACAGAGAATTAGAGCTGAAGAAGGTGGCCGTGCCTTATTAGCTGGTATTGGACCTCGTGTGCTGTGGATATCTATCGGTGGATGTATCTTTTTGGGCATGTACGAAAAGGCAGTCAAGACCTTTGTCGAGAACCAAATGTTGAACGAGAGATAACCAATGCCTGCCTACCATCATAGAAAAAGTTTCGTCTTGTACCATATTTCCGTGAACCCCCCCTCTATAAAAAAATATAATAGAAGTTTTATTTTCGTAGATGAAGTTCCTAAGGCAGTTTACTGTGATGATTGTCGCTAGAAAATGGAAATTCAAGTACGGGGTTTCAAAGGAAAGTTGTTGCTCTTCAACCTATTTGTGCTGGTGCTGCATTGTCACAATTGCCAGCATATTTAATGACAAAGCTATTTGATTGTATTGCGGACTATTGCTACGCATTAGTACAAGCGTCGAGGAAGGAGGTCAATAGCTGGACTTATGAGGTCCTTCAAAGAAACATTCAGCTGGCAGTCTATGTGGAATGCGAAATGGCTGTCTTGGAGGATAGCGACATAGAAGCCGCTCAAGAAGAAGCGTCTAGGTATAACAGAAGAGTTAGCGATCTCACCACGGGGATGCTGAGAGACGCTCACCATACACTTTACAAGGCTTTAATTGGCAGTCCCTATCTGAGCAATGACATGTTTTGGCGAATAGTACAGACGTATCGGTTTCTCAATCGTCCCGACGAAACATGCGAGGAAACACTGATTCAGGTTTAAGAAGAAATTTTGTCATATAGTGCATTGCCTTTGAAATACTTCCTCTAACTGATGGTTATTGACATAGGATATGTGCGCAAGGAGCCAAGAAGGCCATATACAACATAACTTGGAAAAAATGTTGAAGGTGATGAAATCGCCTTGATAGCATGAAAGCGGTTTCATTGGATTGTAAATAGATTGTACTTTAGCTTTATTAGAAGTAATGGTGCAGTTCAAGGGAAAAGAAGTCTGGTCAGATGAACGGGCGCGCGGATGAGAAGCGTTTCGTGAGATTGGGCAAACCAAAAAATTCGCGCGTAAAAATTTCCTGCAGAATGGAAAAATAAAGAAGGGCTGATTGAAATTTTTGGCCAAAACACGCTTCGTTTCTCCAACCAGGTCTATAAAGCGTCATTAGTGAAGCAGAATCAAAATTCACCATGGACGCAACTACGCCTAAGCGTCCGCAACAGCCACAGATCTACAAAGCAACCTATTCAGGTGTGCCAGTGTATGAAATGCAATGCAAAGGCATAGCGGTAATGCGAAGGAAGGCCGACGCCTACTTGAATGCTACGCAAATTCTTAAGGTTGCCAACTTTGATAAGCCTCAAAGAACGCGAATATTGGAACGAGAAGTTCAGAAAGGACAGCATGAAAAAATCCAAGGTGGTTATGGAAAATACCAAGGTAGGCTGTCGATTGACTGGCATATTTTTACATCATTTGCATTGATTTTCTTACTCTATGATTGATAGGAACATGGGTGCCATTTGAAAGAGGAGTAGCTCTCGCTCGACAATACAAAGTTGACCAAATTCTACAACTTATTATCGACTTTGTACCGGGTGATACCTCCCCACCTTTGGCGCCGAAGCATGTTACAGCTGCCCATTCCAAGCCACGTAAGCCAAAGGAGCCAAAAGCGCCGAAGGAGCCTAAAGAGCCTAGAGAACCTCGAAAACGTAGACCAAAGACACTGTGGGAGTCACACCACTCTGATGTCGAAGGCTCTTCTCAAAATAGCGATGGCGGCGAAAGTGATACTTCACGTCACATGGCGGTCGACCGACTGGGAACGCGAACTCCGTCTCCACTATCGCGACAAGGTCGTTCAGATGATGAGTTAGGTTACAAGAAGAAGCGACCTTCATCCCAAAATCATGCATCACAACTACTTTCTCCTTCTTATCGGCCCGGCAGTCAGCGGAGTTCGCAACACCAGCATCGCCAGCAAGCCAAGCGTAGAAAAGTGCTGGAGGCCGAATACCTCCATCCGGGCAGTGTTGATGATATGGATGAGGACGATCAACCATCCTTATATGCTCAACAGCTTTTGGATTATTTTGTCTCCAACTCCGATGAAGTACCTGATATCTTGACCCATCCTCCAGAGGATTTCGATATCGATGTCATTGTCGATGAGGAAGGTCACACAAGTTTACACTGGGCCGCTGCCATGGGAAGGTTGAACGTTGTGCATTTGCTCATTTCCCAAGGCGCTGACATCTTTCGAGTCAATTATCGTGGACAAACTGCACTTATGCGAGCCGTCTTATTCACCAACAACTTTGATGCGAAATCCTTTGGTACGCTACTGGACCTCTTGCAAAAAACTATCTTCAATATTGACAAGAATGATCAAACTGTCTTTCATCATATTGCAAGCACAGCTGGCTGGCGGGGAAAAGTGCATGCTTCACGTTATTATATGGAATGTTTGATCGCCAAGTTGTCCAGTAATCGACATGAACTAGTAGCGCTACTCAACGTACAAGATGTTTACGGTGATACTGCTTTGACCATCGCATCTAGAATCGCCAATAAGAAACTTGTCAAACTGCTCTTGGATGCCGGTGCCTCACCAGATATTGTCAATGAAGATGGAAAAGCTGCTCAAGATTACATTGTGGAGATCGAACAGAAAAGCCGACGCGATAAAGCACTCTTGGGTGCTGCGCTGAGTGATGGAGAAGCTGGATCAACCAAGAGTTTCAAGCGTAATGTTGCCGCTGTCCTTGGCCAGGCTATCAATCAAACGAAGGTTGTACCGACGGTGACCAAACTATTTGATGAGTTATCAACAAGTTACGAAAAGGACATTCTCGACAAGGAGCAAGACTTACGAGAGGCTAAACAGATGCAACGAAGTATCAAACGAGAATTGATAGAAGTCCGGTCCAAATTACACAACGTCAACAGCAAAGCAGATGTATTGACAGAGGCCGAAAACAAAGTTGATACCCTTCAATCTCAGTTATACCGATTGATTGAACAAAGCCAAAAGACCAAACTACACAAGTTGCTGGCAGAACAAGAGGCCCTCCCGCAAGAGCAGCTTAAACCACCCACTCCACCTTTGGCTCAAATTGATGATGAATCATCAGCCAGCTCAGAACTTATCCATAACGAATCCGGAAGCGAATCCAAACAGCCTGATCATGAATTGGAGAAGGCTGTAGAACGATTGCATATCGAGTTGAAGGAATTACAAATGAAGCGAAAGTCACTAGTCAAGGAGATAAGCTACCGTCGAGCAAGTCCTGCCAGTGAACGTCATCAGGACTACAAACGACTGATCGCGTTATGCTGTGGAGTAGAGTACGACAATGTCGATCAGCTGCTCCATCCTCTTCTAGAAGCTCTTGAAACGGGTGACTCGCCTCAACCCTAATTTTTCTCATCGGTTCGTAACTTCTGTTTCATAACAATGTAATGTACGCTTCTTTATCCATTGCATTTCTTTCAAATCAGTACTTAAACTTGAACTGTACGTCATGACAGTTCGTTCCCCCTTACTTCAATTGTAATATATCGTTGCTCTACAAACTATAACCCCACTACCCTTCAAATAGTAACTTTTTCTTTTATTCTTTTTTTTTTGTTTCTTTCATAATAGTGAATACAGCTACCATTTTGTTTCAACACACCAACCGGTTCCTTTACATTGTAACATCCAAATTTATTAAGCAACAACTTGTGTTGCGCGAGTGGAATGACAGATGAAAATAATGAGGTTGTAACAAATGAAAAGTTTGTCAAATGAAAAAGTGTTTAGAACGATGAAAAAGAATGTGGTATGTCTACTAATGATGTGTTCATGCAGAAATGTTAGTCATAGTGCCAATGACATCAACAACATCTTCACTAGTGTCAACGTGATAGTTGGCGAGGGTCTTCTTGTCAGAAGGACCGACAGTGACGGCGAAAATATCGTCGTCCTTGATCGTCTCGGATCTACGCAGAGCACGGAACATGTCTTCGTCAGTCTTGTCGTCACCAGCGCAGAAGACGAAGTCGGCTTCGGGGTGGAGAGTAAGAATGCGCTTGACGATTTCTCCCTTGTTAATATTGATAGGGCGAACTTCCAAGTTCTTCTTGCCAACCAAAATCTCAACAGGCAACTTTGAGACCACAGCGTTTTCGAGATGGTTTTGGCATTCCTTGGCTTGGAATTCACCATACTCTGGGTCAGCCATACGATAGTGCCAGGTCAACGCGCAGCGCTTGTGCTCGATGAAACTGCCTTGAGTTCTCTCGGTGTAGTAAGTGAAGATCTCAATGACATCGTTCTTCCAGCTCATATCAATGGTATCGGTAAGGTTGATCCATTTGTTGGTGTCAGGTGCCTTCATAAAGCAACCATGCTCAGCGCTGAGGCCAAGTTTGGGTACACCGCCCAGCCAATCATCCAATGCAGTCTATTGAGGTTAAAAGAAAATCAATGCCTATTCATATAAGACGCAAATATATCAATGTTCCACCCATTTCCAACTTACTTGATCACGACCGGACACGACCCAAACAATGTTGTTGGGATCAGCACACAACTTGGTCAGATAGTCGAGCATCTCCTTGGAAGGAGTAGCGGCATTAGGTTGAGTGCGAATGGGTGTGAGTGTTCCCTGCATGACGATAAAAGAAAGCGTGAGTCAATATGAGCCAAGGATTACAATAGGTGCCTCGTGTAACTTACATCGTAGTCAAAGAACAAAACTCTCTTCTTGGCAGCCTTGTATCGGGTCTTCAGCTTTTCGTAATCCAAGATATCAGTGATAGTAGATTGATCTGGCTTCTCAGAAGCAGCAATCAACTCTTTGACAAGTGTGTCGGCCCAGTACTCGGAAGTATGTCCAGCGACGTGGTTGAACAATTTCTGTTGTAGGCAGAGAAACTCATTTAATATATACTACCAACCGCATAAACCGCCAAGGAATGTATGCACTTACAATCTGTTTGGCTGTCTTTCTATCTTCACTCATGGTAAGGCAGTCATTGACAGCAGCAGCAACCTCAGCGTAATCCCAGGGATTGACCATCTTGGCTGCACTCAAGCTTCCAGCGGTACCAGTGAATTCGGAAAGAATCAATGGACCATGATTCTCCTGTTGGCAGATGATGTATTCCATACTGGTGGTATTCATACCGTCACGGATAGAGGTAATCAAGCCAACATCAGCCACAGTAAGCAGAGCGTAGTATTCATCACGATCGATATGCTGATGGAAGTGGTGAACAGGAGTGAACTCGAGTGAACCGAATTTACCATTGATCTGGCTAACAAGTTCCGAGACCTTCGTTTCGAGCTTGCGTGATTCAGTAACGCCTGGTGACGTGACTTGAATCAAAACAACCTTGTTTCTCCACTCTGGATAGTCGGTAAGAAGTTTTTCAAAGGCATTCAACTTTTGAACAACGCCCTTGACGGGATCGAGCTTATCGCGACCAACAATGATCTTCTTGTCTCCGTACATTTCTCTGATAGCAGCAATCTTGGGAGCAACACCAGGATCTTTACGATAACGGTTGATCTTATCCACATCCACACCAATGGGATAGGTTCCGACTGATACAAGCTGACCTTTAGCATCTACTCCGGAAGGTGTTGATTCATAACCAAGGACACGGGTACAGCAAGAAATGAAATGTCTGGAGTACGAGTAGGTCTGCATGAGAGTAAAGAAAGGTATTAGCACACCATGTTTTCCATTGCGAGATTTTCAAGTGAATGCATCCTCTATACCTGGAAAGCAACAAGACTGGAACCAAGCATTCCCTTCAAAATTTGATCACGTCCTAAAAATCATGGAAAAGTTGTTTAAATCATGACCTACTACGTACCGTTCAATATGAAGGTCACTTACTTGGAAGGCATCTGAAGATCTCTGAACTAGGGAATGGAGCATGGATGAAAAGACCAGTGTGAGCTTGAGGGAGCCTTGCCCTGAGCATTTCGGGGACCAAAAGCAAATGGTAGTCGTGAATCCAAACTGCGGAGGTTGAAGAAGCAGCGGGAATATATTGGAAGGTCAGTGCATGATGTAACCATTGGTCACTTAATAATTTTCCCCCCAAAATATTTACCTATATCACCAGGCTTGTACACACTGATAATCGCATCAGTGAAGGCTTCATTCACTTTAACGTAGTCATTAAAATACTGGTTTTCAGCCGATCCATTGGTGACTTCATTCCACAAGACATAGTGGAAAAGTGGCCAAAGGACTACAACAACGAGAATAATCATCAGCATTCACGCATTCTCATTCCATAACACCACACCACACCCATGCTCACCTTTTTTACAATATCCTTCATAATGACCAGCAGACACCTTGCTGTCCAGGAAGATAGGAATGATATTACCAGCATCCTTCAACAACTTCTTGATGGTTTCCTTATCGCTGTCATCAAGATCCTCTGTTGTAACGGTGTCACCATCTTCATTTTCCAAGGCTCCAGGTGATCCTAGGTACACACAATCCCAGGATTTCTTGAGGGCCTCTAAACCGGAGTACATGGCCGAGTGACCACCACGCTGAGTCAATTTCCAATCTGGTGACTCGCCAATGGTGATTTCTGTTTGTCGTCTCTTCTTCAAGCGAGAGATAGGAGCATCACCACCTGCAATAGCTAGAGTTTGCGTTCCAGTTCCAGGAACAATGCTCTTCAGCTTTTCCAAAATGGTTGGTTCCTTTTGGTGTTCAACCTTCTTGACACAGTTGTATTGAATATGGTTGGTCACATTGATGACCTTGCCATGGAAAGTAGGCTTATCCTCTCCGGCAAATGGGAGGAAGGATTTGATAGCTTCAGTGTCTATTCCTGGTGTGGTAGGAATGTGAGGCATGTCGTGTAGAAAATGAAAGAAAGAGGTGAAAGAGAATAAGAAAATCCCGAGAATCAACGCAATGCAGTAAAGCCCTTGGGATTATTTTCCAGTTCCGCTGAATCTGATTCCGTGACTGCTACTCCCTTACATGGAAATGACGTGATACCCGTTTTGCGAACAGTGACAGAAGTGGACCTTTCGGGGTGAGATCCATTGTTTGCGATAAGAAACGAGCAATCACCTTGCACACGTGGCTCATCTCCACGAAACAACGCGATGTTTTTACACAAAATAAACCAGAGCTTTGTTGTACGTGTTTTTATTTTACTATCGACGCTTTGTAGCGATGTGCAAAAATCCGTTCGTTTTGATGATGTTATGTTTTTGAGAGCTTGCTTTTACATCGTAGCAACCATCGGTATTTAAAATGCAAGCTGAGCCAAAATTGAAAACTTGCGGTCTGGAAGGTACTGAGATGATATTTGACAAAAGACGTTTGAAAAGTATCCCCTAAACAGCTCGCAGAGGTCGCACCAAGCGATGCCAGGAATATTTAAATAGAAGCGAAGCGTTTGGGATTCTGGTCTTCTTGCTAGTGTACGGTAGGAGTTTGTCTTCCTTATAGCAGCTGGTTAGCTTGCTGTCCTCTTCTATCCGTTATCGTATATACAATCTTTGGTGTATATCACTTTTGAATGTGGATACAAACCGGTCTGACAACTTGCCAGATGTAGAAAATGTAATGGATGACATGCCAACCGCCATGGAATGGGGTTGATGATAACCTGTAAGACAAGTCCGTAATGATATGTTTTGACTCCTTTCAAAATACCATCGTTATAATAACCGTGTGTCTCCTTCCAAGCCCCACACTCTAGTGACATTTTACGTTGCCGCCCATCTGCCGGGGTGATACTTGCCTTCACGTACATATTTTGCTCCAAGCGTTATTGTCACCATCCTAACTGACCGAGTTTTTCTTCCCTACATTCCAAATCATCACTATTTGTCAGATTGCAAAGCCATTTGCGTCAGAAACACTTTGTTCTTGGTGTCGACACAAGAAAAGAATGATATTGAAGCATTCTGGAGAAATGAAATAAAAGTGTCACAAACATGCGCAACTATTTAAAATTTTCATGTTTGACGCAATGCAAAAACCTCAAACGCCAACACTTGCGCTCCGCACTTATCTTTCTTTCATATTCTTCTACCATGACAAAACATAGACTCGCCATCATAGGAAAAGGCCTTGTAGCTTCGGCTATTGCTAAGCAGGCCGCAACCACATATGGCTCAGTGACCATGGTGTCACGTAGCAAACCTCTTGAAATGGACCAACTACCCGACCGCGTTAGTCATGTTCAAGGTAACGCTCTGCACCCTTCGCCATTCTCAGACGTTATACGAAGTGCTGACGCAGTGGTGTCGACTGTCGGTGTCATTAAGGAAAGCAAAGGCGAGGACGGAACGTTTGAAAGACTAAACCGAGACGCCGTTGTTAGTGTGGCGCGTGAAATGGTCAAAACCCAGCCGCCGAACTTGGATCGCCGATGCCTGGTGTACTTCTCAGCTGCTAATGCTCCACCCGGATTCCTGCTCGATCCTCGCTACATCAACACCAAGAGAGAAGCTGAAGAGGCCTTGTTATCAAATGAATTCAAAGATAAGTTGCGTGTTGTTATTGTTCGGCCAGGTAAGGAAGCGTCTATGAGTCATCAAACGCAGTAGGCCGCTGACTTTTTTTTTGGTTGTTAGGCATCATTTATTCTATGACCCAGAGAAAGTTTATGCTACCCATTGCTGTAGAAACCATGCTTGTTTCTGCCCTTCTTCGACCCTTCCGCCATCATCTTCCCGATGCCATGCAGTTCATGGCTGATAAACCTCTGTCCGACGACATTGTCAGCATGGCCGTCCTGGAAGCAATCAAAAAGCCCGATGTGCATGGAATTATCGGAGTTGATGAAATTCAGGAATTATCCAACCTCTGGCGCAAGCGTCAGTAAATATGCCAAATAGCACTTGTACAATAGATGTAGAAGAGAGTGGAAATTTTGTCAAATGAGTTCAATAGAGTAGCAGTAAGCAATGGAACAAATAAAAGTTATAAGTATAATGGGATGTGATCGAACGTTTGCGATGTGAAGGAAGTGTTCTACGACCAATCGGAGAAAGGGATCTGACATGTTCCAAAAGGATCTTTCAAGTCATATATCAATTTTGTTAGCCGTAAATTGCCATTATGTCTTTCTGCTTCGCCAATTTGTCAACACCATACCATTACAACTGGTTTGGCATCCCTCTATGTTGATCTCCTAGTTCCATTGTGATATAGACTCGCTATGGGGTTCTCCTTACTCCTATTCTACACATCTCGCTTAGTCGAAGCTTATGTTACTAGACTGCTTTTTCTATAGACAATCGTAGGATAGTATCACCTGAGCGAAACGGCAAAGTAAGAGCGAATAGTACAGCCAAGGATATCCTTGTTTGTACTGAGTGAATAATTCACACCGCATTATAAATAAAGTATGTGCCAAACCTTCCAACAGAATATTTTGTTCTATACAGCTCATCTGAATTAGCCCCTTACACTAATGGCAATCGAACATTATAGAATCAATTCATACGCTTTGTATATAAAAAGTCTGTACTGCTCGTCTGAGCGTTGATTAATTGTCTTTTCTCAACTGATTCGATATCAACTCATTCAAAGACTAATCTCCATGAAGTATATGTCTGAAGTATGACACCATCCGATCTATGACCCCTTACAACTATGGCATCATTTATCGTCCTTATACCAATTGATGTTATCTTGGACTCAAAATTAACACTACATTTAGAACCTCAAAGCAGCAGAGATGATTCCAAGCTCATAAGTGTTATTTTCTGGCTTTGGTTACTCACTCATCGTTCACAGCGACGCAAGTGACTTGGTTCATTACCGCATCCACATATAGATGCAGGTTTATGCTTCAAAAGAAATGACAATTTTGTCAGTTACTAACAGTTACCAAAACATTCAACCGGTTTTTAAATCGTTACAGCTATGACTAGCGCTTTTACGCATCAGAAATTTGAAAAATACTATACATTCCCATGTGTGGTAATGCTCTAATGCTTGTATTGAGCTGGACTTGCTACAACCATGCATCAAGGTACATCCTGCAAGGGATAGAAGACCATAGAAGAATTGAAGATAATTGACCTGATATGCTCCATAATTATAACGCTTTTGGGCTTGCAGGCGCATCCAGCACTTTGACAAAGTGTTTGTTAGGCTTAACACAGCAGCAGGAGTGCAGGTTCAAAAGGAGGGGAGTACTTTCTATTTTTTGCTGCGTTGCATATCAGTTTGAAAGATGTACAGATTGGAAACCCTGGTAGAGCCCAGAACAAAATATTATTAGTCGTCATGTTACTGCCAACCATCTCCAATATCTATCTGCAAGCGACAAGTGTAAAAAAAAAAACTCTTTCTGAAACAGCCATTTCCTACGACCGACGCACATTCAGTATGGTGTGGATATTGTCAATCATTTTGTGTACCACAAACAAGATCCAAAAGGTAATGGCTGCCTACAAGAAAAAAATACTACCCATATCGTACTTCTGAGTATACTCAGATGTTGTAAAGCTCTCCTCCTTAAACGTTTTTGTTGATATGACGCTATAGTATGACAGTGCCTGTGCGAAGCAAAAGCCTTAGAGTACGAGTAATGAGCGTTTAATACTCCTAACTTTGACCGTTGAAAAACACCACGGCCTTCTCTTGCTTGTTGCGCTCTATCTATACCATTGCAATAAGTTGTAGGAACAGATGAAAAGGTTCATCAATACATCTATATCGATCACACTGAATCGAACTTGCTGCTGCATCTTCCCCTATCCCCTTGCCAAGTCTGACGAAAGGAGGACTGTTATTTGACTTGTGTCATTGACTTTCTCGATGATGAGATGGACATAGTCTCATTACGCAATTGATAGTATAATAATTCATGTTGTTTATTTCTGTAACCTTTCATTGGTAAAGATTTCAGTGGCCATATGGCTTTCCAGCATGTAATAAGATCATGGCCAAACAATGGACCGGCTTAGCCATGCTCCTTAACCCTTTGGGGAGGACAGTGGACTCTCCTGGGTTGCACATATATAAATTAACATATGACCAACGATAAGTGCTCGAGAATCTTCGTACTTTCATTCCTTCACCTTATTACAATGTACAAAGTCACAATCCTACTCTTCTTACTTTCGATAATTGCTGGAGTTCTATCATGTGGACAAACGGCATGCCAGTTTAACATGTTGTCAGGAGGTCGCTGCTATTATTCATGTCGGTATAATGAATGTCAACAAGACACCAAAACCACTCGAGCACAATTCATGGGAGCAATGTTATCAAGAGAATTTGAGTGTAGAGAAGAAGGCGCAACAGATTTTTCATGCTTCAGAAGTGCGCCATTGGGAGACTGCTCAAATTTTCAATGGTTCTGCACGCAATGCTGACCAAAGACCACAGTAAAATCATGACCACAGGCTGGTCGTTGATATAATAGCTAGACGTAATTGACCTGCTAGATAACCGAAAACCGAAATATACTTGAGGGATAATAATTAATAAAGGATCAGGTGTTTATTTTGGCCTGCAGCAGCTACTGCATAATCAATTTGGTGGCGAATGGTTGATTGTTGTAAAATTATAGTACCATTGCCATTCCCAGGAGTGAACAGAAAAACCGTTATTGTAGTATTCAATATTTATCAGCAAGCTTTTGGCTACCGTCTGTCAATCACTCATTGTGATAAATCAGATAATGAATACTAGAGTCTGCGAGTTCAGATGACGTACTAAGCAAAAGCAAAAGTAATTCAAAATTAATCCCCTTTCCATGACGGATACACTAAGTCGTCACATCCCTCGGTCTCCTTCTCTTGTACAATGATATTTTGATCATTGACAGAAACATTTCTTTTGTCCGCCAGTCAAAAAAAAAAAAAAATTGGTATAGCTGGGCAAAATTTTTCAATCGCACTGATTTATTGACCCTTTATCTTGGACCGACTCATCGAACGAACTCTCCTGAACCAAGACCAGTCGCGGTGACATCTTATGAAACTAACTTTAGGAGCTATCCCCTGACTCCCTTTCGAATAGTCCGTCTCCGAATCTTGGGGAACTAATATTTTTTGCGCTAGGACAAAGTGAATAGCTGTAAGATGATATTCCTTCAGTTGCAATTTTAACGTCAATCTTTTAAACCGAGATCAAATCTCGATGCTAAGTAAGTCCCGTCAAATATGCTCTATCGGCACCTCACTGTCTACCCCACTCCTTTCTCCTGTCCATATTGTGGCTTGCAAGTAGCAGAAATACGGAGGTGAGTTCAATGCCTATAAGAATGAAGCAAGTCAAGCTTGTAAAACCACTGACCTTTATATCAACCATGTACAAATTATCTATACTGACAATCCTATTCACAGCTTCTGTGGCCCTTTCATGTGAGGAAGCTTGCAAGTTTGTTTCATTCCAGAATGGACGGTGCGTTTTTCAGTGTCGAAATGGTGCCTGTAGCCGTACAGCAAAGAGCAACAAGGTGGACTTCTTGAACTCTCTTCAAGCAAGGAACTTCGATTGCATATCAGAAAACACCGATTCCATAATTTGTTCACCTCAATCTTTCAACGGGGAGTGCCAAAAAATGAATTGGTCCTGTCCCGGCTGCTGAACTTATTCCAACGGGAAGCAGAGACGTCAATAATACCAAGCATACTAAACAACTACCAATCGAAGAACGCAATAGGATAATATATTCCTGTCTGCATCTAGCACAAAATCAGAAACCTCATTCTATACACCTATGCTATAGTACTATAATAAAATTTACTATACTGCATGCTCGCGTTGAAACGTAGTCCCTTTTGGTGTTCATCAGATCGCTCAGCGTTGGGTTGGTGTTGGAGCACACCTGTTACAAAATTGAAGTAGCAGAAGAACATTGTGTGCACTTCTGCAAAACAACGAAGGTGATCAAATAAATTATGACTGGAAGATCCCTGATGACGCATTCCCTTGACAATTTGGATTAAACCAATTGAATCTTTTACCGCTCACTTGTCTGTTGTAGTCGGACAAACAATCTTACTCCAAGATTAAATCATGACCATAGTCAGAAGTCCCCCTCACATGGAGCATTTCTTGTTCCCTATTACAAAATTAGATTTGTACTTGAGAGGAGCATCCAGCTTTTTTACTCTAATAAAGCAATGACTTCAGAAAAAAATCTTCCACTGCAGTCCTACATTGACCGTTGAAACTGAGCTAGCTCCCAACCATGATTGAATATTGTCGATAACGTAATATCAATCTACTTTTGACTCTCATATCCCTTTCCTGCCCTTCAGGGAGCCTTTAGGTGGCAGAAAACGGAGGTTCAGCTCATTTTCTATAAGAATGATATGAACTAGTATTTTTTGTGTAAGTCGTCTACTTCCATATCCATCATGTACAAGTTATCTATTTTGGCAATCCTATTCACAGCTTCTGTGGCCCTTTCCTGCGACAAAGCTTGCAGTTTCGTTTCAGAGGCCAATGGCCAATGCACTTTTTCATGCGTATCGGCCTGTCATCAGCCCGCACCTCACCACAGAAATGCGTTCTTGAGCGGCCTTGCTCAGAAGGGTCATAACTGCAGAGCAAGCGGCATCACTTCCGTCACTTGCCCAGCGCAAGCTAGTCTAGGAAACTGCCGAGCTACAAGTTGGACTTGTGGTCGTGGCTGCTAAAAATGGCTCCAGTTAGGAAAGCAAGGATACAAGTCACGCAAAGCCATCAAGCTAATGCATTAACCTAAGAAGACAATAGTTAATGAATTTTTACGAAGAAATTGGGAACCTCTATCTCTACATCGATTCCGTTACAATTTATATAAAAACTTCGGTATAGATGCATCCAATGTTAAAGCTAGGATCATACCAAATTTCAATCGTCCCAATGTCCTATATATTATAGTAAAATGGAGATATCGTATGCTATGATGTCTTGTGACCATAATGAACTTCTCAGTGTCTACTAAGGGTTGGAGCATACGTGTTTACCATATGAGAGTAGCAGATAAACGATGTATACTGACGCAAAGTAATAATGGCCATCAGAAAGACATATATTGTAGAGTGGCATCACTTTGGAAATTGGGACTTTCCTCCAGACAAGGTCTTACACAAAGCTGTGCATCCGTGGAGCTTACGAAAGCTTAGCAAAATTTTACATAAACAATTAGGCAGGTTTTTGATTTATGATGTTAGTTTCACGTATTTAGTTCCGCGGGGCTCTGTTTCTGAGTAAGTTGCAAGATTTTCGGTTAGGTAAGCAACCATGATTATTTTCACAGTCAGCGTTTCTTGATAACAGGATGAACGAAAAACGGAAAGAGACCGGCCGTTTCATTAAAATTACTCAGTGTCAGCGCTTGTTTGTAGTGCGATAAATATAACCTAGAAAGCAAGAAGGATGTTCTCACAATAAGGAAATTGGGCCATGGACTGGAACAATTCTTGTAAAAGTGACAGCTCCGCATTTTCTAGAGCAGCGAATAAAGTTTCGGCCGTAGGTTTTTGGCTGGACAGCTGCGCTCTTCTCTTTCCACTTTTTTTTTTATTCTATCATGACCTCCAACTACGTTCTTGTCACCGGTGGAGCCGGATATATTGGTAAGTATAATAGTTCTATCTTTTCCTTTATACATCAAGCAACTAACACGTGCGTCTCCGCTAGGCTCTCATACTGTTGTTGAACTGTTGAACAAGGACTACAACGTCGTTGTCGTTGATAATCTGTACAATGCTTCCTACGAAGCTATCCGCCGTATTGAGAAACTCACTGGAAAGAAGGTTAACTTCTTCCAGTGCGACATCCTTGATGGCCCTGGCCTTCGTAAAGTGTTCAGCCAATTCACTTTCTCATCCGTGATCCACTTTGCTGGTTTGAAGGCTGTTGGTGAATCCACCCAGATCCCACTAGACTACTACCACAACAATATCAATGGCACCATCACACTTCTCCAAGTTATGAAGGAATTCAATGTCAAGAACATTGTGTTCTCCTCTTCGGCCACTGTCTACGGCGATCCACCCATTATCCCCATCCCCGAAACATGTCCTACCGTAAGTATAATTAGCAACAACGTGCAGGAGGCGCTTTAAAGACTGGGCTTAGTTTTACTAACTTTGACTCCACCATTCCAGGGCTCCACCAATCCTTACGGCCGCACCAAGTTGTTCATTGAGCACATCATTCGCGATCTTTGCACTGCCGAGAAGGAATGGAACGCTGCTTTGTTGCGTTATTTCAACCCCGCTGGCGCTCACCCCTCTGGCATCATGGGCGAGAACCCAACTGGTATCCCCAACAACTTGATGCCTTACCTTTCACAAGTTGCCATTGGCAAGCGTGAGGAGCTCAGCGTCTTTGGCGATGATTATAAGACCAGAGATGGTACTGCTATCAGGTATGTGATATAAGGAGCATGGCGAGATGCATTTCCAGACTCACTCACTGTCATGTTTTTCTCCGCTCACAGAGATTATATTCACGTTGTCGATCTTTCACTGGGTCATTTGGCTGCTTTGGAAAAGCTGAACGTCAACCCTGGTTGCGTTGAATATAACCTTGGTACTGGCCACGGATCCACTGTTTTGGAAATGGTTCGTGCTTTCAGCAAGGCTGTTGGTCGGGACCTCCCTTATAAGATCTGCCCCCGTCGTGCTGGTGATGTGACCAACCTTACTGCCGATCCCCGTAAAGCTAACTCTGAGCTTCAGTGGAAGGCCGAGAAGTCATTGGAAGAAATGTGCCAGAGCTTGTGGGACTGGCAAAGCAAGAACCCTGAAGGTTTCGAAGGTTGCGACCCTAATCCTCCTGCTGAATGCATTATTACCCAGAAATAGACCACAAAAAGTTCCCAATTGTCCGTTATATCAATCTATTCTCCTCTAGATCAGTCTAGATTTCGTTTACGAATGTAGTTTTATCTCTTTTACTTCAACTGGCTTGTTTTCGTTGTTTAATGGGATGGTGCTGTCCATGCTTTGCGTGTGTCGAAGTATGGTCGGAAAAGGGAAGGTGATGGAAAGGCCGTTTTCAGGGACAGTGTACCATGTACTTAAAGAAATAACAATTTATCCGAACAGTATTGTTTGAATTATAATTCAAGATGATCCACCCACTCGGGTGATGATTTGCAAGCATGTATACTGGAGCAGTTTTCTTAGCAACGCTTACACTGACAAGATTCATTAACGAAGTGGTCATCTCTGCTCGATATGGCACGTGATATGACTGCTTCTGCAATTTTTTGCTCTCTGTGTGAGATCCGATTTTTCCTAATTTTTTTTTTTTTGAAACAGTAGCTGGCTATTCGACATTACTACCCTTTCCTACGAAATGGCAGACAACGAAGAACAAACGTCCGGGCTATTCACATGCATGGCATGTCAAGTGGCATTCAGATCCGGAGAGGGTCAAAGAAACCATTACCGATCCGATTGGCATAGATACAATCTTAAGCGCAAGGTAGCCGACCTCCCCCCTATCACCCTCGCTCAATTCGATCAGAAACTTCAAGGTACCTCGGCTGAACTGACCTTCTGATGCCCACCGTATTGACAGTGAAACTAACATCTTGATTGGCAGTAAATCAGACTAAGACTGATGAAAAGAAAGCCGAGCAAGAAGCTTTCTCAGGAGAATGTGAAGCTTGCAGGTTAGTAATAGGGATTGTCGATTGACGTATGGAACGAATTACTTATCAAGACATGGGCAGAAAAACTTTTGGTACTCAGGGTTCGTTCAACAGCCACATTCAATCCAAAAAACATAAGGAAGCTGTCGCCAAAGCCGCATCTCGCCCACAAAAGACCGTCAAGGAAACTGATGATGAGAAGGCTGCCACTACAGTTAACCTTGTTGTGGATGAAAACATGTCCGATGGCGAAGTCAACGAAATTATCGACAAACGGATATCCGAGGCTGTTCGACTTGCCGAAACTGATTGTTTGTTCTGTACACACAAATCAGACACCTTCGAAGATACTATGGCCCATATGACCAAAGTCCATAGCTTTTTCATTCCTGATATCGAGTATCTCTCAGATTTGCGAGGTCTGATCAAGTACCTCGGTGAGAAGATCAGTGTTGGTAATGTTTGCTTGTACTGTAACGGAAAGGGCCGTGCTATCCGATCACTAGAAGCTGTTAGAGCTCACATGGTAAGTGAAGAGATGACTTTCGGATACATCGTTAGGCCGCATACTAATACTCTTTGTTCTTCAAGTTGGATAAAGGTCATTGTAAGATTGCATATGAATCTGATGAGGATGCCATGGAAGTGGTGGACTTTTACGATTTCTCGTCATCCTACCCTCAAGGCTACGATCCTGAGAACCCTGATGTTGATGCTGAATTGGCTCAGCTCACTAATGACATTCAACTTAACGAAGATGAAATGGAATTGATATTACCCAGTGGTGCAAGAATTGGACATCGCAGCTTGCAGCGATACTACAAGCAATCCTTCAAGCCTGATGATGTAAGTGCTAGCTAACCCGTGGCTTTGTAGCAAGCATACCATACATTATACTCACACATGTTTTCCCCTCTTTTTTTTCAGTCTCGCGACTCTGTCTTGATTAACAAGCTAATTACACAATACACTGATGACTTCGGCTACGAGTCTCTCCGATCCAACACCGGTCGTCATGCACAGTATATGGTCACTGATGGTCGCAACGGTGCTCCCACCAAGAGGGATGCCTTTGCTGAAATCAGACATCGTGAGGATTTCAAGATGAAGACCGGCATGCAAGCCAACAACCAAAAGCATTTCCGTCTCCAGATTCTACAGTAAACTCCTTGTCATTCGTTCCTTGCTCTTTCCTCAATTACTGTTTTGCATACCATTATTCTTCCTTGTACATTATCATCAGACCACTTCAATGCTTTGATCATCACGATCATGCTATTAGCCATGCAGTTTACTTTACAAATAGAAGATACTGGATTACTCCATAAAAAGAAATGAAAAACTGAATTAGTTCCAAATGTGTGTGTGTGTGTGTAGGGGGAATGTGAGTTAAAGGATGTGAAAGTGTTATGCCAAATGTTTACAGTCGGGTTTTCATGTAATGATTCTGAGGGTGGTCCATTTCTATGGTTGGTATGATCAGTTTTTCTTGCGTTGCTTGTGCTCTTGTTCTTCATCTTCTTCAATGTTACGCTTGCTGCCAGCAGCAAGTGGAGTACCTGCGCTCTCGTCAACATCCTCCGTCTCCTCGCCATCTTCCAATGTATTCAATTCCAGAGCAGGATCCACCAATTCGCCATAATAAGCTGTCAAGGATTTGAGGTGACTTTGAAGATAGTTTTGTTCCACTTCGCACAGATTTCCTTGGCCAGCAAGCAAAGCTAATTGCTTGGGGTCCGTGTTCCGAGGCACAAAATAGGCAATATTGGGGGAAATTGCTCTAGCTGCTTCGTATAGATGAATTCTAATATAAAATAAATCATAAATGAACTATTCCAGGTATCATCGATCATCCATAGCACGACATGATGCACTTACCCATTCATAGGTATCATGGTTTCAAGATCAAAAACGCTGGCATTGATATAGGACGGGCCGCCCCATGGTGGACTTAGAAACACTGCATCTGCTTTCAGTGAGGGTGCAAGCTGCATGAAGTCGCCGAGGATGAATTCAATTCTATCCGCCACACCGTATATTGCTGCATTGTGTTTAGCGCAATGTAGTTTGACTGGATCAATGTCGATTGCAATGACTAAATTTCCATCCATTGACAAAAATTAATCAGTATTAGATGGCAAGAACAAAGACCCGTCTGTTGACTAACTTACCTCGCTCACATGTGAACGCAAACTGAATAGCATTTCCACCAGAACCACAAAAGGCGTCTATGATGGTATCAGCCCTACACCGCTCAGCAATATGCATTGCAATCTTTTCAGGTGTAACAGAAAACCAGCTCTCTGTAGAATGAAACATAAGTCATTACTCTGTAGGTGCTGCTCCCCTAATAGAATCAATCGTACCTCTATCCATCAATATGCCATGGTCGTACTGGGAAAACAAGTCGTATCGTTTGAACCAGTACCTTTGGAAGAAAAATTAGTATTGATACATTGAAAGGCGGTACGAAGATCAAATCGCCCTACTTTTTAAAATCTCCTTCCATATTGTTTCGATCGTAGTGTACACGAACGTCTTCATAAAAACAGAACGCCTTTCTTTCGGCAGGGGTCATACCAGCACATATGTCTAGCGCATCCTTCTTATTCTTCTTCTTTTTAGACTTCTTCCGCTTGGGTTCGAGGTGTTCTGTTGCATTATCAAAGGAGTTGGCGGGATTTCGTTCGACGATCTGTTTCGCGAACTCAAGGAGTGACAGTGGGTGTCCCGATTCGCCAGTTGGAGCTGGGGAAATAGTATCTTCTGCCTCTAAATCCTCATTTAGGGAGGATAGAGGAGAGCTTGGAAGGATATCCGACGTCGATGGCGATTCTGCCCCTTGATCTGTCGACATGACTGACATCAATGGAGTGAAAAAAATTTCGGGATAGCTGTCAGAAATCGACCCAGGCACGTGTAGTAGGGTTAGGGCTTTAACGAAGTGTTCAGAAGTGGATGTCTCGATGGCCCCACCGTTACCCTCAAGTTCAGACCGTCCAACATAAAAGCATTCGGTAGATCGCTGCTTTATAGCCCTAAATATTCGTAATTTCATTTGTATAATGAAGTCGATTATACCCTACATCATATCAGTAAAAAATGCATGGAGGTTTCCAAACAGTCCTACTTTCCAAAAGTACAAAAGACTACTACTATCTCCATACGTCCTCATTCCCTTCCTCTACATAGTCCTGCGTATCAAAAGCAGTGACCTATCTTGAACGTTTAACTAAAAAGCCCTCTCATCACTTTATTCATCAAATGACCAGTACAATAATTCATTTCTCACAGGTTATCGATTGCTCTGTTTTGAAGAAATTGGTAAAATGCAGACGGACATAGGATTCCTTCTTACCGTTGCGAGGACATTCCTCCAAAGGGAAGCCGTATGTCCTTACGGAAACCCATCCGGTGGACCCTGGCGTCATTCTCTGACTCTTTGTAAACAATGGCTGACCTTGGATCGAAAAAATAAGTCCAAAACGAGCGAGTCATTTGTGTGAATTCGGCAGCAAAAAGCCCTAGCGATTTTTTGGCCGCCCCCCAGCGCTATAAATATCCGAAATTTGACCCACTGGAACTTTTTGGTTTTTACTTCTTTATGCACATACTACTTCCTCTCCTCGTTACCTTGTTCTCTAGTTTTACGGCTGTATATGCCTGTGGATGCTATGGTCCATGTAGTCTGCCGCCAACGCTTCCATGTCAAGGAGCTCCAGGAACAGTCAACGTAACAGCTTGTGTCTGCGACTGCTGTCCAGCGTGTAATAGGTATGGCTGAGTGATTCGAAATAGTGTAAGAAGGAAGGGCATGGCTAACCTTTTGGCTGTCAGCTGTGATCAATTATTTGCAGGATGTCATAGTGACAAGTGGCAAAACGATCTTATCCTATCGCCACCACCGCCAAGCGTCCTCACTTTAGGGACTTCCATCACATCGGACCTACTCCGGGCAAATTCTGGGAATTTAAATTACTTCATAGGAGCATGTATACAGCCAGCTCTTCCCGTTGGATTGAACCTGGCTCTTAACACCACTGCTGGATTTGTGGCTCTAGAAGGAACACCAACCACATCTTCTCCCCTCACTGAGTACACAATCATAGCCAAGGGGGGTGTAAATTACATTGGCAGAATGACAGTCCAGTTTTCCGTTACCTGAGGAGTCAAAAAAATCATCACACATGCTCATTTTTTCTTTGTTTTCATACTGAACTCATTTTTTTTTATAGTGCTTATTTAGCCATTTTTTTCGCTCATGCATGAAGTAGCTCACGAAGTTTCCTTGGTATTGCAACGCAACGGCGCTTAACTCGCTCTTTGGAAATCCAAGTTATGGACTTTATTCATAAAGTTTTGCCAGAGAGAGTAATGTGCCTTCTGATATTGAAGGAATAAATAAAAGAAACTTGCTATACCATCGTAATTTCACATTATTCTATTATATGGCAGCAATTTGAACTGAAGGAGGGACCTCCTGTTGGAATACAACGTAGTTGTTCTTGAGAAAAGTGTCACCCAAAATACCAACGCTGTTACTTCCGCTATATGCGAATGCGGCCATGCACTTATTTCTCCCTATCTGTTCGAAGATTAGGTCTGCAGCTGGGACAATGTAATCGTTTCCTCCAATATTGAGTTTAAGATCATGCAAATCGGCAACATTACAGGAAATAGTGTAAGTTCCATCCTCATTATCAATAGCGTTCAAAGCTTTGGCAACCTGGCTAGCTTGAAGATCAGGTAACATCAACAGAGTAGATCCAGTGTCGATAATACCGGAGAAATGACTGATGGTTGAACTTCCAACGGAGCCTGAGCCAACTGCAACAGTCCAGAATCCACGCGAGTTATCAACTGGGACGGTAGCAAGAGTGCCTCTGAACTTGGAATGATTGATTCCGCCAAAGAGGTACTCGCCACCGCCGCCATTGGAACCCTTGCCAAGGAAGACACTGAAGATAGGTTCAGAGATCAAACCTTGAGAAATCATATTGTCCACTGGGGTCTTAACGCCGGAAACGGTTACTATTTTGTTAAAACCAAGACCCAAAATTCCGTCACTGGGATCGGTGATAAACCCAGAGGAAATCTTATTCGCCATCTCAATAGTTTGGTTTTTGATAGTTAATCCTCCAATAGTGACATCGTCGGTGCCACATATACCAGAAGACGAAGTACCATCGCCATAAGTGATATGCCATGGACGACCATCCTTATGATAAGTCGAAGACTTGTTGGAGTCGTATCTGGACTTTCTAATACAGCGAGCACATAGAGTACTTGCTAATAGAATGAACGATCCGTGTATGTGTGATGGACAAGTTAAAAACTTAAAAGTTATTATGCTATGAAGATTTAGAAACCAAGACGTACCAAACCAAAGATCAGAAGAGCCTGTATCAAAGTCCAACTTAACGGTTTGACCTGGAGTACCGATGGTGATTTCACCATAATACAATAGATCGTTTTCATAATCAGTCAGGTTCACAGTACCCGTGCTTGCAAGATTGTTACGAAAAGAATCGGATTGAAACATCTTGTATTTATTCATGGCTTTCAAGGCTGCAGCTCTGGCATTTCTCTTAAAATGAGGATTGGTTTTGAGTGGAACCCTCAAAAGTGCTTTAGCCGGTGCGGTTTGTGTAGCCGAAGACGGATGCAGAGCAAAGTCGGCAGCATGAGGGACAAGGCGAGCATCGACAGCAGCAAGAGAAGCTACAATCACGGCAACACAGAGAGTGATCTTCATATTGAAGGTAATAGGAAAGTAAAACAAACGTGGAGAATATCAGTCATGGACTCTACCGAGCATTGGCTCGCTTTTATATTGTTTCCGGCTGATCTGAAAGTTCTTTAAATCGCAGAAGGATTTGCCCGTTACTATTTATCTTATTGCCATATTGGTGTCTTCTTTGCTCGTTTATGATCCCGCGTTACATGTTATTTTGTATCATCCTGTCTCTACATGTCAGTGTATTTTAATATTGCATTCGTGATGACGGTACATGTACAAACAAATGTAGTGTTTCTCCGTTTCTCATTGCCGTGCAAATCAGTGACAATATTCTCCATCTTATCATCTAGTCAAACGCATTTTTTCTTCTTTACTTTTAAGTACAGCGTTGGTGGGCAATAGATGGACGGCATAATTAATACAGCAATTTAAATATCATAGAGAAAGTCAAAAAAGAATTATGTCAGTTCATCTCCTTACTAGGAAGTTAGCAATTTCATTAACTTCCAACCAGTGATGACATTGCAGCTTGATAGATAACACAAGGAACGATCAATATTAGTGTTCAACATCTTATTATAAAGTCATCTCGGATTGCATTCCTCATTAGCTTAGGATGGCTTCATTGTAGATATTGAGTGATGACCGAAACCCACCCGCTATATCTCAATTTCAGTGCAATCCTTTCTCGGAAAGACCCTGCTGAAACGTGGTTTTTTACTACGATAACATACTTCTTTTTCCACTCGTAGCATTGAGTAGGCGGTAGAAAAAGCCATTCTGGCATTAAAATCCTAATAGTAAAACTAATTGCCTTGAGATCGAGCGGAATAAAGGCAAGTGTTTTCTAATATGAACAAGTTTACACCCAAGAAAGCAAAATAATGAAGCTTTCTGTCACTTAAGACTCTGCTGGCGTTTGCGAATTTAAGCTTATACATAGACAACAGGATGGCGACGGAGCTCCGTAGCGAGCTTGTGAGCAGGTAGGTGCATGGAAGACCGAGTGTCGAAGGCGGAGAGAGCGCACTTCAACACCTCACATTCCTTAAAATCATCAAACACACTTAATAAGGTAATGGACACTCTTCAAATGCTGCCCACCACTTCATTCCTTCCATTATACCATGCAAATAGTGAGTTTAATAAATCGAAAGCAGTGCAAAGATGAATGATCATAGCTTTGGGATCTAGAGTATGCTTATACAGTTACATTTACAAATTTTCGCTTCTTTTCTTGCCCATCCTGAGACGCTGGACCTTCCTCGTCTTGGAACTCCGTCATATGTCTGGATTTATAATCCCGCTGCATGTAGGTCAATGCCGCTCGATTGTATCCCATGGTATCTTTGTGCTTCTGGAGCTGTGATCGCAAGTTGAAACGAATGGAGTCGAGCATAGGGCGCATCATGCGATTTGCCACGATTTGATGGTGGTGCGTTTTAAGAAGGGTAAACAAGATACGGCAAACCAATACAATGTTCCAGTCCTGACAGAAAAATTGGGTCAGTCATTCATACTACAGCCAATGTGTCTGCATCTATGCACTGAGAGGATGGCTTACCTTCTTGGCCCATTGATCAAGATAGTTAATAAGAGAAAGTACTTGACTGAAGGGCAGAACCAAAAGGGCTTCTTCAAGGTCATTAGCTCGGACCTTCTCCACCACAGTCAAGACATATTTATCGGCAGGCAAATCTCCCATAGCTATGAGGATTGGGTTTCGTTGAGGTAAGACAGCTGGTAAATTTCGACTCTTGGCCTAAACATAGATTTAATACATGCACAGCTTTACGTAAAATCATTTTCTTTTCCATTTGTCAACATACCTGTTCATATGCTCGCAGGGCAAGTTGATCTTCATCAGCAAGCTCCAATGCTTCTATTATTTTCTCGCCAGCTTTCAAAGTCTCCATAGTTTGTTTTCCAGCGGATTCTAGCTCATTCTCATCACCGTTGAGGTCAGTCTTTTCCATCTGTCCAGCAAGAGTAGACTCGTAAAGCTCTTCCAATTCCTTTTCTCGTTCTTCCTCCAAGAAAAGCTGCTCTTCAGTTCGCTCCCATACTCTGAGGGACCGATCGTGGGATCCAGATATCACGAAAGTACCGTGCTTTGAGATGGCCATAGACCAAACTTCACCATGATGTCCTTCGAGCTTCATGATGTTTTCAAACTTGTCTCCATCCCAATACTTGACAGTCTTGTCTTTACTGGCGGTAAAGAAGTAATGGGTTCCCCACACAAACTGAACAGCCATAATACTTTCTGAATGAGCAAAGATAGACTTGTGGCAATCACCGAAATCCAAACCCCAAAGCTTAACGTTCTTGTCCGCTGAACATGTGGCAATGAGAGTACTGTCAGACGAAATGTCCATGGACAGAACAGGAAGCTATAACGAATCGTGAGTAATGGCGAAAATTTAAATTCAAGCGATTTTTCAACGCAGATTCTGTTTAGTACCTTGTGTCCGTATAAAGACAAGAAGAATTTAAGAGTGTCATGATAAAAGACCTTGACGGTTGTATCCAACAATGAAACAGCAACGAGATTTTGATCGGGACTGTATTTGACACACAGAACTTCATCAGACATCTTGAGAGTTCGCATATGAGCCAACGTCAATCGTTTGGGGCGAGCCTAAAACATCCCAAAGAAAGTATATTTAGTATACGCAATAAAAATTTTGCGCAAGTCAATTCAGTCCAACTCAGACTTACCTGAGCATTGCCTCCAGGAGTGTTGTCTTCTACCATATCAAAATCCCAAAACTTAACATCCTTGTCAGCACTTCCAGTAACAAGACCGCGCTTATCTGGGCGAACTTGAAGTGAATAGACAGCGCCATCGTGCGCCTTGATGGATTCTATGATTGCGGACGATGCAAGGTCAAATAGTTCTAATTCACCAGTCTTGGTTCCAACAATGATCTATCGGTACGATAGCTGGTCAATGTCTGAGAGATGTGGTCAAGCGAGCGCAATTTTCCATGGTAATACTTACATGACGGTTTCCAGGTAGGAAAGCGCAACAAAGTGCAAACCCACACTCCAAAGTACGAATGCAAGATGCAGTTTTGACGTTCCAAACCTTCAACATATCTATAAAATTGAGATAATTTTAAAACCACTTGATTCCATTTTTCCCGTTTAATTCAAGTTTGGCATATTAAGACTTACTGTTTGATGCAGATGCCAAAAGTTCGTCATCTGAACTGAGGGCCAAGGTTCGGATATCTCCTCGATGACCTTGAAGATCAAGTGAATGCATGCGAACTGGCTCTGGTTGATCCTCGTTGGCGGTCTTCTTCACAGGGAGAGGTGCAGAATAGACATCGATGGTATTGTTGATCAAAGAAGTGAGCATTTGAATTGAACCAGCCTTCTTGACATCTGTGACAGGTGCAAAGTCGAAGCTGCGAACCTTGACGGGTGTTCGAACAATAACATGAGGTGTGAATTCGTCTTCAACCTGAATCTCGTCACTTTCTTCAACCTCCTTTCCTTTCTCCTTTTGACGTCGCTTTCGTCTCTGCATCTTTTTCCGGATTTCATCGTGATCTCGTACCCGGTACAGTTCAACAGACTTGTCAGCCGCTTGCACACCAATGTATTCTTGTGACGGATGGAATTGGACAGTGATGACCCTGTCTCTAGAGCTTCGGGGAAGGTGTCCGTAGAGGTTGATGGCTTTCTTGAGAGCGGGAGCTTGGTTTTCTACTCCTTCCATCGCATCTTCTTGCTGAGGTTGTTGCTCTTCAGCTTCCAGTTCTTCAAGCGATTGTGTCAACACTGACCAATCAAGTTTCCAAACTTTCAAAGGTTGTTCACTACTTCCCGAGATGATGATGTCTTTCTTTCCATTGATGGCAAATGACCAAACTTCAGTTCGATGTCCTACTACGGTTTCACGGCAATGCTGAGTCGACAAATCCCATAATTTGAGCAAAGTATCCTTGGACGATGAAAGCACAAATCCAGCTCGGGAAACACCGGTTACAGCATTGTCAGCATCCATATCAGCATCTTCAGCGGTGTTGATTTCGACATTGGGTCGTTCGATGAATGCTACTTGAGTGACCTGATCTTTGTGACCCTTCAGTCTGTATTGACCAACTTCAGCAACAACATCCCACATAATGATGTCTGTATCTTTGGATCCTGAGACGAGTCTAGTACCATCAGCGTCGAATGAAAGTGCAGTGACAGCACCTTTATGACCATTCAAAGTGACGTTGGATGTTGATGATTTGATATTCCAAATTCTGATGTTTCCGTCTTCGTATCTAATATCATCCAAGGGAGTTATTAGTGTTATGTGAAAGTGCAAGCAGCCAATTGATTCGTTATACCGTACCCTACTGCATAGTCAACGTTATTTGGGCTTCTCGCAATGCTGGTGACTTCAGCCTTATTGCCGGATTCTTTCCATTTGCCGATCTGAGTACCTTTCTTAATGTCCCAGACAACGACTTCTTCGAGAGCAGGTGCAATAGCCAATTTCCCTTCGTGATCGTAAATAATGTTGGACTGGCTGGAGGCAATCACGCCAAATGTTTGCGCTGGCTCATAACGTAAGTACGCTTTAACCATTTCGCTTTAATGTCGGGATTAACAACTACTAGAGACGGGCTATCGAGCTCTTCACAAAAAAAAAATTGATGGCAAGAGTCTCCCAAAAAATTGTGACTTTTGGCTGTGACTGCTATTCACTGTGGCGGCGAATGTCAGCCACACCTTTTGCCTAGAGGATGATTTGAACGACATTTGCGCCCGGATTTTTTTTTATTTAAACTTTGGGCTCCAAAGGTAGGTTTAAACTCGTTTCAAGTAAAGCTTTTGAAAAGTACGACCGTTATTTAAGAATGCCGCCTCCTCTTCAAAAAATACCGCTAAAATGAGGTGTATATTCAAAGGTAAGAAACACATGCTGATTCCATTTGAAAGTTGTGAATGCGTTATCTTCTGTGGGGATGAAAAACAGCCTTTGGTGCTTAGTCGGAAGTTGATCAGTGATAGTTATCTCAGCACCTTCATTCTCAACATATAAATACTTATCATTATACGTAAGATAATGTATACCATCAACGATGGAATATTTCACAACTACATTTTCCACCACTTCGTTACTACAACGCCGTGGAAAAAGCCGAGTATGGCTAAGGCATAGAGTATCCCTGTCCTGGTCCCACATTTCTAGTCGATATTCAGTTTTTTCTTCTACAAGATTTCCTTCGATGTCGAATAATTGAAAATTGGGATTTTTTTTTGGAAGTGTGAGCGTTTTCAGTTTATCCTATTCAGAATTTAGTCGGGTGAAACCATCCTCAGACTTTTCAGTCAATATATGCAGGACAAGGAATCTGACGGATGAGTGGTACTTGTATGATTCTAGAGTTTGTATATTACAACATAAATGCTGATTATCTCCAAGGTTTATAATGAAGAACTTGTCATTGCATTGTTTGGACCTGGTAATTTCGGCAAAGCCGGGGATATCCACAGCAGTGTAACTTGCGATTATGGAATCATCTTCGGCACTGGAGCCTCTTATGCATTCATTTGTGAAAAATAAATAAGGCGGATTTTTCCTACAAAAAACATTATTAATCCAATCACAATATCCCTCGATATTGGGCTTGCCGAACAGTAATTGCTTCATAACGAGATTACGACAATTGTAGTCGCACTTGATTTGGCGGTTATGGTGACGAGCAATGAAGTGTGTTTGTTCCAGCACTATAAACCTTGAGCCTAGTCTTGAGTTGATGGCCTCTTCATCATCGTATTCTATGCACTTGCAATCATAGTCTATCATACACTTCTCGATAGAACCAATTACAAATCCTTTGGGAAAGAGAACGTCCATAGTATGCTTCGGTAGTTAACATGGATGCAGAAGAAATGAAGTATCCTCCAGTGGTTAATTGCGATATTTATACTGTTTTTGTTAGGTCATCACAGATCTCGGAGGTTACACGATAGTGGCTTCCTTGTGTGCCCTCTCTGCTAAGGTGGCGGTAAGACCTGGTTGCCAGGTAACAAACCATAAACCCATCCACGGTCAAGCGGGGCCAAGGTGTAACCGTAGTAACTTGATCTTTTGCGTTGCTTCGGGTGAGCACAGGTAAAATTCAACTACCTTGCCTGTGGATTCCGAATTCACGTATAGCCGTTACTGATGAGGCAAAGTTATTTGCTATTTCATCCAGTGTTAATGGATTGGCTTATGTTGAGACCCAAATTTTATGAAGCAGAGAATACTCTAGCCCCCTTGATGGCTGTCAGCCTTTTTATTCCTAGATTTTAATGGTGTTGGATTGGATAAGCCAAGTTTATGCGGTGTATTCATCTCAATTACGATATGCTCTTGTGAAGGCGTCCTCTCCATCTTACCTTCATTGCTTCCTGATGAAGACATTGGAGTTGCTGATCTTCTTGTTTGTGACGCTGCCCATGGTGTTGGTGAAAACAGCTTATTTTTCTTTTCAGCTTTCCTCACTTTTTGCTGCAGTCTCTGCGCCATCCTGGGCTCAATTTTTTGTCGCTTTTCTTGTCCTGACATCTTCTCTCGCTCCTTCTCCGGTACATCTAACACATTCTTTTCCCTAGCTTCCCGTTAAAAGCGCACAAAGCTTGCAGCCCAATAGAAGTTTTGTCGACGTTTTATTCAGTGTTTAGCTCCAAAGCATCTAGACTCGTTTTAAAAAGAACTCTAGAGTACCAGCACTTCTGTTTGTAAATATTCCCTCCTCCTTAAAAGAACAAGAGCTATAGCTATTCGTAAACACTTCAAGGGTAAGAAACGTAATGGAATTCCATTTGAAAACTATGAATGCGTTGTCTTCCGTGGGGACAAAATATAATCTTTGGTGCTTATTCGGAATTTGATCAGTGAGGCTGATCTCATCACTTCCATCCGCAACATGTAAATACTTGTTATCATACGTGAGGTAATGTATACCATCAACGATGGAGTACTTCACAACTAAGACTTCCACTTGGTTATAATAAGTCGTTGCAGAAATTTTGCCATCAAAAAAGTTCAGAGCATCCATGTCCTGGTCGTACATTTCTAGTTGATATTCTCTATTTTCTTCTGCAGAATTTCCTTCGATGTCGAATAATTTAAAACTTGGGTTCTTTGGTATAGGTGTCAGCATTTTCACATTGTCATATTTAGAATGTAGTTGATTAAATCCTTCCTCAGATCCTCCACTTATTAAGTCCAGGACAGAATATCTGACGCATGAGTGGTATTTATATGTTTCCAGAGTCTGTATATTGCAACATAAATGCTGATCATCTCCAAGGTTCACCATGAAGAACTTGTCATTGCACTGTTTGGATCTAGTAATTTCGGCAAAGCGGGGGATATCTACAGTGATGTAATTTGCGATTATGGAACCATCTTCGGCACTGGAATCTCTCAAGCATTCATTTGTGAAGAGCAAATAAGGCGGACTTTTGCTACGAATAACATCGTCAATCTTCTCGACAAGGTAACTTTCGCTGACCCAAGGGTCATCTGATAGTAAGTCCTTCATAATGCGGTTACGACAATTGTAGTCGCACTTGACTTGTTTATTTGGGTAATGAGCAATGAAGTGTGTTTGTTCCAACACTATGAAACTTGAGCCTAGTCTTGAGTTGATGGCCTCTTCATCGTCGTATTCTATGAACTTGCAGTCATAGTCCATCATACACTTCTCGATAGAACCAATTACAAATCCTTTGGGAAAGAGAACGTCCATAGTATGCTTCAGTAGTAACGTTGATGCAGAAGAAATGAATTATCCCCCAATGGTTAATTGCGATATTTATACTGTTTTTGTTAGGTCATCACAGATCTCGGAGGTTACACGATAGTGGCTTCCTTGTGTGCCCTCTCTGCTAAGGTGGCGGTAAGACCTGGTTGCCAGGTAACAAACCATAAACCCATCCACGGCCAAGCGGGGCCAAAATGTAACCATAGCAACTTCATCTTTTGCGTTGCTTTGGGTGATCACAGTAAAAATCAACTACCTTGTGTATGGGTTCGATTCCACGTATAGCCGCTACTGATGAGGCAAAGCTATCTGCTATTTCATCCAGTGTTAATAGATTGGCTTATGTTGAAGACCCAAATTTAATGAGCAGAGAATACTCTAGCCCCCTTGATGGCTGTCAGCCTTTTTATTCCTAGATTTCAACGGTATTGGATTGGATAAGCCAAGTTTATGTGGTGTATGCATCTCGATAACGACATGCTCTTGTGAAGGCGTCCTCTCCATTGTACCTTCATTGCTTCCTGGTGAAGACATTGAAGTTGCTGACCTTCTTGTTTGTGATGTTGTCCATGGTGTAGGTGACAGCAGCTTATTTTTCTTTTCAGCTTTTCTCACTTTTTGCTGCAGTCTCTGCGCCATCCTCAGCTCAACCTTTTGTCGCTTCTCTGGTCCTGACATCTTCTCTCGCCTCATCTCCGGTACATCTATCACCTTCTTTTCGCTAGCTTCTGGTAAAAGCGCGCAAAGCTTGCAGCCACATGGTGGTTTTGTCGACTTTTGATCCAGCCAAAGTAGATGCCGACGAAATTGAAGAGCGGATCGAAACCTCTCTTTTGAGGGATGGCCTATCAGCAAAGGATGAAAACTTTCATTCTCTCCATGAACAAGAACACTTCATGAAAGAAAGCATACCGTAAATATATATATCACTCTTGTTGTGTCTTTGATGATCAAACATTTTGTATCTTGGTGGTAACGCTTGAAGTCTGCATTTTCCTTCAAAGTTGGTTGACTTCAGTTACAGCGGAAGTCAATGATCACTCAATATCGTTACAGAAGAATGACGTTAACACACCTTGATGGTTTATCTTTCGTTTCTCAGCTAATGCGGTACCTAGTAGGTACATCCAATAATCACACTTTTCAGTTTCCGTAGATATTTCAACGTATTGTCCTACTCCGTTAGGTGCTCGTTTGACGGGATAGAATTCCGAATTAGCATCCGAGGCCTTTGGTGGTGTGATATGCTGTATGTCTTCTGACATCGTAACTTCATTGATTTCCTCTTTGCATGAGCTTTGGTGCGTGAATTATATGAGTACAAAGTGCAAAATAAATTTAATAGTACAGTCAGCCAGGGCCAGTATCGTGGCGTTTCCGTGTCAGTCACGACGTCGCGGCAAAAAGACGAGCTGTCAATAATTCAAAACCTCAACATTTTTTTCCCCTCTATACTACTGTAACAGTTAGCATTAGCTTCGTCGGACCTAATCGCCCACACTATGGCAAGCTTACAGATCCCCACATGACTATGACGTACCGCAGCATTCGCATTTCACAAGGAAACCTAAATTTCTGCCAAGCAAATGACATGTCAAGGGGTGTAACGCGTGCTTCGTGTTTCCTTTGTGACGAAAGGTCACAGTATGGAGAGAGGAAAAAGACTTTAACAATTAAATTGCAATGTGTTTCAATCCATCGTTTCGTTATGCCATAGAGGGTTTTCATGTCATCCCATGGCAATCTTATCGAAGAGGTTTACGACGTCGAAACCGTCTTGAATCCTCCCTTCCCTAAACGGAGTTATTATGCAAAAACTGAGAAATGGCGTGGCTTTCTATGTTGGGTAGTCAGCATTCCTGACTTGGATGAATTGTTGACGTTTAAAGCTTATTAGGCGATTGTGGGCTAAGTGGTATTAAAGGCAAGAACTCTATTTCAGCAATCTTTATGGATAGTCATATGAATTCCAGTGAATTGTATAAGATGATTACAAGCTGGACGAATCAGAAATCAGTCCGAATATAATTCAGCAGAATACACAGTTTTAGGTCTATAGATATCCTCTTGGCAAATAGTAATGGGGTGGAAATCGAGACCATTAGTTAGAGATCCAAATGCTTAACTGTCTAACCTGCCCACCCGAGCATAAAGGTGTTGTGTAACACTGGAGGTGCCGATTCTAGTGTAAATGAGGTTGTTATATACCGTGTTGTTTACTGCACTTACGGAAGTAAGAGTAAACACTGCAAAAAAAAGAGCTGGTAAAGCAAGTGCCGATATTGGGTTACAGTGCCATTCTTCTGTTAAGCGATACGTAGCACATTTGCATTTTGCCAAGATTCAGCTGTTTGTCATTGAAAAAGTGACCAAAGCGAAAATAAACTGGTGAATAAGGTGGTTTTCTCTGCCGTCATACGCCAAGACCAACCTACTACAATCCTAAAACTCTTCCGTGCCATGAACCTTCTGTTTTAGAGTCTGTTTTTGAGGGGGAGTTAGTCGTGAGTTTGTCTATGATGTGTAAATTCAATAGGGTGGTTGGATACACCGAGGCACTACGGCGGAGTCGGCCACACTAAACAGTGTATAAAAAAAAAAAAAAACCAGCGCCCGCCCTGTGGTAACAATCAAACCAACAACATACAGGTGATCCCTGGGATATGTCGAGCATGACAATAGAAGGAGTATTTGTTTAATGGATGCAATAGATCCAATAAGAGCGTTTCAGAGTACGCAACTGTTAGTCTAACATGTCACTTTCACCTACAATAAAAAAAATATAGAAGCCAATTTTTGCCCAGATTGCCAATATTATTTTGCCAATGCCTTGCGTTACCGTAGCTATCACAACCTTTTTGCCGTAGGGTCACCTGGACTATCACTCAAAGTAGCTTATATTTTGACTTCTCATGTGAGCTATAGAATGCCTTTATTATTGGAAACAGTGTTAGCAGCTCTTTTCTTGTTGCAGGGTCGCCCTTTTTGTGAAGATATTGATGGGAAAAGGATTGCCAGGGCTCGAGTAGCGACTTCCCGGGGATTTCAGACGGTGATTGAAATGGTAGCCATTAAGGGAATTTTTTTAACGCGCCAAGAAGCGGGGTTTTAATAGCAGCGAACAGCCATTGCCAAGAACACCCTGAAATGGTGATGTGACTGGCAGACGATCCATTACAATGAACCTCTCTTTAGCTTCTTTTCATCATTTCGCCAAGCGTGAATGAAAGACTTAAACTCGTCTTTCTTCCTTTTTCCTCTCATTGATGCCTCCTCACCGTATGAATACCCTCCCCACTCCTCCAGTATCTCCCGAAGTGCTGTCAACAGGCATGAAGCGATCACTCGATACCAGGTATTCATCCAGACCAACCCCTTTACGAATGTTGTGGCGATCAGTCTATGAACGACGTATGGACGTAAAGGCTTTAAAACGCTACCTTCATCGACATCAACATTTGGATATCAACGATGCTAGAGGCTTCAGCGTGTTCTATCATGCATGTCGAACGTCCTCCATCGATGCTATGCAATATTTACTCAACCTTTCGCAAATTGATATCAACAAACGCTACGGGCCCCTTCAGGCCGCGGTACTGCATGCATCCGTGTGCGTAGGATCAGCAGCAACCATTGATCTACTTCTCAAGCAGAATAACATCAATGTTAATTTAACAACTGTCAACGGACATACCCCACTTCACATCGCTGCTCTGGTGAAATCGGTCGTAGCCACCGAAAAGCTGCTGGCAGCAGGAGCAGACCCTACGCTAACCGACCACTGCGGTCACACACCCCTTCATCTCGCCATATCACAGGGCAGTATGTCCACCGTCAAATGCCTCTTGGCAAACAAATCGCCTACAATGGACAGTCAACATCCATCGACAACAACAAAAACGTTTCCGCCACTAACACACGCCATAGCACTAGGTCATTATCCTATCATGTGCGAACTCATCAACGCAGGAGAAGATATCAATAAACGTGACCACCTGAACCGAACACCACTAGATGTTGCCATTACCTTTCAACGGTACGACTGTATGAGTTATCTTGTGGACTGCGGTGCTCAGCAATCCATAACGCATCAAGATTCAAGTCCGCCTGAAATGCTATCCAGCGCGGAAAAACCAAAGGACATACGTCAACTTATGTCTCTCGAATTTTGGACCTCCCCTTCTCCAACCATGTAATATAACACAGACTCACAATTAGCCTTTGAGTTGTATATATACTATGCAGCACCTTTTGTCTTTTTTTAAAAAAAAAAACCAAAACCAAAAAAACAAGAACGTCATATCTTGTCTTGCTGATGTTTGTAGAGCTTTGTTATTATTATCATGCGTCAGCAATAAATGGACAACCACAATAAGGTCCTAATGGTATTCGCTCTTTCTGTCTACGTAGTGCTTCGTTCCTTGCCTTATCCTTGATAGCCACATTGTCTCTGTCCTTGAGAATAGTATAATTAAGTTTCTTAATGGCCAGCCACTGTCCCCATCCTAGCACTTCCAGGCCCGCCTCAAGAGCATCCACTTCTCGCGTTGACCAAGGTATTCGCACTTTTCTGCTTCCTTTTTTGACAGGTCTGGCCCCAGTATTGACTGGGGGCGCCCGATGGACTTCAACTTTGGGTGGTGGATTGGTTCGCTCTTGCTGCGATGTTTCAGGTCGCCAAGACAATGTAAGATCGGTTGACGTAGATGACGCTTCCCTAGCTGGTAACCGGGTTGCGTTCGCTGCGGCAGCAGTAGAACCTTCTCTATTTCCAGTAGCAACATGCGTCCGCGATGATTCTGGTAGTATAGACATGTTTCGAATCGCTTCACGGATATATTCAGGCTCTGGTTCAGTCACAGTCATTTGCCGAGCTTCAGCAGAAATATGCAATGGAAATGTTTCTGCTCCTCCTGAAAAAAAATACCATTTGTTATTAATTTTCCCTCTTCAAACCTTACATCGTTCATTTTCAAGGTAGACTACTCACCTTCAGGTGAAGTCGGTGGTGTGAGTCCACTGTCTGACCATTCATACTCATCTGCTGAATCCGGTGGACCCACCACCACAGATATGTTTGGTAAGCTTCGTACACTGGAGAGCATGATTTTGCCCAATGCTGTACTTTTGACGTTGGTAGCCAACGGTTCATTCATCACCGATGTCTTTTCGAAATCCTCCTCTGTCAATCTTACGGCATCTTCTTGCGGATCAGTTATTCGCTTCTTATTGGACCTTACATAAGAACAATCGGTTAGGACATTATTAAAATCATTGACACGGTAAAGGTAGAAGCTTACGAGGAATTGTTCAGGAACAAGGGTTCATTTGCGTGACTTTGAAGAAAAGAAGGAAGAAAATGGTTTAGATGCTTTCAGATTGGCGAAACAGGTTCGATCTATCTCTACCTTGTTGCTTCTGTGGACAGATGCGACTGTCGGGTATTATCGAATAGGGACGATTCCGGAAGCTTGCGTTTCACAACTCGCCGTTGTGGTATTGGTTGGGTCGGAGCGTCTGGTTGATGACTTGGCATATCCTCAAATATACTATCTTCGCGTTCATTTCCGCTCGGATGGATGTTCCCTTGATTTGAGTTTTTCGTGCTACTCTCTGGTTCGCCAAGGTCAACATGACTAGAAGTTGTAGCACCGATGCCTGCTGCGGGACTATATGATCGAGCAGACGACTGCGTGGCTGGTGCCTGACCATTCGCGTCCGATAATGCAAAAAGGAGCTGATCAAGTCGTTCTTCTTCCTCCTCCATCTCAATTTGCTGATATTCGGAGGCGTGTGTGGTATCCCTACAATAATGTGATAGATGGTTGACACATCCGTTTTTCTGTACAAGCGATAAAAAAAAGGTCAACTTCTATGACTTACTTGTGTCCTGCCAGCGTTGATGTAGAGATAGCAATCTGTACACTCTCCGACATGCTGCTCATAGAATACGGGTCAAAGCGACCTTGTTGTTCGGCATGTACTTCCACAGTGTCATTCACGTCTTCCGTATCTTCGACGCCATATGGCGTCTCGTTGTCTGATTCAGGTGCTTCCTCTTTCACATTCATGATTAGAGCCTCCATGGCGTCCAGCTCATCGTAAGATTCTGACGGTGATATGTCGTCCTCCTCTTGAGCCTTCAAAACATACGCCTCGAATTCGTCTAAAGCCTGCATCAAATTCACGTCGGGTTAGATCGCGCATAAAATGAAGCAATTGTACTAAGCTGAAATAGCAACAGCTTCAATTCTGTACTTTATTTGAAACACCTGCCTGTGTCATCGTATGTGGAGTATGGTTAAATTGTTGCGTGTCACTAGGGCTGCTTAATGGTGGAATGTCATAAGGTACAGGGAATAGGAAGTGGGATAAAAAATTTCGGGTTCAAAAAAAGAAGAAAGCGCTAGCTCATGCGCCAGAAGAAATGCTAATCCCCGTCATATCAACCTCAACCTCTGCACTGACCGAATGCTACACATAGGTAAACGTTTTAGTCCATAAAACACGCAAAAAAAATTGAAATATAGTCGCTCTACATACCTGGGAAACCGCAAATGGCACAAGCAAGGAAGTACGCGATCAACTATTGTCAAACATTTAGGCGGTTAGTTATATTTCAGATATCTCATATGTGAACCAATCCGTCTGCAACCCAATACTTACAAAGCAGACAATGACTATGATGAACATGAGCTTGGTATTTTTCCACCACATTTGTCTCTGTTGGAAAGCAACCGAGGTAAGTCAATGCGATAATGGTAGAGGAACTGAGATGCACCAAAACAAACCTTGAGTTGAGTTGAACGCTTCTTGAATGCAAATGCTTGCTGATTCAAGTTATCGGTTTTGTCTACAAGGAGCTCAATTCTTTCACCACGCTCCAATACGCGCTCTAGTTGGATGGACACAATCCATTTAGTGTTACTGATGCCAATCGTTACAGATCCTTCTCAGTAAAGACATAATACGACACCATACCAATGTTATGCACCATCACATCTTTGACTTGTTCAATTTCTCCGTGTACTTGCTTCAATTTGTTCGCTCCTGGATTTGTAGAATACTCCTCCTATTCATAGTCAGCTATGACGTTTTAATCCCTATTAGTCTGATAAAGCTCAAAGGACGCTTACCATCTGCTTGGCAATAACCTTCGAGAACTCGTTCATGCCGTAAATCGGAGCATTTAGAGCGGCATCTCTGTCATAAGCTGTTAAAAACTTTTCCTTGATATCTTGCAAAAACGCAAACGGAGTTCGTCGGCCAAAAGAATCGTCCGCCATGCACATGTAAGTCAGTCCATCTTCACAAATGTAGTGGAAAAGGTACCTGCAAGTGATTGCAAGTCTCTCAGTATATGGTAAGTAACTACCAGATCAATATTGAGCGCTCATACCGGTCATATACATAGGTCAATTTGGAATTGTTAGGCGGAATCTTTTCAAGAATGGCCTGCGTAACTTAAAGTGCCCAGAAAATACGGCGTTAAACAACGTTTTCGTTTTGCTTCATTTGAATGAACTGCATGTTTGCGCCAATGTTACCTTGTGCAAAGTTTCCTGTGCTATTTGTATGTTCAGCTAATATGACGAAGCCATGGGCTACCAAGCCGTAGATCAGCGACATGGCAAGTTAATGGTTAAGAGTGCTAAAGGGTGACCCAGTCACGCCAAGTAAGAAAATGTGGAATTTTGCCTTCTCTGGCCATCATATTTCAACGCTTTTATAGATCCCTTTTTTTAAATGATAAATGAATTATGAGATACTCTCTTATATTTTTTGCCAATCCTTTGAGCTTTGATCATCATTTTGCAACTCGTTTGCCCGCCAAATGTGCGCGTGGATGAATATCCAACCACATTTGTCGAATGGACGTGCTGGTGACTGCTCGCCCAACATACAGCCGAGACAGAAAAGTTGCAACACACGAAATTTTGCTTTCTTGCGGAAACTCACAGTTGCTGGCGACAACTACTCGAAATGCACTGGCTGCAAACGGTTCACTCGAACTTATCGAGTTATACTTCACCCCACAATGTCGACATCAAATTTATAGACATTCCAACAACGCCTTCTCCCATTCAGCCTACACAACACCAACCGTCTCCGGCAGCGACTGTTTTCCGTCTAAAAGACAACACTGCTATCGTACACGCTCGCTTGACCGATGCAAACACAGTTCTCGAGCTAAGATATCTTAACTGGACGGAAAGCTCTGATGCAGGAAAGCCTTTCAGCAGCCCAAGGAATCTTCGCCTTCAAATACGACTGTCTGCAACGCTACTTCCCGTCATCCGCTTCTCGCAGGATTCAGAAAACTTGTGGTGCTATGTTTTGACAACAAACAACTATCTCGTCCGTATGCGACTAACCTTGGAAAACGTCTTTCTCACACCTTTGTCCGGAAAATTTTACTCGCTTCAACAGCTGGATAGACACATTGTTCCCATCACATTCGGCATCGTGTCTAGTACCCAAGTAATAATTGCTTGTGAGAATGGGTCTTTGATATATCTATATGATTCAAGCAATGGAAAAAGAGATAAAGGTAATTTTTTAGGTGTACCAGACGCAATATCCCTATCTCCATGAACGTATCTCATTAAATTAAATTACATGCATAGATCCATTTTCAAGCTATGAGATTGCTCAGCAAGATTTTACTCCGAGACAAAATGCACTCAGTTACTTGAACTCCATTCCCTTGCTATCAAATTTCTTCGGTGATATTGGCGATACAGATCACCAGGCCTCACCTCAGCCAATAGCATTGGCATTGGAAACAGTATCCCGAAATTCAAAATCATCAGCCATCGTAGCTGCGGTCATTTGTAGAGATCGACGACTCAGAGTTTGGATAAGCGGACACAATTATACATGCTCACAAGCTATTGCAGTTTTGCCATGTTTTGATCAAGACAAGAACCTTGTCGAAAGTGGAGTAGATATCATTCGCGATGCTTTACCGGGATCCATTGTGGATGCGCCACACATTTCACCACGCTCTCAGAACCATGAGCCCGACCTCGACACCGAGCCTAGAAATCATTTACGGCTTTATCGTGTTAATGATGATATCATTTTGGCTGTGGTCTATGTACAATCTGAACAGCAATGCTGTTTCGCCATTTATCAAATAGTGTTGGAAGATGGTGATATTCGATCACTGAAGCTTGTGCATGTGGTGGAAAGCAACTATCAACCCAAGGAATGGCTATCTGGGTTCGACATGACTATTGAACAGAATGATGCAACTCTCTGGACAGTCTGGGACACTCAGCCTGATTCTATCGTTCGTACAGCGACCATATTTAATGTCGGCTGCGAATATGATCCATTTAGCGAGAGTGCCATTCCTGTTCGTGTTCGATGGCGAACCGTGCTTCCTGATAGTACAAGCTCACGAGTAGCCGTGCAACGCCATAAACATCAAAATGAGCCCGAAACCTTCCTCAAGAACATTTTTGCTCCTGGCGCATTCAGTGACTCGACCATAAGAAAAGCTCTGATGGTCTATGTTGGAACTGTAGATCCTCATGAAAGAACTCTTTTGCAAGATGATTTTCTGACTGACAATGAAGATAGAGAGGAGCATGAAGTTACAAGCATTGGTAACAGCAGTGATGATGACCGGCCAACGCTACAAAAGTATGTTCGCGACTTGGTTGCAGCACATATCGAGAAACAGAACGACGATGAAAGCTACGAACCAAACGTAAAGCGTGAATGGGAATCTTTCTACCAATTGTGCTGTAGCGCTGAAGACTTTGAATCTATTCCATTAGGAATTTCAGCTCCACAGTCAGCGATATCTTCTGATATCTCAGCTCCCCTCATTATTACTAGACACGATGGTTACGCCGCCGCCCGTACTCTGGATGAGCTTGAAATACTACAACACCACTTTTCTCCACTCAAAGACGATCTCCACCAGCAAAGCTTCTTTCCGTCTGAATTGGAACATAATGTGTTCGATGAAGACGATGTCCAAATCAAGAAATTGGTCAACAACGGAAAATTCGATTCTGGCCTCGTCTTGTTTGCGGATGCCATGGCCTCCCTCATCGATCACCTTGGCGAACAAGCCGTTGCAGATATTGACGTGTGGTTGGAACAAACGTTGCTAAAAGATAACAGCACACCGACTGCTGACGCTATCGGCCATCAACTTTACAATCGGTTTATTTCAACAGCAACACTGTCCGACTATGACAAGAAACTGACCATGACAAAGCTAAGAGAATGTCGTGACTTGGATGAGACTGTGAGCCTTGTTTTGGATGCGTTGGTTGATACGTGTTTGGACGCGGTGTCTGGCGACAAGACTTCAGCCATGACAGATTCTGTAGTCACCAACGCTACCCATCAATTGGTGACCACACGCTATAACGTTGCAAGAAATACCGCTGTGACACTTGCTTTCTTACTGGCTTTAGATGGAAATCAGACGGTCATGAAGAATACTGTTGAACGATTGGAAGACTGTCATAATGCTTTAAAAGCCTATACCCTGCTCAAATGGATGTGCAACCAACCATTGGATCGAGACGTTGAGGCGCATTTTTCTGTGGAAACCAATGCTGCTCGAGACAGCCTTCAGCCGTTTGTTGTCTCCAACGACCATTCTCACACCCACACATCCGGTTTGATGGATCTACTCGTCAGTCGTCAATATCCTGTATACATGCAATATGGATCATTTGAAGGCGCTGTGACCCGTGCTGCTCGACATTTGATTCGGCAATTGAATGTTCTGCCAGCAAGTGGCCAGTTCAATAATGCCTCAGTTGTTGATATCGCCAATTGCCTGGAATCCTTTGGCCAACCTAAATTAGCGTTGGCTCTCTTGCAATGCCTGCCCATGTCAGATGCTATCCTTTTCGTTCAAGCCAAATGTTGGACAAGTCTCGGTCAGACTAAGGATGCCGAAAATGCTTTCTTGCGAGTTGCGAATGGATTTGGTGAGTGCTGGAAAAGGTCTCATATTGTTGATAGTCCATGGTACTAACAAGGTCAGTAGATGACTTTTACGAGCATCAACCCCAAAGTAGCGTTGGACAATCTCTTCAACAATTATTACCGCATGGGTGCGACACCTTGATTGAATATTACATCCATGTTTCGGCCTTTGTGTTTGCGCACTCACAAGCTGATCTAATCATCAGATTCAGTAAACTGGCTCTAACATCTATCGAAGCAGTACATGAGTCAACCAAGGTAAGCGTTTTGACATCTAAAGTGACTGAAGTTGCAGCCATCAAAGAAAAAAGGCTAACCGATTCTTAAGGAGAAGGATAACGGGCATAAGCAACACCTGGGATCTACGAGTGGTTTATGGTACCGAGTGTTTGTGGCCTATCTATTAAAACAGGATATCGAAGGAGCTGTTACAGCCATGTCATCAATAGAAGATTTGGAAAGGTATGATAATCAAATATCAGACGCACAGAAGGCGGAACTAACATAATAATAATAGGAGATCGGATACTGCCAAATACTTGGTCAACTGGCTTGCGGAAAACAACAAGTTGGGATTGATTTGTAGTCTTCCTCTATCTGGTCTACGAACCCAAGTGGAGGAAGCACTTGTGTCGAAAGCCAAGCGACAGCAAGTACCTGTGCCTGAGTCTCAAGTGGACTTTTCGAAGAATTTGTATGCTTTTTACGTCTACGCGGGAGACTATGGTCCTGGTATGTATACAGTATTTCCGCTGAACAACACAGAGGACATCCTACTAACCAATATGACATATAGCGGCGTTGTCTATGTACATGCTCGCTAAACGCTGCCAGCAAAATCTGAAGGCGCCAAACGCATTAGATCAGTCAATCAAGAGCTACTTGGCAGCGATCAATTCTCTTTCTTTATTATCACAGGATAAGCAATGGCTGTCTGTTCCCTTGGAGGTAAGCCTGCTACATACCATAAAATGCAGCATTATTGAAGTGACTAAGCTCAATATTGTTCCATAGAATGAATCCAAAGATCAGTCTGAATTGAAAGACTTGGTTACTCTGCGAAAAGAATACGTCGTCACCAAAGCGCATTCAGATTTGATGACCCATTACCCTGAGCTTGCAAATGCTGGTAAGTTTATTCTTTACTTTTAAAATATATCATTGGCAAATCAACGATCTAATCGATAACACAATAGATAATATTATTGACGTCAACGATGCCATTGAAAAGTTTGAAAAGCTTGGACTTCAGAATAGAGTAAAGTTGTTGAAGTTGTAAAATTGTAATCTATAAATCATATCTTCCGCTGGATGGTCTAAGAAAGTCCAACTTTCTCCATGACATCCATGAACTCACTCTGGTCAATGAACCCATCTTGATTTTTGTCCGCGATGTCAAACATTTCTCTTAATTCTGTCATACTCCAGTCTTCACCCACTGTCCCTGCAACCTTTTTGAAGGCTTCAAAAGTGAACTGGCCATTGTGCTCCTTATCGAACAAATCGAAAGCCTGTTGCACGGTATCATCCATACCTTGATCCCTCTAATGCACCAGGTATGAAAGCACGATTACTATGCATGGTCCATAAAACTCGTTTGAATTCACTGTAAACCTCACCAGAGCACGCAGAGCAATATCTGAAAAGTTCTCATACGTAATAAACCCATTGTTTTCAGGGTCCATCAATTCGACCAGCTTTTTCCCTCCTGGAGCACCAAGCACATCGATTGCTTCAATGGCACTTTCACGCTCCAGTATTCCCGTCTCACCAGGATCAAAGTCCTGAAATACTGAAATACGCTTAATTGACATTTAGGATCCTTTCGTTTACATGTATTTCCTCACTTACCTTGCTCTATCTCAGCCAACGCTATCGCATCCTTCGATTGGCTTGCCTTGCCTTTAGCTCCTTTCCGTTTAGACTAGAATGAATTAACATCGTTAGAGCAGGTTACGGAATCCAAACCCTTTTTAAATGAAACGGTAGTAGGTAGATTCATACCATCAAATTGCATTATACACGGTGAGTATCAGGCAGAACGCGCAGCCATAGACTTGATTAACCGGCTGGCAATGTCATTAATGGGGCACGTGATCGGCAAAATTCCTCTGCTAAGCGGCAAGGGTCAAAGCATCAATTTTTCTTGAATTCAACCTTCACAGCCAAACACTTGTAGCATCATGTCTTCAAAGCCCAGAATCGCTAGCGAGGACATTCTCGCACAAAAAGTAAGCTCATTGGATAATAACGTTTTTACAATTCACGCTTGATTAACGCATTGCTTTGCACAGTGGGATCAAACCATATCCAACTTTGTTGTTAAAACCGGAATTGGCTTCAGCGTTGGTATTGTTGCCTCTGCCCTTTTGTTCAAAAGTAAGTACAAGTTTGGACGAATCGCCTTTGTTAATGCAAGCCATACTGAGTAAACTTTGACGTTAGAGCGAACGTGGCCTATTGCTATCGCCACTGGATGGGGTTTCGGTGTCGCATACGCGGACGCCCAGGTAATTATCGTACTTGTTATTGAATGAATATCCCTTGTTCTCTCTCTGACCCACTCTTTTTCATATAAAGAAACTCTTCCACCCTCAATACGTCCCTGGTGTTACCATAGAAAAGCAAAAGCCATCAGTACAATGATTCGAAAACGTCGTCCAATAGATGCAGCGAAACCCATGCCAAATTACTTAATAAACCTCGAGATCAATCTCATATCACAGCATTCTCTTCCTTTTTTTTTAACTATGCGGCAAGCCGCTATGTCTTAGATATTGCTCGTCGTATCAAAGTGGTATACATGTAATACACAATGACATTTCTTTGATCGGCCTTGGTAACCAATTTACAATATTTACCTAGGTCCCTTCTCTTTTCTTTCAGTTCATGTTCAACCCATTTCATAATACGTAAAGCTCGGCTGAAAACAGATGATGCTCTGCAGTCTTTATCTTTTGCGAACTGCTTGGCCTCGTTAATGCTATGCAATCAAAAACACGTTCACTCGAAGATCACATGACTTATTATCACGTGATATGTATTTTGTTTGACATCATCAAAATCAACTGGCCCTCTCAAACACCTTCGTCAATACAGTTCAAATATGGTACGAAAGTCGATCAACGTGCAAACAGTTACAACTAACAGCCTGAATGACTGACTGATATTTTTATACACAGGGTGCCGTTCAACGTTTCCCTTATCCCAAGGAAGTTTGGTAATTATACGACTAGTTGTTCAAAAGCATTCCATGTCAACCCATTCATCTAAACCTACGGCATTTTTTCCTACTATAGGTCACCTTCTGGTGGTTGGTGGTCGCGACCCAAGACCTGGAAGTCCAACACTGCAGTTGCCGCCATCGGTATGGCCGTCACCCTTGCAGCCATCTGGAAAGTCTCCGCAGACAAGGAATGGAGACACCGAGAACCCACTCGCTGGATTCCTTCCATGATGGTAAGAACAAGTACCGAGCATTTCTCGGCTTACGATATTCTCGTACTGACCCATATTTTTTGCAGTGGTCTAAGCAATTCAAGACTGGCGAATTCAAGCAAGATTAGATCTCTTTTTTAATTTTTCACTTAAAGACACACTTTCATACCGTTTGACGAAAAAAAGAATATAATATCAATCGAAAACTATCGCAATTTTTTGGGAACCACGTAGCCTTTATCCAAGGCTGTCGTGTGAAAGTGCTTCACAGACGCTGCTGTAACGGTGACATTGGTAGCGGGTTTATGCTAGATGTTGGTGGAAAAAGGAGTATAACAAATTTTATGAGGATGCTGTGTTATATAGCGATTAACACTATAGACCTTTGATTGCGACAAATGTATGGCATCTGTTTATGACGATGAAGCAGTGGAAGTTATGTCTATTTACTGTTCAGGCGTCTCTAATTTACCATTTTAATGTGCTTCGGCTGAATGGAGTGCGCGATCTATGCCCAGCTCAAGCCTAATACACTCTTAAGTTCTACAAAAGATATCAACCGAATACCGAAACCCATTTACTAAAGTTTTCATCATAAAATAATACCGCCTAGCGTCGCGATCGCAAACATCGTGATGATAAATTGGCAACTCTTTGCACTTGCGACGTCAAAGAAGTAGCTTTTGTTTCAAAACAATTGTGAGAAAATCCGCGTACCAATACAAATTTGCGTGTGAGATTGCGCCATTGAAATAAAAACTTTGAAATTGCTGCTGCACTCCATAAACTCGCACAACGCTTCTTGACTTGGAACTAAAATAATGGCCACGCTACCTATCCTCGATCTAAGCTTGTTTCTTTCCAACTCACCTGAAGACAAGGCAGCGTTCGTCCACAACTTGCAAGACGCTGTTCTGAAATATGGATTCTTTTACCTCAAGAATGCACCATCTTTGACGCCTGAACTGCAAGATAAAGCTTTGAAACAGGCAAAGGCTTTCTTCGCCTTACCGTTGGAAGAAAAACTGAAGATTGAAATGATCAATTCTCCGCATTTTAGAGGATACCAGCGTTTGGGAGCGGAGACAACCAATTTCAAACAGGACAATCGAGAACAGATAGACTATGGTATGGAGGTACCAGCTGAAAATATGACCGACGAAACTCCCGCATACCTTGGCCTCAAAGGTCCAAATCAATGGCCAGATGTGCCCGGATTCAAGGATACCATCAAGGAATATATGAATGCTTGTTGCGAGATCGCCAAAACGTTGATGAGAGCCGTCGCTATCAGTTTGGACTTGGGCGAAAACCATTTTGCCAAGTTCGAACATGAACCTCACGTCAGAATGAAAGTGGTCCGCTACCCTCCTATGGGCCACGCAACGGATAAACCGCATGAACATGGTCTTGGTGTTGGACCACATAAGGTGGGTGCTGCTTTATTCAGGGATGATACCAAGTGAATGATGTTGCATTAACAAGACATAACCAGGATTATGGATGTTTGACTATACTGTTGCAAGATGATGTTGGCGGCCTTCAAGTTCAGGGCATGGATGGTGTTTGGATTGTAAGTTTCCTTAACATGTCGCTTGATTTGAAAGCATTTTATGTTAACGTGGGTCTTATATCCCTACAGGATGCAAAGCCTTTGCCAGGATGTCTTGTAATCAACATTGGCGAGATGTTTGAACGCATGACACAAAAGACTTATGTTGCCACTGTCCATAGAGTTCTCAACAACACATCCGGCAAAGACCGATTGTCATTGCCAGTATTCTTCAATCCAAACGTTGCAACCCAAGTTCCAGTACTTCAGGTGCCTGAATACCTACTTGCCAGCAGACCCAAGGATGTGCAGTCAGATGTAAAGGAGGAGCAGTTACTCCAATACCCTGTATATGGTGAAAGTGCCTTTCGAGGTCTCAGCCGGAGCCATCCCATGGTTGCCAGCAAGTGGTATTCATACCAAGGAGATGTTTGGAGGCGTAAAGTTCAAGCAACACAGTGATATAACTGTTTATATAAGATACCTTTCCATCTGGAATGGAATGAGAGATGCCTACATATTTTTTTGATAGATGATATATAAAGTACTCTAGCCTACATCGAAAAAGAATGATACAATGGTAGCTGTGTGCATAGGACCGTAAAACTATCGATGAGTACTTGTTCCGATAACTTGGTTCCTACAACCTAGACAGATAGCCACTCAGTAATATTAAAAAAAAATCGATGAATTAAGTGGGGGCCTTACACGAATACAGCATGACGTTGTACATAAAAATAGCCTTGACATGCCTAAATGAAAACCAAGCAAGCTCGCTTTTTTGCTTAAGCTCAGCTATGAAGCAATTAAAAATGGTTGGCCTATTGAATACCAATATCCTGTTGAAATTTTTATTACGATCAGTTCAGGTCTAACCTGGCAAATCATGTATCGTAAAACCAAACGTTTGCGGTGATACGCTTGCGGCCCTTATACAATCATTTTGTACTTTAATGGCCGCTCTGATTGCCTCAAGCCAACACTTCAAGTATGACAAGTCCAACGGATGCCTTGCCTTGCGAATTATGTACAGGAGCACAACCTGAAGCAAATATCGATGACAGCAGTCTAAAAGGCCGTCGAACTTATCGATAATGAAGAACTTGACATGGTTACAATACTCCAATGGAAAGGACGGTTCTGACTAAATAAGGTAAGCATTGCGTGGCCTTTCAGACACTTGGTTAAATTTTTCTGATACCGACGAAAGAACTTTCAACGAATTTTTATTATTAATTTTTTTTCCTACAAAAGTATAAAAACTGCTGGTGGTCAATCACGACCAAATTAGTGATTGGCCTTCAAATATGACAACTATCTTTACACCCTTAACATTGCCGAATGGCGCTGTTATACCAAACCGCATTGCAAAAGCTGCTACACAAGAGCATTTGGCAGATAACGATCAAAATCCCTCCAAAGAACTGTTTCAACTTTACAAAGCATGGTCTGAAGGAGGATCTGGACTGACTCTCTCGGGACATATCATGGTTGACCGACGCGCCGTAGGAGGAGCTGGCGATGTTGTTCTTGAAGACGATTCCAACCTCGATATGTTTAAAGAATGGGCTAAAGTCGGCACAGTGGGAGGAAATCACTTCTGGCTCCAAATCAACCATCCTGGCAAACAAATGTTTTACAATTTGGGACAAACTGCACTAGCACCGTCGGCCATACCCTTGAGTAACGCGGGTATGTTTGCTGTTGCTCACGAAATTACGGAAGCACAAATTCTGGAAGTCATCGAACGATTTAAGACGACCAGCCAGCTTGCCGAAAAAGCAGGATTTCAAGGCGTCCAGATCCATGCTGCCCATGGTTACTTACTGAGTCAATTCCTTTCGCCTCTTAGCAACAAGCGCGAAGATAAGTGGGGCGGATCTCTGGAAAACAGAGCGAGACTTCTATTTGAGGTCATAAAGAGTGTTCGATCTGCCGTTTCGCCCGGTTTTTGCGTTGCCGTTAAGATCAATTCTGCAGACTTTCAACGGGGTGGTTTTGATAACGACGATGCTCAGTGGGTCATTGAGCAAATGAACACCATGTCAATTGATCTCGTCGAGCTTTCCGGCGGCAACCTCGAATCACCTGTTATTATGGGTCCTGACGCAGCAATGAGCAACGACAAAGAAAGTAAAGCCGCATCCACTATTGCTCGAGAAGCTTATTTCCTCACCTTTGCCGAGGAGATTTCAAAAATTGCTACCATGCCTATCATGTTAACTGGAGGTATCACCAGAAGAGCTGTAATGGATAAGGTGATTGAGAGCGGTGTCGCTATGATCGGAATGGCAACTGCCCTCATTTTGAAGCCAGATTTGCCTAATGAGTTGAAGAATAATTTGGATCCTAACCCTAAAATGCCTTCCATCAACTGGAGACAGAAGTCGCTCACCGCTTTGGTCAAAATCTCTTACCTCAACCACTACATTCGCGTAACAGCTGAAAATCAAGAGAAACGCTCTTCTGTCTGGCCATCCTGGACATTAGCCAAGCAACTTTGGGGCATGAATTCGAGAGCAAAGATATATCGCAAACATATGGAAGGCTACACCTATAAAGGTCCCGTCCTTGCACAGTAACATACTGTGACTCCGAGATCAATACCTTTTAATTTTCTTACATTTATACCATAAAACAACAATCACTTTCTCCCATACTTTCACCACTTGACGTTCGCTCCTCGTAATGAATATGTTGACAGTTACCAACTTTTGCACTTTTATTTAATTTCTTTTCCTTGTTTTTTGGCATTCATGGTGGCGCATATAGTGTACATTGTCTCTAGGTAAGGAACACTAATACCCTTAGCTTTGGCTCGTCGTACCGGGTTACCGAGAATGACCTCAGTTTCCATTGGCTGGTTTCGTATGGCATCCAAATGCATAGATGGTCGATATCCAGGTCCAATATTGGCTACTCTGTTGTATTGTTTCGCAAGTAGCTCATCAACATCGAATTCATATCCGTAAGAGACGGCGGCCCTAGCAACGTCTTGCATTACATTTTTGAACAATTCCGCTGTCATAGGGTTGGAAATCACTCCGTGCGTATCCATGTCTGTTGTGACACATAGAGAAGCTGTAGGAGCAATCCTAGTATAATATAAACCGTTAACATCATTTTACTAGCTGCCATCGTTATAAAGCTACTCACAATATAAGCTTCTGCCATCGCGGCAGCTCAATATCAGGTACGGTTTGGATAGAAACATCCCCTTTTTTGAAAAGGTCCATCAATCGATCGGCTTGCTGCTTTCCATTCTCTGTTGATACCGGATATTCTGCCATAACAAGGTTTTCGTCTCCCATCATTTTAATCTCTCCAGGAGAAATTTGGGATGTTGCAATATATGCCACGACAGATATCAATACATTGTTAGGGAATGCCTCAGCCAGAGAATCCTCAATGCCAATACCGTTCTGAATGAGGACGATGGATGTTTTACCGATCGTCACGGCTACAATAGGGCAAGTTGCATCAATAAGCTATGCGGCAACCCCGGCCAAAAAAAAAAAGGTTGTGCTGCTCTCTGTACCTGGTCTAATAATTTCTCCAACATCATACACGTCGGGTAAAGCTTTCATTGTAACAATGATGTAGTCGTACTCTACTTCGGCTGCTTCGCTGGTGGTGCGGAACACTGAGTTGGTTAAGGAGTCAGTCACGATAACGGAACAATGACATTTTTGCGAAAATTAAGCCAGGTGCATACCCTTTGTAGGTCGGAATTCGCCACTTCCCCATTTGGCTGAAGTGATAGTGAATCCATGTTGGCTGACCACGTCGAAATTAGAGCGACAAACTGTCATTACTTCGGCATTCTGTGCCAATCTCCATGCATATGTACATCCCAGGGCGCCAGTTCCAACTAAAGGGAATGAGTAAGTTCAGGGTAACAGTCAGTCGAGCGAGCTATGAAGCTTACCAATAAGCACTTTAGGTTTTCCGATATCTTCACTCATGGTTAAACAGAAGAAGGAGAGAAACGGCGTCGGTATTTATATTGTGTCAAGGTTGATGGCTGCATAAAAAGTCAGGCACAAACACCGCCTGTTCGGCAACTTTAATACAATTACAAATTGAAATTTCTGCTTGCTGAGACTCTGAACATTGTATTTATTGAATTTTAAATCCTGGCTTCAACTTTGATTTTTCCTTGTTTGCTAGCATTGATTGCAGAACAAATGGAATATATGCTTTCAAGATATGGCACACTCACTCCATTCTTCTGAGCGAGACGTAGAGGATTTCCTATAATGACTTCAACCTCCATTGGTTGTCCCCGGTCTGAGTCCAAGAGCATACTTGGCCTGTAATCGCTAGCAACAGAGTTTGTATTCTTAAACATTTGTGCAATTTCATGCTCTGCGTCAAATCCATGTCCATATGAATTGGCTGCTCGAATAACATCCTCCATGATATGCTTGACCAGAGTGACGCTAGGTTCATGCGCAAGTACTTGCGAGGTATTGAGGTTCGTAGCAACGCATACGGCAGAGAAAGAAGCATTCCTAAATTTGGTATATTAGTACGCTACTCGAGGGTAATTTATTTAAGCCCTCTGTCCTTACCAAATAAGCTTTTGCCATCGAATGCGATTGATATCAGGAATCTGTTTAATGGTCACCCCTCCTGCCTTCATAAGTTCTAAAAATTCTTCGGCTGCTTTGGCACTCTTCTCGTCGCCCTTGGGATATTGTGACATCAGAAGATGCTCGTCTCCCATCATTACAATATTGCCGGCTGATGTTTGGGAAGTTCCAATATAAGCGACAACGGATAGCAGTGGATTGGATGGGAATGCATCTGCAATAGGTTGTTCGATGCCTAAACCATTTTGGATAAGAACAATGGTGGTTTTTCCGCTAGTGATGGCTAATTTGAGAGCGGGCCAGTCAGTTCATCAGAGTTATATCATCAACGAGCGAGTATGCTTATATATCTCTAACCTGGACGAATGATTTGGCTCAAGTCAACGATGTCTGGTAGTGCTTTCATGGTCACAACAACGTAATCAAATTCGTCTTTTGCAGCTTCACTGGTATTCTTTATGACTGGATTGAGGTATCAGAAATAGGAGATTGATATGAACCGAAAACATTGAACCAACACTTACCAGAAAATGGTCGGAATGTCCCTTCACCCCACTTTTTTGATTTTATAGCGAATCCATCACGACGAACTACATCATAGTTTGAGCGACATACGGTTGTCACAGCTGCAGTTTGTGACATACGCCAACCATATATACAGCCAACAGCACCAGTACCGACTATAGCGAACGAAAGGAGTATGAATACGAATAAAGCTAAAGTACAGACTACTTGATCCCACTTACCGATCAAGGCTTTGAGATTTTGCAAAGGTGCAGCCATTTGTAACGATTGACAATTGGGAGTTAGTTGGGAGAACAACGTGGGGATTAAAAAAAGTGTCAAAAAGTAGGATGTCTTGCTTTTTAACTTTCGCAGTTACTCAGCAGATATGCCAGTTTATTGCTTCGGGTCCAATGGCAATGGTCAGCTAGGGATTGGTCACGACATAGATCTTCGAATACCAGAGAAGTGCTCTTTGAACGTTCCGGACTCTTCCATAGCCAAAATAACGGCAGGTGGTAACCACTCAGCATTACTGACAACCGACGGCGACATCTATTTCTGTGGCGATAATAGTCAAGGTCAATGTGCTGACGTGACCTCCAGCACCTTTCAGAAATCACAAACGTTAGCTGGAAAAAACTGGAAAGATGTTGCGTGCGGCTGGTCTTTCACTATCCTTGTCGATAACTTTGGACAAGCGTACTCGCTAGGCGCGGGTAACCGCGGAGAGCTTGGTCACGATGATAAGCTCTTCAAAACAAACATGGCCGTCGCCATCAGAGGCGTAAACCGAATTGCCACTATTGCATGTGGCTACCGACATGTGGTTGCTTTGTCCATAGACGGTGTGGCTATGGGTTGGGGCTCCAATAGCTCCGGTCAACTCGGCACGGCTGCATTTCATGACAAGAAAACGAAGTCCGTCTTACCGACTATCATTTTCCAGGATAACGTAGCTGCAATCGCTTGCGGCCAAACGCACTCTGTGTTTTTGGATGGGGCTGGAAAAGTATATACCCTGGGGCTCAACAAATATGGTCAACTCGGCAAATTCGATCCATTAGAACGGGATCGATCAGACCAGCCAACGCTCAGTCTTTTGCCTGCACGAGCAGTCAATATTTCATGTGGATGGCATAATACCGTTGTGCTCACAGACACCCACGAAATATGGGGTTGGGGGAGAAATGATCATGGACAGCTGAAGGGCATTGAAGCTACGGGAGATGGATGGCGAGACAAACCGGTCAACTTGGCGTGGAAACCTGTTCGCTTGCAACAACCAAGTACAGCTCAGGACATGATCTGCGGGTCGGAACATGTGCTATGTATATCCAACGGCGCTGTGTATGCATGGGGCTGGAATGAACACGGCAACTGCGCTACCACTGATGCGGATGTGTTTGCGCCCTATGCTTTGTCGCTCGCCAATCCCAGGATGGTTGCAGCTGGATGTGCCACGTCGTGGGTTATAGCAGACTGACCTTTGCTCGATCGCCATACCAATAGATTACATATGATGACAAGGGCTAATTTAGTACCACCTGTAAATATAAAAGACTGCTTATAATCATACTTTGATGCGTTGTAACATAATTGTATCCAAGGACTGGAATGATCTTTATTAGCGACATTTTGTACAGGTGGAAAGTAAGGATCTATTTAAACTTTTGACTGCAGTCGGTGTGTTTCTTCCGGAGTACAGTTTAGCATAGTTGTAATAACGGGAATGAGTCTCGCCTAGCAGAAAATGAATAAGTTAAAGTGAAATCTACTGATTCATGGCATATTACTCTAACTCACCCTTGTTCGCTTGTCCTCAATAAACTTGATAAACACGTTCTTCAAGTATTCAATGTTAACTTCTGGCGGTGTCCCAGTGGCTGACGCATTCCTTGGTATATTAAGTGACATTCTAGCTGAAGGAGGAGAGGATTCAGACAATCCGATATGAGAGTCAGACCGGGATGGTGGAGATGTATGATTGCTAGGAGCATAATTGGGTCTGGAGAACTTGCGGATTTCTTCTTGAAGTGTCTGAAATAATAAACAAAATCAGGGAGTCTGTTACGGGTTGTCTTTACAACATACTATGTTTTTGCTCACCTTATTCAACATCTTGAGATGGCTCTCTTTGACCTTGATCTCCTCTATCTGCTTATTTCGACTTTCCAAATCCTTCGATAGATTATCATTGATATCCTTGATCCGTTTCTGTAGTAAGAGATTGTTAGCATACATCATTACACATATAAAAGACCACTTCATCTTGAGATCCACCTACCAATTCACCCTCAAGAGAATTCCAATGTTCCTTGTCATTTTCCCAATCGCTGGAAAGCTTGGATACATTCTCTTCCAAATCCTTGTTGCGCAAACTAGCCGACTCGAGGCCTTGTTGTAACTTCTCTATCGATGCAGAACGCTCTTCGATTTCCTTCTTGGCGTTGTCAAGGACTTGTCCAAGGTTTTCTAGTTTCTTCTGAGCGTCATCCAAATGGCTCTGAAGTTGATCAGATTCGGTTCGCTTTATGTTCTCCAAGTCACTTAGTTGCTTCTCAAGCTCGCTGATTTTCACTTTCTTTTCATCTGCCTCTTTCTGTGCATCTGCGCTTTGTTGACGTAGTTCTGAAATTTGCTTAGATGACACGCCCTTAGCTTCCGCTAGAGCTGCTCTGAGAGTGTTACACTCTTCCTCAGACTTCTTGAGAGAAGAAACCTGCTCATCCAAATGGGTTTGCAATCCATTTGATGCGTTTCGAGCTGTTTCTAGTTCATCCTGAGCAAGCTTGAGTTGTTGCTTTGTCTCGGCAAGTGTATCATTGTACTCGGACTCTTTCCTGGTGGCCTCAGCAAGTTGCTCTTTGACGCCATTGATGCTAGTTTGATACTCTTGACGCTGTTTGTCCAATTTTTCATTTAAAGAAGATTCGGTTTCCTTGACGTTCTGCTGTGCAGCAATGAGTTGATCAGTGAGCTCAGATAACTGACCTTTGAAGATATTTATCTCCTCTGTCAGATTAGACCTATCCTTTTCCAATTTGGTGGCTCGTTGCGTTGATGCATTTAAATCTTTAGTGATAGATTCGACCTTCTGTTCTAACTCGCTAATATGTGAATCTCGTTGATGTATCGTTTCTTTGGCAAAAGTAAGAGACTCTTCGATTTCTTTGCATTTCGTTTCGTGAGTTTTGATGGTCTCTTCAAGCGTTGAGATTTTGCCTTGAAGGACGGTAGCTGATTGAACTGCGGAAAGTTCAGCGTTCTTGTGCTTTTCAACCAGGCTATTCAGTTCTTCAATCTTGATGCTCAATTCCTTCGTAGCACTTTCGTGTGCGTTTTGCTGTTGCTGAGAAAGAGTCTCCTGCTCAGCTTTCCAAGCAGAAATTTCATCACGCTCTTGTGTCACTTTTTGCAATAAAGCTGCAGCTTGCTCCCGCTCGGCTGTGAGAAGACTATGGCGCTCGCTGCCTTCTTCTTTCTCTGAAAGCAGTGCCAGCTTCTCTGATTCAAGACTTGCGATCTCCTCTAACTTTGCTTTGATTTCCGTGGCATTCGTTGCTCTCTCGCTTTCCACCGCTTGTCTTTCGGTCTCCATCATAGCCTTAAGGTTGTCAATAGTGCTGGTGAGATCTGTAACCTTGGCTTCCAACTCTCCAGCGTCACGAAGCTGTTGCTCTACTTGGTGTAATTTTTCCTTGACGGTCGAAAGCTCAGCTAGGCCACTGTCATATTTTGCTTGCAAGGCTGCATACTCCTTCTGCACATTCTCGCTCTCAAGACGTTGTGTTTCTGACTGTTGCAAGTTTGCCTTGGTCTCGGAAAGTTCGGCATGACAGCTGTTATATTGTGCTTGCAGATTATCATGTTCTTTTCGAAGATTCTCAATTTCACCAAGCTGTACCAAGGACTGCTCCAGCTTTGCCCTTTCGTCGGATAATTCAACTTGACAACTGTCATACTGTGCTTGCAAGTCATTATACTTCTTTTGAAGATCTTCGTGCTGAGCCGTAGTATGAGATGTTTCATTTGCGCTGGTGGTGCCGTTTGCTTTAAATTCTTCCAGCTCTGTAGAAAGGTTTTTGATTATGCCTTCCTTTTCAAGAATGCGTTTTTCAGCTTCTCGGTTTTGCTCCTGCAATTTGGATAACTTTTTGCTGGAATTGCGCTCAAAATTCTGCCGCTCTTGGTTGATCTTGTCAAGTTTTTGCTGAAGAGCCACCGCCTTATTACCTTGCTTTGAATTTTGTCCATTGGCGGGTTTTGGTTCATCTTCCTTTTTGCGTAGCTCCTCAAGGGAGGATTCAAGAGCAGATATTTTCTTCAAATGCTCTTCTTTCTCTTGACCAAACTTCGCTATGTGGCTGTTCAACTCTGCGGTATTAGTTTGAACAAGGTTCATTTCACTGCTAGTTTTGGCTTCTAGTGCTTTGGCTTCTTCTAATGCCTCATTGGCTGCCTTCAGCTGCACTTTCAAATCTAAATGACGCCAACGCGATAGTTAGTACATATAGTATGTCTCTAAAGACAACCTTCATCTCCTCCCAGTATTTTGATCTGCATAAGGCGATGCTTTCATACCTTCAATCTGCTCTTGTGAGCGACCGACATTCTGATCCTTCTCATTGATGGAAGTCTTGAGAGACTCAAGCTCATCACTAGTTACCTTCAATTGCTTCTGCACATCTTTCGTTGCAAGACACAGCAAAAATATTCCTCAGTCAGCGTCATTTCTTCCATCTATAGGTATAACATTTCTTAGATCATACCTTCAGATTGTTCCATTTGTTTCTTGAAGTCCGCCAGGTCAGATTTGGCGTGGTTTGCTTGGCTGATGTTCTCATTGGCAGTAGCTTGACTCTTGTCGAGTTCACTCTTTACCATGTCTAATTGTTGCTTCCACTCTAAATATATCATCATTGATTCGTTAGTTTCAACAGCTATTCTCGATATCGGAATTCCGAAAGTCCTTTCGCATACCTTTAGCTTCTTCCAACTGTGTCTTCAAATCTGTATTTTCTTGGTTGATACGGTCAACATGGCTTGATTTCTCGTTGACATCAATTTGACACTTCTCTAGCGCGCTTGAAGCTTCTGTTAATTTCCTCTTCAATTCTGATAGCTCTTCCTCCTTCTTTTTGGTAGCTGCTTCGAACACATCTTTCTGCTCGCGCAACAAGTGGTCAGATCCAGCCTTGTGTTCTTCTGCAGTCGTTTGGATCCGCTTCTCGAGTTCTTCGATTTTGGATTTCATATTAGCGTTGTCTTGATTCACTTTATCGACGTGCTCTTCCAGCTGTTTCTTTTCCTCAAGCTCAACCTTCAGCTGCTCTACGTCGGCCTTGAGCTGTTCGTTGCGCTGGTTGGCTTTCAGCAACTGATCTTGAATCTCAGAAAGCTCGGATTTACAGGCATCGTGGCTGGATTCCAGTCCATTGACAGGTTCATCCGTAGCAGTTTTAGACCCCTCGACTGATTCACCTTGGGATTGCGTCGATTTCAGCTTTTGTAGTTGCTCTTCCAGCTCCTTATTTCGGCGATTCGCTTCGTCTAATTCACTTATGAAGTGCAACAGATTGTTTCTGGATTGCTCTTTTTCTAGGCGCAATTCCTCAACCTCATTCTTCAGCATAAGCAGCTCTTGGTTTGTTTTCTTGACACCACCTCCGAGTAACCCACTGCCGGTGGTGCCTGAGCGACCTTTGGACATTGTAGATCAAAAGTGTAAATGTATAAAAGGGACTCAGGGTCGAATGCGGTGGTTAAAAAAATTGGGTATGGTTTTATGAAATGGATTCAAGTATGTTTGTGAGGGTAGATTTGTCTAGAGGAAGGTACATAATCTCAGTTCCGTCTAAAGTTCTTCTACTTTGTATAATTTTATGGTCTCTGAATTCAGTAAGCTGTGTTCGGAACGTGATGTCGTTGCTAACAAAGAACGCCTCTCGACATTTGGTATAGTAGGCGTTGTAGGTCAAACCAACGCTTTCGTCGCCTCGTCCTTCCATGGTGGCCAGTTCCATTTCCATGACTTGATGCTCTGCTAATACCTTGAATATACCTCTTGCATTGCTTGTCAATGATGCTAAAACATAATTGACACCGCGTGATCCTCCTAATTCACTCTGTCGAACCATGAGCGTGTTTTCGAAACTGGTTTCCACCAAATAGTCATCGAACGTCGTAGCATCGTGCCAAATCCAGTTGAATCGCGATATCTTGATACTATCCCATAAAAGTCCAGCATTTATGTGATCAATAGATGCAATGATGTGAATATTTGGACAAGATGCCAAGATGGATAGTGCTGTCTGCGCTCGCTCATTTCGTATGTTTGCGCCATCAATGTTATGAATCAATAAATAAATATGCTCATATTCATTTTCGCCTCTTTGGAAATGTTCCATAATCAGGCTGACATGGTCTTGAATGGATCCAGTCGGGGAGTTGATACCAAGCGCACCTATGGATAACTTATTCAATATATCCTTGATGGTGATGGAAGGGAAGTAGCCGTTCACAACAATCAGAGGTCCATCCGTGAGATAGGTCTGTGCAAATTTGGTCAACAATTTTCGCTTAGATCCATATCCGTAGAAAAGCAAGTTGTAGTGTGATAAAAGCTCGAATTGCCATTGTGGAAATTGTCGTTCATGGAGAGAGTGCAATATAGCGATATCTTTGGCGTGCTTTTTCGGAGCCTGCGACAGCTTCGTCTTGAACTCTTGAGGGTCTAATATTGGAAGCTTAGACAGAGTGTTGTTTGATGTCTTATTCAATGCATGCAAATCTTGGAAATATCGTTCGTATCCATCTTTTTCCAGAGGATCTTTTGGTACTTCTTGTTCATCGTCGCTCTCATTCTCTTCATCGTTATCAATTTCACTGTTGTCATCATCACTATCCACTTCATCTTCTTCGTTCAAAAGTTGTATCTGTCGATCTATGGCCCTCTTTTTCTTGGCAGTACGATATACAGTGCTATCGGTCATTTCCAACTCCGTTGCTACATCATCACGTTGTCGCTTGCTGGATTCTCCCTGTTTAGCAGCATTTTTTGGTGGACGTCCACGCCTTCGAGGTTGCTGAATTTTCTCTTCATCAAGAGATCCAATGTTGTCTGATTCGTTATCGCTATCATGTTTGGCTGTGGCTATTTCTACTCGAACCGCATTTTTCGGTGGACGCCCGCGTCGTCGAGGCTGAGGTATGTCCGCACCAAGCGATCCCCTATGAGTTGAATCTTTAGCATCAAGACCGTGCTTTTTATTGGTAGTTGCTTCTACACGAGCGGCGTTTTTTGGTGGACGTCCACGTCGCCGAGGTTGTGGCACCTCTGTATCAAGAGATATCCTGGACAACTGTTCTTCTACTTCATCGCTACTGCGTTTGTTGGAGACATTATTTTCTACACGAACTGCATTCTTCGGTGGACGCCCACGTCGTCGAGGTTGCTGTACTTCTGTTTCATCGCGACTGTGCTTGCCAGCGATAGCTTCTACGCGGACTGCATTCTTCGGTGGTCTTCCCCGTCGCCGAGGTTGAGGCGCTTCGTTCTCATGAGATCGCTGGTGATTTGATACTGATTCAGATTCATCACGTCGGCTTTTGTTGCTGGTAGACTGTTCAGCCTTCGCTGCATTTTTTGGCGGTCTTCCACGCCGCTTGGGCTTCTGTTCCTCTTCTTCGTCTGAGATAGCATGCCCTTCATGTGCTTCTGCTAATCGTTCACTAACTATATTAGCAAAGGATTGTTTCTTTGGCCGGCCTGCTTTGTTGGATGCTGTCGCCATCATAGCCATTTTCATCATGGATTCAACGCCTTTGCCTTTCAATTTGGACAAGCCAAATAAATTTCTACCAGTTGCTCCGTTTTCTTTGTCACTTCCACTGCCAGTCCCATCTATCTCTTCGTTAGTTTGCCCATTGTCGTCTTGCAGGCGGTTGTGTCGGTTTGGAGTGTGCAATAATATTTGTTCTGCATCATCATGCTGCTTCAGCAGGTTGGGTATCTCGTCGGTGTCGTCAGTAGACGCGACTGTCAGTCCAGCATTATGGTACAGTTTCTTTCGTTCTAACCCTAGGAGGCCACGTTGAAGTCTCTTGGTTTTTGTTACTTCCGTTTCTCGAAATGCAGCTTTAGGGTGCACTGTGTTTATGAAATATTCCATAACTCCATCATTGTCATGATCTCGTATGATAAGTTCAGACATGGCAATTCGGGTCAGGAAGATGTGGAAAATGTGTCAAGAACAAAATAAATAAGAAAATTTCCAGCTTTAAGTGATTTTTTTCGTTGTCACACCTCTTCACAGCAAGAAGCAATGTCACTGGAAATAGAATCGTCAGAGTAAGCCAATGCCACAATAATTGGAAACGTCGCGTAATAACTGAGATACTCAAACACTGTTTTCAAGTGTTATACGACTGATCGAACAGTTTCTAAAGGAAAACAACCTTTCACGAACACTTCAAACTCTGCAGGTAATTCATAAATTCAATGTACAAAATGGTCGATCAAAGTATGGCTAATAACGAATATATTCACTTTCTCGGGATAGGAGGAGAGCTCTATATCTCTTAATACGGTTGAGAATGTCGACGCGTTCAAGAAGGATATAATAGACGGAAACTGGGACTCAGTCCTCACGACTGTTCTCAATGCAAGTGTTCCAGCCAAGCAACTTGGTGATCTCTATGAGCAGGTACTGTCATCTAGATATCCAAAGCAACTACATTCGAAGTTTATCTAATACCTTTAACGCCTTTTACATACAGATCATCGTTGAGTTGATTGAAATGCGCGAGTTAGGTGCAGCTAGATCACTGCTACGACAGACAGAACCTATGCAATTGTTGAAGGCTCGAGCGCCCGAGCGATTTTTGCGCCTGGAGCACTTGGTATCGAGGACATATTTCGACATCAAGGAAGCTTATCCTGATGGAACTACGAAGGAGAAACGACGTCAGGCAATAGCGAAAGGTAAGCGTGCTTGTGAATAATCTGCAACTATGTGCCTAGATTGAGCTAACCATGCTTTAGCCTTGGCGTCTGAGGTATCCACCGTAGCACCTGCAAGGCTTCTTACTTTGCTAGGTCAATCATTGAAGTGGCAACAGCAACAAGGCTTGGTACAGCCAGATACAGCTTTCGATTTATTCCGAGGTACGACACAAGTAGTAAAAGCCGAAGACGACGCAGTGCCCACAAAGCAATACTCTCTTATCAAGGTAATCCATTGGGTATCAGGGTGTGCTCCAGAAGAATATAATCTAATACAGCATTTACCAGTTTCCAGGCAAAAAGACATACGCGGAATCTGCCGTGTTTTCTCAAGATGGGCAGCTACTTGCTACTGGCTCAGTTGATGGATTTATTGAGATTTGGAATTATCTTACTGGAAAACTTCGTAAGGATTTGCGGTACCAGGCGGAAGTATGTATTGTATTCTGGATTCACAAATCACCGTTATGAGCTTGAATACTGACGCGTTTTGTTCCATAGGAAAACCTTATTGCTATGGATAACTCTGTCATCAGTTTAGCATTCAGTAAGGACAGTGAGCTTCTTGCATCGGGATCAACTGATGGCGTCATAGCGGTAGGTCTTACGAAGCTTCATATCATAAACAAATGAGATTCTGACCATTTTGGAATTGCCTTAGGTGTGGAAAGTCGCAACTGGTCATTGTCAACGAAGATTCTCACCTGCGCATAGCCAAGGTGTCACATCTATTGCCTTTAACAAGGACGGAACACAAGTGTTAAGTTCCAGCTTCGACCATAGTATCAAAATTCATGGCCTTAAATCTGGCAAGATACTAAAAGAGTTCAGAGGCCACACATCATTTGTAAATAATATCACCTTTTCCGCGGATATGGCGCGTGTCATTAGCGCTAGCAGTGACGGTACAGTAAAGGTGAGTTGAATAGGAGTAACAGTAATAAGTGGTGGAATGGTACTAAGCGCATTTACGTACCGCAGGTTTGGGATACGAAATCAACATCATGCATAGCGACCATTTCTCCTCAGACGCAAGTTGATGTTCCCAAAGGCGCACTAAACCCTATCGGAGGAGCTAGTGGACAGACTGTCAACAATGTTATTGTCATTCCGAATAATCCAGATCAAATCCTTGTTTGTAGCAAGACCAACATGCTATACCTGCTCAATATCCGCGGTCAAATGCTAAAATCATTCACACATGACAAGAAGAGCGGAGCAGATTTCATTTCCGCAGCTATCTCACCTCATGGAGACTTTGTGTACGCGGTAGCAGAGGACTCTGTTATGTATGCTTTCAACATTTCAAATGGAGCTTTGGTCAATGAACTCAAGGTAAGGAAAACAGACGAGCATGAGGGGCAAATCACTTGTATGACTCACGTGATAAGTTATCCCTGCATTTAGCTCACCGAAGCAGAGATTATCGGCATCGCCTCCCACCCATACTCCAACATACTGGCCGTTTATGATGAGAAGGGTCAAGTCATGTTATGTAAAGCATAAGGAAGATTTGATTAATACGCATGGTGTTAGATTATGTACTGGTATCCGAAATGGATGACTTCTGAAAAATTAAACATATTAGACATAAAGTTTTAATTTCATATTAATAGGTGGAAAATTTTAACTTTCTTCCATCAGTAGGGACATATTTCTGTTATCGATACATGGAGTATTTGGGGAGATTACGAGATATTCTATTTCATATTATTGCAGTATATTGCAAATTCAACATAATCTTTGGGATTTTTCGCGCAAAAAATGCGCCGGTATAGCGCAGTGGTTAGCGCGTCTGTCTCGTAAACAGAAGGCCGCCAGTTCAAATCTGGCTTCCGGCATGTATCTTTTTTTTTTTTGGAAATTTTATTAGAGTTTTCCCTATTTCCCATATTTTTTCAATTCACCACATCGCGTTTATTGTGTTCAAATCATAGCAGTAAACTGTCGTCGTTCATACTATGAGAAATGCAGATACTATTTTTATCAAGTAACAACTTGGGTTTCAAGCGGTCTACCAACCTGGCGGCCAATACTGGGCCGAATGAAGCCACTCCGGTACGATGAATATTCAGATTTTGCAACTCGTTGATGCTAATCACTAAATCAACGGTATAACTTTGTATGAATTGCTACAGTAATATTCTTGTGCACTTGTTGTTAAGGCGAACAACACGTGATCACTCAAGTAATACTGTCGTGTCCTTTACTATGTGGCACCAACTTCCCAACCAACTCACAGCGATGGTCCAATCTTCAGCGTTGTACGGAAAACTTGCTAACACCTTCAGCACTGCAAAGACTGTCGCTATTTCGGATTGGCATGTGCATGCAAAGCGCAATTACGAACAGCTGGCCCTGAAAGCACAGCGCGCTGAGCTGGGAGCCATTAAAGCAGCGCTAGTGATTTCCCTACTTGGTGCTGTTCCTGGAGCGGCCGCGACAACATATGGGGAAGCACTCTCCTCGGGAATTCAGGACATCAGTGCTGTTGCAACCTTATTTGGTACGGAAGCATGCGCATCTCACCTTCTTTCATCTATATCCAAAGGATACATTTATGCATCTGTAAGTATGCTGTCCATGTTTGGCTCTCTGGCCGCTGTTAAAGCGAGTGCTTACCTGATCTTGCCTGCTGAATGGCTCAAGAATGCTGGGATGACGGACTGTGGAGCGGATCTCAATACGATAGGCTGGGGAGACTCTGCTTGGCCGACCAATGTTCTAGCGGACAGACTCCATAGTGTGCCTGGGGGGACTTCGAAGGTTGAATTCTCGCCGAAGTTGCGAAAGTGGATATTTCAGGCTACAGTTGCCGGTCTTTCTGGTGCGCTAGGCATCGTTCCTTTTCTTGCTCCGTTGATTTTGGCATGGGACCATGTGTATGCAGCATTCCCCATCATGCGTGTTGTCGGAGGGACTCTCATAGGCTGTTTGACACCCATTGCCACTATATTATCTTTGCAAACGAACTTAGCAAAAGGCTACAGGATCTTTCTCCAGGCGCTCTTAGGTATCGGTGCGGCCATGACTCTGATTGGATATGTCGGGTGCTATGCTTATATTCAATCGTTCCCTGAACAGTGGATGGTGTACCAGTGGTTAGCCCTCGAGATCGCACTCATGTTGATCAGATTCTGGTGCTGGGCCTGGAATCCTTCGTTTGACGATATGACTGACTTCGTTACTACTTATACACCACCTGTCAAAGTCATGGCAGGATTCGTGCTTCCTTGTTATCGTGATCATCAGAGAGTAGGTGTTAGCTTGGCAATGTTCTTGATAAATGTTGCCACGCACAAGCAGGTCCTTCGTGGACTTCGTCATGCAGGACTAGCTGTTGATCACTTGCCTGAAGCCAGCTTCTATCTCAAAGACGAATACGAAGCGGGTCGTCTTCTTTGGATAATTGATACGGTTGGAATAAGCATGGATGGTCAAATATCGGAGCATCCTTGTTTCCTTTGGATACATGGCAAGGCAACGTTTCAAGGTTGGGTGGAAGTCGCCATGGGTGGTACTGTGGCGTGGTGGAAGGAAAAAAGTAGGCCTACACGGCTAGATGCCAAAACGGAAGATGCCAAGAAGCGGCTCGATGCAAGTTGGAAGGAAATCAATGAAGTAGTCGCCGCCGTTGGGAGTTGGGACGTGGATACGAAAAGCGTGACCGTTTCTACAATGCTGCCAATTGAAAAAGCGACAAAGGGCATAGCCTCCTGGAAGCTTCTTGGCGCGGACTACGCTAAACAGTGTGGTTGTCAGTCTTGCTTGGAAACAACACTGGCTGAAAGACTCACATGCCTGTGGTATGCTGCCCAACTTGAGAGCGCAACCACATTGAGTATCAAATGTATCACGGGTGGACAGATACCCTGGACGAAACCAGATCTTAAAGAAAAGTCTGTGCGATACTACTTCAGGGAGCGTGGCCGGGTTGGGGCTGCATTACCGATGTTTAATGAAGAGAGAATTTATAGTCAGTTCCGGGGCCGTACGGATATAAGTACTAAAGAGATGGAAAGCGCGGTAGCAGCAGAGGTAAAGGCAATGTCAAAGCAGCTCGACGGAAGTAGATTGTGGTTGTCCCATAATGGCACTCCACTGGCATAATCTAGGCAACGAGGAGCTTTGTTTCCCTGGTTGTTGCATGCAATCCGCCTTCAACCATAGGAAATCAGAATCAAACGTTAATCTTAGAAGCCCTTTTGCCACCACAATTACTACAATGTATGCCAATTGCCTTCGTACAGATATCCTCTGAATTCAAGATGTTTCTGCGTTTTTTAAATGCTTAATTGATAACTAATATTATACTATATTCACTGTCCGTCGTACTAATCTCAAGACGATTCTTTACTTCTTAATGAAAGCAGATTTCCGATGACGTTTTTTATGCTCGACATTGTATCTCCCTTTTTTCTTTGCCTATCAATTGTGCTCGTCCATAAATTACATCATAATTTGTGAACTTCGGCCATCGCTTACGATTTTGTATTTTGAGTTTTTGTTAGCATTACTTTGTGCTACTTCTTGGAAATAGACGCTCTAACAACAAAGTATAAAGAGAGCGCTATGTAGTAAGCATGGTATAATATCTCGTCATTTGGCGACATCGTTATTATGAATCTAACCATTTCCCAGAAAGATGATCAATGCTTCAATTTTAAGCGCCAATTTGTGACCGGATAGCAGAAAGTATAAAGGCCAAAATCTGGATTGGGAAATTTTGAGTGGGCCAAATTGTGAACAAAGACGAAGATCAGAACAATCCATGGCAGATGGCAAGTCATGCAACGCTACGCACAACACCAAAATAACAGGGGACTAACTCTTTAACAATAGAAATCAACGCAAGTGTCTTTCCGGCAGCATTCATCTCCCAGATCCTTTGTTCTCGACTGCAACCATACCTCAGGTAGGCTTTGTCGATTCAACTACCTCCTTTGTATGTTCAAAGTGGAACTTACCGGTCATACAGCCAAATCGCACAAGCAACTACCACCAATATTACTTTCGATTATGATGAACAGGCATGTACTTCTTATTGTCTCGAGAACTAAACGGTGATTCTCGAATTGACCATTTTCACAGCGATTCCTGATCTCCGGCAATACAACGGATGCATGCGACGATGCGTGAGTGACATTCTGTATGGAAGCTGTATGTCTCAGTTTGTTGCTTATCATCATTTTTAATAGAGTTGCAAATCTTATAAGACTAATTGAGACTTCGGTAAATGCTGACAACAGTGTTATTGATTGTTTTGGAATAGATGCTAAATCATGCCATTTATCGGCCACAGGGAAGCAACAATGTTGGCGCAGATGGAATGGTCAATACGTACGAAGCTCTTCCTTTAGTAAATCAACTGTCCAGCTTTGGCAGGGATCCACCTACACCCGTGACGACGACGCCTGTGATCGCTGTGCCAGAACCGATGGTAGAGGAAGTTAACTTAAAGTTACCTGTTTTTGAAAGCGATGAGAAGGCTCCGGATGCTGATGAAGATGAAAAGAAGAATGAGCAAGTTTTCAGAGCTGTATTCACCTTCGCCAAGAATGTGCACAATGTGCAATTGGTCCTGTCGCCACCTCATTTGTTCCAACAGACAAGTTCTGAGTACCTGCACCAAATCGCCGAACGCACAAATACAACCTGTACTCTTGATGATCGAGTAAGTAAATGAGCGGGTGGGTTGATTGTATGCAAACATTTGTTGAATGTGAGCATTAACAGGGCGTGTCTATTGCAGACCATTACCATCACCGGTAACAATGAAAAAGATGTTAAAGCTGCTGAGCAGTGTTTCCAAGTATTGCAGGCAATTTATGTAAGTTGACCCAAGCTGCTGTCTGTAAAAACACATTGCAATCCCAACTTGACTGACGCATCTGGTCACAGAAACGCATGAAAAAATACAATACCAAGTGCAAGCCTATTGCCGTCACTCACTATCCTACCAAGTTCGATCACTTTGGTTTGGTATTTTGCCATCTCCCACGATACGCTTACCTAAACCTTGTTGATCTTCATCCGAGCGAATCTAAGCCAATGCAGGCATTTTTTGTGCTGATACCAGCTTTCAAAGACATGCAGGGCAAATACATGCCACCGAAGCTAATGGTAGAAGATCAAACAATGCAAAGTACGAATTTTTCTGACATGGATGCGGCCTCCAGCTCTCCAAATTCACTGTCATCGATTGATGCTGACCACTTGAAGGTCGCCTCACCCTCCATTGACACCTCGTCCATACCTGCCGAATCACCACCAGCTACGCACCATTCTGAAATACCCCAATTTCATATATTACGACCTAGTAGTGATCTTAGTAAAACCAAGGAAGTGCCCACTGTCGTTAAACAAGCCGAAAAAGTGGTCGCAAAAGCAACCGTAGAAAAAAATGTACCCAAACTCACTTCATATTCCAAATCAAAAGTTACGTCAATTCAAAGCTCTACTTGGCCTCAATCGGCAGTTCAAAACCGCCAGCCGTGGAGTGAAATCTCTGAGGCGGCGGCTGATATAAGTCTAGGAGATGATGCATTTCCCCCTCTTGGAAAGTCATCCAAAGCTTCATCAAAAAAGACGGTGGCTTCTTCTGGACGAAAACAGGATGATGTCTCACAGATGAACAGACAATTCAAAACGATGCGGTTGACCCAGCTTCCAGCAAACACGTTGCCACCTGATTCTGATCTGTCGCCAGTAGAAGCGTAAGTAGAATTTTAATTCCATTGAGGAGGTTCTTGCTATCCATTCTAATATATTGCTGCATAGGCTTCGAGCGTATAATTTCCACACCATTTATACCACTTTGCATGAGGTGTAAGTTTCTGATCTATTCACATTCGATAACATGCTAAAAACTCAATGACTAATATGCCTCCAGGTTTGAGGATGTTCGAGGATACAAAGGAGATCTCCGGTTTAGTGCAAGGTACGCTTGGGGTTTGATTCGTTGTGTGTGTGGCGAACAATATCAATACTTATAACCCTTCTTTGTTAGTCTTGGCAAAGTTCTGTGGAGTAACATCAAGCCGGAAGTGCAGCAACGAATTTGGGAATACACAGATCTTCGGGATATCGTTCAGAATCAATACGGCGCCGTGTCGCAGTTTAATAATATAACAACAACCCAGGAAGAGATCGTTAACAGCATTTCCGACATACTACCCCAAGCTTTTGGCCGTAGTGCTCATTATGAAATTACCGCTAATGCTCGGAATCAACCAAACAATCGATACAGTGAAGTTAATATGAAGGTGAATGCCAATATCATCGATCTGGAGAAGGTCACTGTATGTCACCAGACGTTAGCTGAGATAGATTGGGTATCACTGGAAAGGTAAGTCAACTAACTTGTGAGTTGTAGGATGAGATACTACCAGATGCTGAAAGCTTGCCTACATAGAAAATTCGACTTTTCGTTGAAATTAACCAAAAAAGACCAATTACGAACGGACATAAAACCATTTTCAACGTTTATTCGAAAAGTTTCCATGAGGTAATGAAACGATTTGTATAGTCGAAAGTTAGGCAACACTAGGATCTAATATGGTTTGTTTCTTGCAGCGTGAAGAGCCGAAATATCACTTTTCAAAATATACCCGACTTCCTTGACGTTAAACAGATTCTATTTAAGCAAACTCAACGGTTCAGACTGCATTATCCGTTCATCGTGGAGATTACTCGAGTCGAGCTTTTACCGTTACAACGACAAGGGAGTGCTAGTACGATTTTAGGACATACTGGCAAAGGACCTGTTTGGTTTGAGTTTGAAGTACTGTTTAATGAACACTGCGAACACTTTAAAGAGAACCTCAAACTCCCTAATGGTACGCTTGCTTCATGGACTGCCGATGATATGCTTGGACCCCAGGATACAGGAGCGAAGTTTGTTGAAATCATCAAATGTATGCTTTTATTTGTCGAGCACTCTCATCGAGTCTGTTAATGTGCTTTTTACCTTGGCAACCAACCATAGCCCTTGCATTAGTAAACATTTGTAAAATACATACACATAACACATTTGAGCTGCTTTATCCTTGCGCGGCATAGCCTTTTCATTTTCCTTTTTTTTTTTTTTTTCTAATGTGAAGAATTTTAAGGTTACAGTCCGTTGATTCCACTCCAATCTTTGATGTGCCAGACCACGGGAAGGCCTTGGCCACATGCATCAGCCTCTTTTTGCGTATGAACAATACTTTTGGAACTATGACGTTTTCATTCACTCTACCCTGCTCGACTGCTTTTCATTTTGACCAAAGACAAGATACATAAAGCGTCTGTATGCTGATAGCCGTTTCCAAAAAAAAAAATTGATGCCAGATCTATTCAGCACGATCCTAGCTACTGATCTTTTTCCTACATCTCTTTGGGACGTTTTTCAGAGCAAGTCATGCCATACAAATGGTAAGGTCTTGTGGTTTATGATCGCCGTTTGCCCATCTAAATTGGAACAAGTCAAATGCACCATCAGTCAGGTACCACATCACTTTTCCAGCTGATCATGTTCGCACCAAACATATTGGGTGGTACTGCATTGAATTGTTCACAGCATTGATAGACATCATGCCTCGATAATTAAGATTCCAAAGACCGCTGGGCTTCCCTTATTAGTTTCAGTGCCAATCCTGTGTTACTTGATACCCACTGGCTCCAAACAAATTTGACGGGGGTCCAATCGAATCTTCAGCCTGTCGACAGCTCCTTCAACATGGACACGGCAAAAAAGTTAAGTTTTTCATGACGACGAATAAGCAAATCTCCATTTCCTTGGGGATAGAGATATTTTTTATGCTGGTGCTGCTGTGTCTGAATACCATGCGCGCACAGCCCTTGCTGAGTCAGAGTCTGTGAAATGTAATAAATTAGTGGTTCTCAGTTACCTCCTGTTTTCTTCTTTTCTCTACACCTTTGATATGGCACCCACCGTATCAATCCGCTCATGTACAGCTGAGGAGGCTGCAGATTACTTTTATAAATGGCCTGTGAGTGAGGAGTGGAACCCAGGGAATCAAGGCCACGACCTCAACCAAGTATACTACAACTTGGATCCCGAAAGCTTTTTTGTTGGAACCATAGCGGAAGACGGAAACCCAGATAAGCAGACAGTGGTTGCTATCGTGAGCGTCGTACGTTACGGGAAGGAAAGCGCCTTCGTAGGCTTTTATATCGTCGCGCCAGAACACCGTGGCAAAGGCTATGGCCTTGCCGTGTTTCAACACGCGTTAAACCATGTGGAAGATCGACCCTGTGTAGGCTTAGATGCGGTTATGGAGCAAGTCCATAATTACGAAAAGTCAGGCTTCACCATCTCTTCTTGGGAAAACGAACGAAGAACCGGTAGTGCTGACGTGATTTTGGAAAGACTGTCATCGTTTGAAACCCTGGAAGGCAAGAAGGTCATGAATGCGTGTGACGTGCCAATAGAGGAGCTCTACAGACTGGAAGAGAAATACAACGGCTGGAACCGTCCGGTTTTTGTTTCGGAATGGATTAAATTTCATTCTAATAATGCAAAATATGGGCGTTTCAGTGTGGCTGTCATGGAAGAAGGCAAGGTGCTTGGCTACGGCTGTGTTCGTCCCGCCATCACGTCTTTTCGCGTGGGGCCATTGTTTGCGCAGTCGCCAGATGTAGCTAAGGCTATCCTCTACAAGTTGGCCAAGCTAGCCACGGAAGCACTTGCACAGCCGGATAACGACATCACGCCATCCGTCAAAAACGTCTTTGATATCGACATTCCTATTGTCAACCCTCAAGCTGTTGCCCTGTTTGATGAGCTGGATATGCCCAATACCTTCACTACGCTTCGAATGTGGAAAGGAAGAAAGCCCGAGGTGGATACAGAAGGCATCTTTGGAATTGCCACCGTTGAAGTTGGTTAATGGATGCTTTAACTCTAGAACACACTACAATCCATCATTAAAAAAAATATACTTTTTCAAAATTGACGTAAGACTGCACATCACACGGTCCGCTTTTTTGTTTATCGAATGTGACCCCAGCGGAAATTTTTCCAGACAGACATACTGAGTCACAGCAGGTGTGAACAAAATACGTTTATCACGTCAATTATGTACTGTTTGATAAGAATGGTGGCTATACAAATTGCTCTAAACCCAATAAAAAACGTAAAAATAGAGTAGAGAGAAAGGAAAAGCTAAGGTCCAGGTATTGGAAAATGGTATGTAATAGAAAGAACCCTGTCAGAACCGTGGCCGACATGGTCAAGAAAGCAAATGGAGGCATTGAAACTTGGAGTGGGAAGATGTAGGTCTCTAATACTTCCTATAAATTATCAGCAGCAGCAGGATTATTTTGGCATGTAAAGCCCCCCATATCCGCTACCTTTCCATATGAAAGTGGAACCATCAATGGTCCCATTTCAACACTGTTGGCTGGGTGGTGGAGGTTTCATAAGAGCGCATCATTGGATTATGCCGTGGTGACTGCTGCTGCATGTAGACGGGTTGGTAGGGAGGTCTCATTGCCGTATCAATGGCTTGGGTTGGAGGACTCATAAGACCATAAGCCAAACTAGGTTCATTGGATGACAATTGCTGTTTCATTTTATAATGCTCAAGTGTGGCTTCCAGTTCTTGGACCCGTTGTTGGTATCGAGACAAATCTTGTTGCAGGTTGCGAATGTAGTCCACGCTTTTCCTTAAAATAAATCCCTTGTGGGGCTTGTTGACAGGGTCTAAACTTGCCTCTGGAAGTAGGGTCATCAGCTCTTGTATACGATCGTTGATATTATCCCTTCTCCTTCTTTCCACTGCATTATGAGATTCGCGACGACGTCGCTTTTTGTCGAATAGGACTTGCATTCTGCATAAAAAAGCAACGGAGTTAACGGATAAATCGGGCAATTCGCTATTCGAAATAGTGTACCACTGATGTGTAATGAAGATATCACTGAACGTAATTGGCATATCATGATACGTACTGTGCTCGTTGGTTTTCCGTGTCATACATCTCATTACTACTCTCATTTGAGGATGGCGAGTACAAGCCATCATCGTCCTTCTTAGAAGAGGCCCAACTATGACGACGGTAATAATCTTTTTGTTTCTCGGTGTCAGGTGAAGGGGTTGAGGCTTGCTGGTTTTCATAGAGAGGGTGCTGCGGTGGGTAAGCATGGAAGAAGGGAACGTGCTCTTGGGAAGGGTCGCCAGCTTCTCCTTTGATATCAGCTGCGGAATAATGAGGATAAGGTTGCTGATGAAAGTTGTAGTTAGCCATATACGGCGGCATGTTTTCTTGCGTGGGTCGAGCGTCTTTGCCAGCAGCAGGCTCTACTCGAAACGAGCTTATCAAAGCAGATTGTGAGGATTGTATGGTAGACATTAGCACAACATGAAAGTAAGAAAAAAGAGAATAAGCGATAACGAAAAGCGAAATATGCGTCTATTAAAAAAAAAAAAAAAGCAGGTAAGGTGACCTTTTGCGCTTCAACGGAAGCCTTGAAACAATCACAAAAAGCGCTTTATACAGCCAGCACTGCTTCATTTTATCCCGGCAGCTGATGACAGGTACGACGGTGTCATGCACAAAGTAATGTTTACGTTCTAGAAAAGCGCTAGCTAGCAAGGATGGTCTGCTCTTCCGTGTTTGCCTGATGAATGGGAAGCAAACTGGACCATTGCGCGCTTCCGTTCTGTTTGGCTCGTGGGAACTGCTGTTGTTTCTGGATATGGGATGTGGGGAACAACTGACAGGATTAGGATCGATCAGGCGACGCAATCCAAATTTCCATTGGTCACATTTCTATCCATTTTTCGCATATCACACTTCTCCATGCACCAGCCACCTGGTCTGAGCGTCGTCTTCACCGTTGTATTAATATAATCCTCATTTTATTTATTAGTATTATTACCTCAGCGATCTCTTTTCTTATCTGTCAATTTGGGGTTTCACTGTCTTGGTGTGAATTTTATGTCACCGCCAATCAACTCAGTGCGGCCAGTCCAGCCATAAACGCTGGTTAAGTGATGCTTCTTACTATGAACATCTCCTCCAGAAAGCTTGTAGTGGTGTAATAATTGAACCATGGTAGATAACAAGGTGCGTTCCGTGACCTCTGCCCCTAAGCATATACGACGACCGGCTCCAAAGGCCAAATGGTCTCGGGACAAGTCACGTGCCTTATCCTCGCCAGAGTTCAGAGTGTAGAGGTCATAGGATGAGAGCGTGGAGAAACCTTTAGGTGCATGAGGAGGCAAAAATCGTGCTGGGTAAAACTCCTTTGGACCATGCCCATCCTTGGTGGTATAGCGCTTGCTATCGAAGTGGATAGCATCCAAGTTGGCCACTATTTCATTTCGATTGTCAATACGATAGACTTGGTCCTTATAGGCAAACGATTCATCAGCACGAGCGGCATGAGCAAATAATGTCTGTGGAGGGTTCATTCGCAAAGACTCTTTGATAACAGCACCGAGATAGGGCATCTTGCCCACCAAATCCTTGGTCTTGAAGTCAAGTACAGGCTTGCCGGCAAGCATGTCCACAATTTCATTGTATGCTTGTTCTTGAACCTGTTCCTCGGTAGCTAGACGCTGGATGAGTGTGTTCAAGGCAGAGCTAATATAGGTGTAAGCATGGTGCGTGATGTGTGTAATATTGACCAAGGCTTGTTCCTTCTTGAATGGGACTGGGCCTGACATTTTGCCATCCACAACTGCACCAGGGACAGACTCGATGGCCAAAAGTTTAGCACAGATACTGGACACCTGAGGCTGCTTTTCCTGGATTTTTTCTTCTGTTTCCACCATCATATCATAAAAAGGGTTGAGCATCTTGCTACGGAGATTGTTAAGATCCTTATCCCCAAGGATGAGATTTTTGAAGCCGAGAGCAGCCTTGAGCCAGGGAAAGAAGGCAGCGAGCCGGGTATATTTGGCGGATTGGAGTCTCTCCATTTCTTCCAAGTCTTCAACGATTCTCACCAAGTCCAAATCTTCGGCGTTATACGTTTTACCGGCAGTGATAGACAACGCTGTTGTCAATGCAATGTACTCCACCACACTGCGGGGGTTGATTTGGTTTGCGGAGCTCTCATCCACTTTGGCCGCCAGTAAGGAGACCAGCTTGCGGCTTTGACTATCAAAAAGTTCATTGAATTGCCCAACGTGAGCCTTGCCTACAGTTCCATGGATTGCCTTTCGGATAGATCGCCAATATTCCGCGAATGGAGCCGTGAAAACAGTGTGCCCTGAAATATGCATTAGACATCATCATGACATTACCACGATGTCAACCGCGGGACAGAAACAGCCGCTACTCACCTGAATCCGTCATAGCGCCTTCTACGAGATCGCCGGTAATCTTGCCAGAATTATATTGTTGCTGATCTACAAACAATTCCTTCACCAGATCGGCATCGTTGGCCACGATGATCTGCTTGAACCCGAGCTGGACCGAGAATAAGACGCCAAGCTCCGTACTCCACTCAGTGAACTTCTCGTATGGAGATCCTCCAAGAAATTTAAGACCGTTCCATATGTAAGGGAGACCATTTGGACTGGGTGGCCATGCGTCTTTAGGCGTTCCGTCTGCTTTGGAGTCTTTCCATATGATACCGGAGAGAGCAGTAGCAATGAAGTAGGCAAAAGCCGAGCCAATAATGCCCAAAATCGAGAAACCTAGGATAGCCATGGATAAGAGAATGTGAGAGAGATAGAGTACGAATCGTGTCCTTTATCAGCCAGCCAAATTTTTTGGGATCCGAGCCTTTCCCTCCGCTTTTGAACGAATATACCTGTTTGGGCCAAAAATTACCTTTTTGGTGAAGCTCTGACTTTGAGTGAGAGAATACCCACATACTTCTTCGAACTCGCCTTCAGTCATACTGTCCGTCGGCAGTAGAAACGCTGCTCATTCTCATTGTCATGGATCCTGTGGGATAAATTGTCCATTTTCAAGGGGTGTCATTGTCGTCATGCGGAATTTCATACTTGCCCCTTCTTCGCACTGACGTTGAATGGAATTGGCTGGCTGTCATTGCCATAATATGCTTTAAATATAATGATTCTTGGTGAGGCAGAATGCAACATTAATAGCTGAAACTCGTATAAAAACCTTGATTGCATTTCATACAAAGCGACGGGTGTTTTCTATTCTGTACAATTTTCATCTCTTCTCTTCTTTCAACCCACATCATGCGTGCATCCTTGATCCTCTCCACCATCGCACTGACTTTCGCCTTAGGTGTTACCGCAGGTGAAATTGCAACTCCATTGTGACCGCTAAACACTTTTCATTCCTAATACCATTCAACAGATCACATCACCATCGAGTCCCCTTCTGAAAATGCAAAGTTTAACGCATCTGACAAATTCGAGGTGCGATATAGAGGTAAACAAAATTGGCCGCGGTGACAACTGACAGCGCATGATGTCCTGTGTCTTACCTATTGGTTGTGTTCAGTGCAATACCAGGACATGGCTCTCTTGGGTTCAGCAGCGGCCTCATTGCTGTATGCTAATGGCTCAGTAGCTGTAGGCAATTTTTCATCGGCTACGCATGACGACTGGAATGATACAAGAATGGTATCGTTTAATTGGACTATACCACAAAATATCTCCGATGGCCAATATGTGTTACAAGTTGCTGGCCCGTGAGTTTGCTATGGACTAATTGACCTTCGGCATAACATCATTTCTAACTGTATTCTATAAACAGTGCTGGCTACCGATGCTCTAAAAATAACGATGGCAAAGGTATGCAATTTTCACGAAGGAGTAGGATGAAAATGCTATACTAAATTCCTAAAATTAGCCCCTTGGAGTCGCTGTTACTTGACCCTTTCCAGCCAAGTCAATGTCACAATAGGCCGTGCGCTTGGTATGTTGTAAATATTTTATTCAAAACCAGCCTTCCATGAATTAACGCTGTCATCATGTAGCTGAGGTCACAGATACCAAGAACACGACCAGCAAGCTGCTACCTAGCATGAGTGCATCCACCAGCCTTCATCCTACGGCAGGTCACTTGCTTCAAGCGAATCACTCGGCTCCAGCAGTGTATCCTTCCATTTTACCCAAGGTCAAAAGCAGTGAGGCTGGCCAACCAGCACGAATGAACCTTGTAGAGGCTGTTGTAAGCAACGCAGCCCCTGTACAGTTAACAGTAGCATATGTCTTAATGACGTTGGTTTCCACCATGTATATGCTTCAGTAGTAAGAGTTCCAGTATGAATAAAATAAAAAATTGTCAATTTTTGCATAAGCACACCTGTTTGTGACTCGCCTTTAAAACACCTCAGGTTCCATAAGCTAACTGCAGGCGATAACACTCTGATTCTATCAACTTCGTATAATGTCGACACCGTCATCGCTCAATCGAAGAGCAAGCGCTACAAGTTCTACGGTATGTTACGGGTAGTCGAACGGATTCTTACACGCCAAAGTGACTAACTTTCAACTAAACTAGATGAATGAGATCGAGCAATCCGTCACCAAGCTCTTGCTGGCCACCAAGCAATTGCTGGAGGGACTCACGCAATGGTCAACTAGCAGGATCAGCGAACAACAAGTATACGATATTTTTCATTCTCTTACTTCACAGTTCGCCCAAGCCAAGCGGGCATTTGAATCAGCCGATATTTCCATGGCGTAAGCAGTGCATTCATGAAACCGGTTGGTTGTTTGCTCGGCACTAATATATGTGTGTTACAGGGATCTTATGTATGTCCCAGATGACTTGAGGCATTGTCTTATCATTGCTTTGGACGAGGAGCCGTCAACCACTGCCTTAGAACACCACTTACCGACTATCCGGGATGTCATTATCCGGCTGTTGCAAGGTTTGAAGAGGAAGCAAGCACAGTTTCGAGATAGATCAGAGGCATATCCCTCGACTTCGCAGCGGTCCAGTCGGCTGGTTAACAACAGCAGTCGAAATTCCACAAGGTCGTCCCAGCCTCCGCCAAGATCGTCAGAACGTCCAGATATGAACCGAAAAACTTCATCGGAGCAGCCCTACGGAAACATCACCCCTCGATCATCCATCGACTCAAGATCCATGTCACCCACGAACTCTAGTCGATCGGATTCTCCTTCACCGTCGTCAAGTACGTCCGGAGATCGGTTGTCAAGGCGGCAAGCGAGTTTCATACAACCTTCTCCGTCTACCAGCCAAGGACGAAGCTCACTACCGCAAAGAGAATATTCTGGCGACTTCGACATGAATGACCCAAAAACCGCAGATGCGCTGGCCGCTCTGAAAAAACAGGAAAACTTGGCTCGTAGATCTTCTGTGCGACGAGCTTCAGCGCTTTACCGATCAACATCGAATGCTTCCACGCGAGCCAACGGTCGACCTCGACTCACATCAGATGCAAAGGAGCTGATTCCGCCTGTACCCATGGTCCCAGAAAAGGAGTTAGATTTTGCACCTCTTGACCTACCAGAATTCACTCAGGATCATGAGCAGGTTGATGTACATGCTAAGCCGGAATTGCGCAAAGGTTCAGTGGAAAATAACAACACTGTTATCGGTAAGAAGACATGACTGGAAAATTGAAAAAGGAAAAAAAGAAAAAGTTGCGAATCTAATGTGTGTGATATTTTTTTTTTTTTACAAAGATACGGGAACCATTGATTTGTACTTGAAGCATGGAAGACAAGTGAAGAAAGTCGAGTATGATGGCGTGGTAGAGTTATCGAAATTACGGATGCTCTTCATTGAGAAGTTTCCACATATTGCTCGAAACGACCATTTTCCCGCCATCTACATCTTCAGCCCCACTGCTCAGATTTCATATGAACTGGAAACTCCATCGGATGTGAAGGCTGACTCCGTCCTTACCTTGGAGCCAGAAGGTGTGTCATCATTTCCATCAAACATGTTCGTTCTATCCCCTCCTAACCTACTTTGCATTCTTTGCAGAATCCCCAAATGTCAATCAGCAAATATCAGAACAGATGAGCACAGGATTCAGCACTGTGGCAAAAGAGATGTCGGATGTCAAGCAAGAACTACTGTCGTATTTGAAGGAAGTCCATGGGAAAGCGATGAATGCTGCAATGACTACAAACGAAGTACCCGCCCCTGCTCCCGCTATCCACGTCACATCGGAGACAGAAGAAAAAGTTGTAGAAGAGGACTCTGCAGAAGAGAAAGCTACAGAAGAAGTGGTGAACTCAGCAGGAGGTGAAGGATCACAAGACGTGAGCGACGCACTGAAGAGCAACATTGCAGCGGCATCCGTTCTATCTGAGGTGAAGGAAAAGTTGAAGCAAGTGGAAACGATACGACGAGATATGGGGGTTGTTCGTCAGTTGCACGATGGCTTCCGCTCGGAAATGCAAGGTCTCATACAAGGACTGCGAGAGAAATCAAAGGTCCTGAAAACACAGCCTATCACCGTCACCAGCGCACGCAAGTATGTAGATGCAGGCAAAGAAGAGCTTGACAAAACGGCCGAAGACATTACGAAACGACTTGAAGATCTGCAGGATACCATTGATGAATTAAAGCTGGATGTAACTTCGCGTAAATGCCGACCTTCCTCTACTCAGATGCAGCATTGTGACGATGAAGCCAAGCAGCTTCAGACCGATATTGCCACTCTGTCTGACAAGATCAAGACCGTCAAACCTATGTGGAAGAAGACGTGGGAGGAGGAATTGCAAAATATCGTCAAGGAACAACAATTTCTCAAGGACCAGGAAGCGCTGTTACTGGATCTTGAAGAAGACCATACTGCTATTTTAGAGGTATTCGGACAGCTGCAGAAAATTCGGGAGATTCAAGAAAAAGGCAAACCTACACGTCGTGAATTTCGAATCCCTGTATCCGAAGCTGGTCATGATGGTATGAACAGTGTATTAAAACAAGTGACGACCATTCAAGTGGATCCAGAACGACGCCTTCGAGCGCTCAATCAAGCTGAGAAGATGAGAGAACGGGAGCTAGCCAATCGTATTGATGAGTTTGAACATGAACTCACGTCTTTTGTTGAATCCAAAAAACTTCGCATGACCGGTGGTGCTCAGGAAATTGAGCGTCAACGGCAGAAAAAGAATCAAAATATGTTACGACAGTTATATGAGAAGAAAAAAGAAAAGGATGGAGACGACCATGTTGAAGAGCAAGCTGAGGCTCAAGACAAGCCAGAGTCTGAGCAAGTGGAGGAAGCCGAAGTTACAGGAGACATAGTCGAAGAGGAGTCGACCGATCCAACGCCAGTCACCCCTGTATCTGAAGTAACTGAAGAGACGGCGACTGTGGAAGGAACGGGTCAAGACACAGAAGCAGCACCCGATGGGGATCCATCGGCCGTAACGCAAGATGATCAAAAGGAGCCTGAACCCGGCGTAGAGGCTGTAACTGCTCCAGTGGAAGCAGACGCTCCTACTGAAAAGCCTGAAGATGACCCTAGTAGCAGCAAAGATGCTGAATGATAAAAAACCACTGTCCAAACCACCTTTCCATTAATCCCTTCCACCACACTTGTATACCATTTAATTACCTCTCACCAATGCTGCATCCTATAAATATCACAACCCTCTTAATCTACTAAAATATGTCATTTATTACTTGCTACACACCATCATGACACTGCAATTATTGTAGCGGCATACGATGAAGACGCTGACATGCTATTGTAATTCTTTTCCTGGGCTTCTTCCCACTCTATGTCAGCTTCACTGACAGCCGACCCAAGGGCTGCACGTACTTGAGCGGCTAAATCTATAGGCTTATGGATCAGAGGCGCTGAAAGTGGCTCATGATTTGCAGGTGATGGGCGTGGCCATTTTTGTTTGTATCGTTGGACGTAAGGCATGGTTTGCAAGATATTGTCTACACTTGGTAGTGGGTCTAGCCCCCATTCCACCGTCGATAAGTTATTTCGGACTCGTGATGTCCTTGGCGTTATTCTGTAGGGACTGAGATCAATGGTGGTCGATAGCGGCACCGTGGCCATGTCATTCTCGATCCTATTCAACGAAGTCATAAGCGATGCATCTACACCAGCTGACATTGTATTCCGATAGACCACCGTCTTCTCACTGTCGTAAATGGATGTTGTTCGTGCCATACTGCTTTCGAAGTAGCCGCTGTCGAACGTGGCGGTATCCGACAATGAGGCGTGGCGACGAAGCGACGTTGCATTGACCGGTGAGTTGGAGACGATGACATCTTTTGATGATTCTGAACGCAGTGAACGCACCGATAGTTTACGGGGAAGTTGAAAGATACTTTTCATGGACTGAAGAGACAGTTTAGGTTTAATGGAAAAGTCTCTTTGCGTTTCTAAAAGGGATCCTGCTATGTAGTCAGAGTGCAAGCTCAATCGGCTAGAGTTGTGTCTGAAATCCATCCATGGTTTCTTCATTTTACTTATTCCGATATCAGTAAATTGTCGCTAAAAGACTCTTAAATAAATTACAGTTGTATTCGAATGGTGTGGCAGCTTGGTGGAAAAAAAAAAAAAGAGAAATGATCCCGCCAGCGGATGTGGAGAAAAATGAAAGAAGGAAACAATGTCAAAACCCCCCACTTCTGGCCACCTCGCTTGGATGCTTTATACCCATACACAGGCGTGTGAGCTCATGAGCACCTTTACCTTGAACTAACTATCAGCAGACTGTATTCGGGTTTTGTGACACTGTTTATTTTGATTCCTCCTAAGGAGGTGCTCCATAATAAATGTTTCAGTGCCGGTAAGCTTACTCTAAATTTTGCATCGTCATGTATGCTAAGCTATCTTTGTTTTGCTAAGCTTGTAAAAGAACTATAATTTTTATTACATTAACATGATGGTACATCATGCTATCTTCAATGTTTTTTTTAAATATCGTTTAAGATACAATACAATGATAATGCTACTAACCAGCCAAAGGATCCCAATGACTAGTTCAACAACCTGGTGGCGAGTAGAAGTGACTGTATAAACTCGCATGGACGGAGGGTTCCAACTATAGCAAGGAGATGTTAGCAATGTGTCTCAATTGTTTGGGTAGAAAGAGTATATAGCATCACGTACGTGCTCTCGGTCCAGGTGGGTGCCGACTCGTCAATCACATCAAACAGCCCGGTCCCGTAGTTATACCCGATTCCGGCACCGTAAGCGTCGTGGTATCGGGTCAAGGTCGAAACGCAAGTCCCCCGAATACAGTACTCATGGGCCTGACATTCAGTTATGGATTGACAACTGGCGGGTGAGGTGCCATTCATACGCCTGACACCATTTTTGTCACCCAAGAAATTAAATGCAAACAGGGATAAAAGTGAAACGCCTCCAAATGAGAACACCGAAGAGTAGTGGCTAATTCTCGCCGCATTATTTACTACCGCACAATGGTCAGTTTTTTTTTTTTTAACACAATTCATGTAGTAACAGGAACATCATAGACTTACCACCATAATATTGTTGTATAAGGGAACACGAGTAATTTTGAGTCATGCAATCGAGGAGAGATGCAACGAGGTTGCAATCTGCAGTGACTTGTGAGGGTACGGTGCCATTGTTGAGCCCCTGAGCAGAGAGCCAAATTGATCTAGCTGCAGAACTAGCCAGACTACATATTGCACTGGACGCCGTTGCTAGATCAAGCGTATCGTCGTAGTCACTATGATAATATCCATCAAGGGATGTGTGAAAGTCGGATAGGACGATTGAAGCAATGGATCGTTTCTTCTTCAAAAAGCTTTGAGCACTGCTTGGAGGTAGCTTCCGATGCACACCATCGGATGCAGCGTCTTGAATACTATATGTACCATTCCCCTGGCCGACGAACAATTGCAGTAGCGAGCCACTGGTCGTCGAGTCATCTGTATGCGCCCAAAATCCTTTGCCAGAGGCGTTCGATTGGGCGACGGAACTGAACTCCACAACGGATTCGATATTGTCAAAATTAATATTGGTGAAATCTGTATCTCGGACACAGGGCTGCGTGCATGCAGCTCCCTTGATGGGACAAGTGTTGGTTCCAGTTATATTTTGGCACTGGAAAGGCGTGCTAATGTCGTTTACAAATCGCTGGGACCCAGAGTATCCCCATGCTTCTCCATTAAAAAGTGTATAGACGATGTGTTTAGGAAATGAAGCAACAGATGTGGGGGACTAAGTTGGAGGGAGGATGCTAGAGGTCAATTATCCGCCATGCATTCATTTATGCAGTATAAAAAGTGACCTACCTTGCTGAGAGCATCAGCAACAGCAAACATAGCAACCATTCCAGAAATATCATTTTCAACACCCAGAGTCAGGTCATGGAACACAGATCGACTATCCATGGTTGCGCTTACGATAATGATGGGTTTTCCATCGTTACCAGTAAGATTTGGAGATGGAGTTGAGTACACTGAGCTACCACCAACGGGGAAACACCAACCTTTTACCAATACATCAAACGCAGTTAGTACCGCAAGAATATTGATTCAATCCAGGGTATAATGACTTTTTGACGTTTACCTCTTCGTAGACACGTTGCCGAATCAACAGCCGCCCACATGAACAGACTAAAATCAACGGCGCGCAGTGGATAGTTCCTGTAGTTTTGTTCAATATTATAATTTAAATTCTGCAATATATGGACAGAACTTCATTAGTATGCTGATCTTTACGTTCTTGCCAGGCGAAAGATACACTCACCTCCATTATTTGCCGGTAAGCAGTGGCGGACAGTACATCAATAGGATCGAGAGCAAAGATGGGGATATTGATTGGCTCGTAGATCATAGAATTTCCCTGTTCAACAAAATGGTTGTTCAATGACTGCTGAATCGACAAGCTTCAGCATATCGCCTTCTTACGTTTGGATTCCAGGTATATTGATCGGCATCATTAGCGTATAAGCCAAATTCGCAGTTGGGGCATTTGGATTCGGGTGAGTAAGATGAAGGGCGAGAAGGGCTTCCAGGCGTAGCAGTAGAATTGATAATGGCTATGACACCACTCAGTCGTTTGGACGATTCGAGAGTTTGTATGTTCGACCTAATTGGCGGTAGGTTAAATCCTGACACTGTGCGAGACATACGGAGTATGAACACAAACTCACGGTGTTAATAGGCCATAGGGTATAACGACGACCCATTGCTCCCAAGACGTTGGTATGTTCTGGTTGAAGTTCTCAATATCATCTTGGGTATTCAGCTGATACAGAATACCATTTGTACCCGAGGTGGCTATTCAATGGAGCCAAAATTTCATTGTCAAGACAACTGTCAACTTTTTGTCCACCCCCAAAAAAGCGAATTTGCGTATTCGATAATAATTCTTACATTGACAGCCTACAGATCCCGTGGCATTCAGTAATCGTACGCATGGCCAGGTACCGAGATCTGTGTAAATATATGGGTATAAACTGGTTGCAATGTCTTGAGCTACAAGATGATCAAGTGGAGGTGAGCAGCGATGTCGAAGGTAAGATGAAGAAAAGCCCAACGGTACCATTTGTGAAGTGTATATGGCAAGCCAGACACAACAGCAGTGACAGCAAGAGCATGTGCGTTTGTGGTGTTGATGATGCGAGGGTGAAGGGAATGTGGAGTTTCTCGAAAAATTGGAGAGTCACTCCAACTCCAGTTCAGCTCGACACCCATTTTTTTTTTTCCACTACAGCATAGTTTCCACTACGGCATAGTTTCCAACATGCTGAGTCGATTGTTCCTGCAAAGTCGCGCAACCACGTTATCTGTATCATACAGACGACTTGCTGTCGTTCAGCTTCGTACATACAAGCGTCCTACTCCGGCGGCAGCTCCTCCATTACCTAGCTCCAGCATTTCACCCGCCAGTAATGCCCAGCCCACGGCTCCTCCAGCCAAAAAGCTCGGTCGCCAACGACGCGACGAAGAGATCACCGCGAGATTTATCACCCTTGTCGATGAGAATGGCGCTGTCCATCGCGATGTTCGCTTGAAGCAGATTTTAGGCAACTTAGATCGCCAATCGTTCTTTCTAGTTGAAGTCGATCCCCAAGCTGAACCTCACCCAGTGTGTCGAATTACACCTAAAAAGGCGGTATTTGAGAAAACCAAGGCTGCCAAAAGACAGAATACCGCGCGGCCCGAAGCTGTGCTCAAGGAAGTGACGTTTGGTTGGAACGTGTCCCCGCACGACATGGGACATAAGCTCAGCAAGGCAGAACAATTCCTTGCCAAGGGCAACAAGGTTAAAATCGAAGTGGTGGCGAAGAAAGGCCAGCAGAGAATGCCCAGGGATGCGCAAGAAGCTGTGATCGAGAAGATTGTTTCTCAACTCAAGCCGTTCTCAAAAGCCATGAAAAACCCTAGCTTTGTGCAAGGCGCAACGTGCATCATTGTGTTTGAAGGCAAAGCTGCAACTGAATAGAACTCTCCTTTTGTATAATGCCACCCATCTATCTTGTTTCTTCCCTCCTCATGTTTTCACGCAAAGAAAAAAAAATGATAATGTACAGTTAGGCGGCAGTGTTTAATTTATGGGGTTGGATGCGGACTAAATTATGCGAGAGGGTATGCGACGTGTCTATTGAGGTGGAGTGGTTTACATTGCTGGATTAAATTAATTGTATAACTTTTCTTTCAAATGTCCTATTCAAAGGCGTTCATGAATGTTCCTTGCATGCTCCTTGCTGTTCGTTGAAAGAAGTTGGGTTCTGCCAAATTCATATCACCCAACAGAGGTTCAAGCCCGGTTGGATTCTAAAAGATCAAAGGGAATTAGCGTTGATGCAAAGGCGATGTAAAAAAATACCATAGGCTTACCTCTCGCGGGAAAAATCGTTGTGGGGAGAAATCCCACTCAGGTTGCTGATCTCTTTGGGTATAATGGCTGGGAAGGGGGTTTCTTAAGGCGGGTTTCGGTTCAGCCACCGATGCTGTCGGTTGAGAGGCAAGGTCTTCATCCCAGTCAAAATCATAAGGCCGAGAAGATTGTTTGGCGATTTCGCGTCGTCTTTCTTCCTGGATGATTTGGATTTTTTCAAACAGGCTGGGATGTTTGAGCACCTCAAGGATGCTAAGGGAATAAGGTAAGAGCTGAAAGAAAAAAGGAAAATTGTTAGCTCGCATTTCTAGACACTTTCGAGAAATACACCAAGCAGACTTACTGATACGCTGAGTATAAACAAGATTATGCTCAGCCGTGTAAAATCAGTTGTCGTACCATATAACAAGGCCAAAACAGTCGCCAAGCGGAATGCGAAGAGAGCAATTTGTATACCCTATCGTAGCGTACCTCAGTTAGTCATAAATACGATTTAGAAGTTGGACGTTCTCATAACACTCACCATATACGTCTTTTGACGAGGAATGAATTTTCCTGTGTACCCATACACTTCCATTTGGTATGGATGCCAGAAGATCCACCACGCGGAAGCCACAGAGACAAGCAGGGCAATGATCGAAGGTGGAACAGTATACGACCATCCAATGGGCAAAATCGAAGTAACGCTGGATGGCATGAACACATATTCCGTATCCTGTAAGAGTTCGACGGTATCCTTTGGCCATATAGTGGCTCTCATTGAAAGGAGGATGGTGGTAATGTGAAGAGCGCAAAACAAGATGCCCTGGATATAGAAATTGCGTTTGGCTTGTTGTCTACTAGGAATAGCCATCACTGGCTTTGAATGTAGCTGCTGCCGACAACGATCGATCATGAGTGACTTTGCGACTTTATCTCTTTCGCCAATGATGTTGTCCACTTTCTGCTGGCATGTCGAACAAAGTGGGTACCTCTCCTCCAATTTTCTTTTGAATACATTTGCATGCTGAAGATAATCCTTGTCCTAACAATGGTTCACTGTGTGAGAAGTTATCACGGATACTGATTGTCCATTTCTTACTATCTTACATTGTCTTCAGGGTCATAGGATGTTACATAGGCAAGAATGCGCTGTTGTGCCAGGTCGCAGTTTGAACATAGGACGTCGGTTGAGGTTTTGGCAGACGGTCGTCGTGACACTCGGCCTGGACGAAGCAAAAAATTAATACGGATAATAGCACAGGTGATGGCGATGGATGGATGATCTTACTTTGCTGATTGAGTGTGGGATCCTTCATTTCTGGTATAGAGTCGATCAGCTCTCCTGCCTGCAGAGCACAAACAGAACCATTAATGCTCTACGCTAAGCGAGATAATATGATAGCTCTTCGCTTACCTTGTTCCTGACATTCAAGCTGTCACACACTGGACATTTCCATCGCTCAACGTTCTCAAGTCCATTCACAGGCAAAAACACATTGTGGTTGCAGTACCAACAGTTAACCAATGTTGGAATAGACGATCCGGCTCTGGTAATGAAGAATACTACAGCTACGCCGAATACAAAGAGCAGTATAAAACCTAACAGAGGGCCCATTTCAGCAACCCTACAGACTGAAGGAAATGAATCACAGGCGAGGACACCTTCCACTTTTTTTTTTTTTTTGGGTGAGCTTTCACAGAGAATTTTTTTTACCATAAAAATGGCTAGAAAATGACCATGTGCGCCGAAAAGGGGATGTTCACGGTTCACCTCAGTTCACTTTACATTCGTCATGGCTGCTCGCGACATTGAAATGTCTCGAGTCGACGAAGATCGCGAGGCCTTCCTACCTGCACCAGCACAGCAGAGAAGAACAACCGAGCCTCAATATCCTCCTGCTTTAGTGGCCGTAGTCGTTGCTTTTTACTTTATCATATCGCTCGCTGTGGTATTTCTCAACAAGTTCATTCTGAGCTCGTCTGAGTACAAGTTCCCTTACCCACTGTTTGTCACTTGGTTTCAACTACTGGTCGCATTGGGTCTACTGGTTGCCTGGGCCAAACTTGGACAATAGTAAGAAAACTCTTGGTTGGCTTGAGGCGGTGTCAACGTGCGCCACTTTGATTGATGGTGGATGATTACTGACTGCAAGTCCACATTTTTTTGCCGATAGTAAAAAGGCTTTCAGCATCATTCCTCCTTATGAATTCGACCTTAGCATTGCCAAACGGGTGGCCCCACTGACAGTGGTGTATGTTCTCATGTTGGCCTTCAATAATCTGTGCCTACAATATGTCGAAGTCACGTTTTACCAGGTTGCAAGGTCTTTATCCATCCACTTTTCTATTTTATTCACCTATTTAATTTTGGGTAAGAAAACCTCCACAGCTGCTATTGGGGCCTGTGGTATTGTTTTCTTAGGTTTTGTCGTTGGCTCTTATGGTGAAATCAACTTTTCTTGGGAGGGCCTTATTTATGGCGTCGGCTCGTCTGCCTTTGTAGCGCTGTATGGAATTTATGTGCAGAAGAGTCTTGCCATTGTGGACAATAATCAATGGCGCTTACTACACTACAACACCACACTGGCCATCTTGATCCTGCTGCCAGTGGTCATGTTGTCTGGTGAAGTATCCGAGATCCTTGACAATGTTCAGTTCTTGGGCGATATTGGCTTCTGGGTTTTGATGGTAAGCTTACGATTTTTTCCAAAAAGACAGTTGCCAAGACTTTGTAAATCTAATATAGTTTGTGTCAGACGTTTACTGCTGCCACTGGATTTGGAATCAATATCGCCATGTTCCTGCAAGTCAAATACACATCGGCCCTGACTAACACTATTTCAGGCACTGCCAAGGCCTGTGTTCAGACCTTGCTTGCTGCCATGATCTTCCGCAATCCAATTTCTTTCATGGTAGGTATATTTTATTGGAATCAAAATAGCGGCTGTGTTGAATATGTAACGGTGGAGTCCATGATCTCACGCTGCCACTGAATTTACAGAATGGTGTCGGTATCTTCCTTGCCCTATTCGGATCCGGCTATTATGGCTATGTTCGATACATGGAACGTATGACAAAGTAATGCACCCCCCTCCACTCCACTCCACTCCACTCATTGAACTCCTCTGCTGTAAATTTTTTTTTTTGTTACACGCTGTGTGTGACACACAGAACATTCGCAGATCGTTTCGGACCAATTGCATATCACACTCGACACCACATATCTCATAACTAAATCATCCAATCCCATTGCTTTTGACTCAACCATATTTATTCAATGTGGTGGCTGTAGTTCAGATACTTAGTAATTTAGAACCAGTATACGTGAAACTAAGAAGACTGTCCGTTCCTTTATAAGTGGTTCCAAGGAAGAGAAGCTGAGCAAGTAATTTGAGGGCAATGCCAAAGCCGATAATGCTGCAAGCTTTGAGATAACCAATGTGCAAGAACACTGCGTAAAATAACATGTTGGTGGAAATTGAAGTGAGGCGTATGTTTCCAGAAACTCCTCTTACCAGATAAGGCCTCGATGTTGGAAGTAAGAACAATGATGCTGACTAGCCATGAGTACTCTAGCTGCTTATAATCCCAAATAACCATTAAGATCAACAGCATCTTTCCAAAGCTTGAAACGATCAGTGCCATAGTGATATAGTTATGTCTGGACCCAAGCGGTTAGTAAATGGGAGGCAGATCGTTACATAAAGAAACCAATGTACCTAATACTCTGGGATTTTTGTCCTCGGAACAGCCATCGAACAGCGATGTGAACTCCGAGATGAACAGCAACAAATTCTTTTTTTTTTTTTGGGGGGGGGGATGATGAGAAATATGAATTTACCAGGCAATGGTGGAACAAGACTGACCTATGATACACAGTAGAAGAATATACAAGTATTGATAAAACAGAGGTTGTTCCATGAATGTTGAATCTGATCCAGTGTAGTATTTCTCCAGTCTGAACCATTTAATATCTGAAATGATTGATGCAAGATACGATGTGCGGTAGAAATGGCATGATCAGGTTGAGCGAGTGACAATCATTTTAAAAAAGGATACAGACTTCGAAAAGGATTAGTAGTACAGCCAGCTTCATGATATTTGGCTGTAAATGGGATGGTATGAGAAACACAAGAAGATATCAGTTACCAAGGCTACATCACGTACCTCTATGCTCTTTTCATCGGTGTAAGTGATGCGATTGAACAAAAGGTGTCTATAGACTTGTGGTTTATGCAATAGCATGTCGATAAATATGATGACAAAATCAAATTCTATGTATTTATCGGCAAAGTGGTTGCACTTTTCCTAAGGTGATAGTGGGATGAGGCGGGTTGGATGGCAAGTGGGTTGGGCATGATCGGCAAACAACGTACACATGATGTAAGACGAATGTTCTCTTTGCTATATTCTGTGTAGAGAGTGGCAACTGGAGCATCGCATTCCACGCATATTGGCATTAGGGGGGGGGGAATGGTATACTGGAGGTGGGAGATTGGATGCCCGATTTTGCCTGCCAAGGAATCAAGACAACCAAAAATATAAAACATGAAAAAATGAAGGACAGCTACCTTTCTCCTCCGACTGCGGTTAACCCATTCCTCTTCATACTCTTAAGAACATGTATATATCATGTCAACAGCTATAAAACCAGCCAAGAAGAAAAATCCCTGTGAAGGTAAATGTCACTTTACATTGCTTCCATTCCCTCGTTTTAACGGCATCTAACGTTCGCCACTTTTTCGAATAGAGTGTCGAGAACACAAACGGAAATGCACTTGTGAACAACCATGCGAGAGGTAACACCGTTAAACCGACTCAATTTACATCGATAGCTTTGTTACTAAATTCAGCGTTTGCTTGGCTTTTAGATGCACCGCACTTGGCTTGAACTGCGTTTATGTTGTGGTGAACACTCCCCGGGATCAAGAGTATCTAATGCTCACCCGAAACATCGAAGCGCAAGTAGAACTGAAAGTTATTGAGGAACAGATCAACGACATGGAAACTGAATTGAAGCAGCTACGAAAGGGACAAAGTGGTTACGACCCTTCCAACATTCAATCGTACCCATCACCTACATCGGACATTGATGCACGTGAAGACCACAAAAAGACCATGCAAGTGTATTCAGAAGATACAACGCAGAGTACCCAGCTGATTCGAATGGAAAATAACGATCCAGCTAGAAACCCCCAACAGTTAATGGATGAAACTCTCCATGGAATTGGAGCTCAGCTTTATCAGATTGAAGATAATTCGTCCAACAAAGAAAATGAATGGGCCTTGACTATCACCAAAAAAGGCCTACGAATCGAAACCAACATAAAGAACATGGCTGATTTGATAGCACAAGTCAAAGTCATGAATTTTCAACTTGGCAATGTTGATAAGCCACCACTGTATTCACACCTTGTAAGCGAGCCCATAAATCCCACGCTGATGATTAAATTTGGCGAGAAGGCATGGATAAAAATTCTTGAAGGGAACAAAAAAGCCCTTCATCGATGTGTGGTATTCATGAAAGACCAAGCCTTACCCGATGTCAATCGAATACAATTGGCTCGACCTGACGTATCGACCGCCATGACTGTACAACTTCTTCAGATCTACTTTTCTTGTCAGCACTTGAGACAAATGGCCATACACCGCAAAACGTTCCTCGACATGTTTTTCAAACCAAACGATGTGAAAGCACCTGTTTATGCCCTATGTGCCGCCATTGTCACTATGCGATGCAAGCATGTTCTGCAGGTTGTTCCTTATGAATCTCAACTTATCTATGGCGAATACTATTTCAACAAGGCCCGCCAGTTGTATAGCGAACAGTTCGATGAGATCTCCTTGGAAACATACTGTACCCTCATTTTTATGACCATGTACAAGGCGACGATATTGCGGCCCGATGAAGGTGATAACTATCTGAATTTGGCAAACCGAATGGGCGAAGAGTTATTACCGCTATATTCACGGCCTGCCTCTCCGTCTCCCGGGAGTAAACAAGGTGATGATGTCGGGTTACGAACTTTCACCTTGTCTGGAGAAGCTGAGATGTTCAAGCGTTTGCTGCGAACTTGCAAACAGCTTGCCTTCCGGTTGTTTTTATTGAAGCAGCCTTCTCATCTTGGTCCTCCTCCAAAGCATTTTCAAGGCCACGGACCAGGTCCACACCGTATGTCCCACAGAATGAAGGGCGATCCTGCTGATAGATATCCTCACCACCAAGGTGTCCATCCTCGCTCGTTGTTACTATCTTGTTGCCTGGACGAAACACCCATTGAACTTCGATATATACAACAATCAAAGTACATGGCTCTCCACAGAGAAACCATTCACACCGTAATGGCATCGGTTTTTCCTCACATTCACGACACATTGTCGTCCACCTTTGTTATCGCCACCATTACATCGTTCGATCAAAGCATGCGAAATTGGTATTATCAAACCCTTCCTCAGGAATTGCGTATCGCCTTACCACTTTTTGATGATACTATCAGCGACACGACGCTTATAGAAGCGGTCTCATTTGATCGCATCCGTGATTCGGTTCCTTTGACCCTCCTTATTACGTTTTACACGGAATTCATAGTCGTGATGAAGAAATTGCTTCCAAGGATACCACAGTACGATGACAGTCACCTCAGTTTTGGAGTGATGAGTCAGGAAACCGATGAAGAACGCCAGAAACGCAAGGAAAAAAAGAAGCAGAAGCGACGAAAAGTGTTCCGACATCTTATCAACGAATACAATTTGAATATGACCGAAGAACAACTGCACGAATTCTATCATCAGCAATTCGATCTCCCTCACGACTTCCAGATTGAAGCGCAAGACAAGTGTACCAGGGCCGCCAATCTAGCGGTCCGACTTCTTGAACAACTGACGAACTCCTCATTCTCCTGTCATTTTGATTTACCCACCCTCATGTGCACTTGGGATATGCATCTACGCAACTCCAGGTTGGGACATGCCAGAATTGACCAACCTGACGGTATTGTCGACCCCAAAGTCACTCGCCAAGCCCGCCATCATTTGGTCCGCTGCTTAGCCATCATGCGACGAGGATTTCTCTACAACACGGCGGAGCGCGAGTTATGGAAACACTATCAGCTAATGGAGCAGGATCTTCTACGAGAGCTGAGCCTTGATCCCGCCTTCAAAGTGTCATCTGGCCCGGAGCCAGAGTTTCATATCGGCCATTCCGTGAACACCTTTGCCACCTAAGTGTCCACACTGTTGTTTTTTTATTATTAGAGTTTCCCCCCACATCTATGCTTTTCTTCGTGTCAATTGCTCTTAATACCTTTGATCCCCACCTCTCTGCCATATAATAAATGTCCAATGACTGGATAAAAAAAAACCATAATTTTTATTTACATGGAGACCTTCAGTACCACACAGCTACGTATCGGAATTAGCACGCACTACCATGTTTTTCAAAAACTTTTGTAGCACAAATCGCATTCGGGATGGAGTGGCTTTGGGAGAATATTTCTGGAGTCGGTACTGTATGCACCTTGACACCAAGTCCTTTGACTGGAACTGCTGCTGCTGTTGACGTCGTTGATGCTGCTCCAGCTGGTCTCCGCGGTACAACGGCGAGCTATGAAGCAAATCTCCTCGTTTTGGGAGTAGAACGGATGTCGCAGGTCGACTGTAATAGAAACTAGGCGACATCCAATTTGCGTGCAAGTTCTTCTGCGTTGACGCCGAGTACCATGAAGGCGACATCGACATACTCGGCAAAATAGTGTTAATGGACGATGGTTGATAGATGGGAGGAGGTGGTGGCGGTGCGTGGTAGAGGGGTAAGGAGGATAGTGATGGCAAGGCGTGTGATCCAGAGGAAGTGCTGGCGACGCTATTGTTGCTGTGGGGTGGGGTTGCGGGAGGAGAATGAGTGGGAGCGGGGGAGGAAGGCACAGACGAAGATGGTGTGGAGCTTGGTGAGAATTGATGGAAGGATGAGTTTTGTGAGTATTCGGGAGGAATAATGTCTAGCGTCACTGCGCCAGACTCGTGTAAGAACTGCAATGTGTGAAGAATTTCCGGTACTGTAAGGAAGAAGAACGTAACATAACGAACAAGGAATGAGTAAAAGTGCTTTTGGGTTATGTTGTATGCTTACTTAAGCGAGACTTACAATGCGTGTACTCCAAGAATGAACGGTTCTTAAACGTCTTTTTCTCCTTCATTCGATTAACGATCTTGGTCCAATAGTTGGTACGTTCCTTCCAGTACGGCCAGCCATACTGCATTAAAACAAGAATATTGCCTGCTTTTTCGTCCCATCGTATAGCTGCATCCAAGGAGGCCATGCCGCCACGATGTTCGCTTTCATAGTCATGACCGACAATAAGATGTTTGATGCAACGTGCTACCAGTGCCTGCTGGGTTAACCGCATCAATCCAAACCCTTGCTGGCCAAATGTATCGATAGCTCGGTTACAGTTTGCTTCATCAAGAGCAAAGTCTTCTTCGGTAAGGCCTCTTGTAATTGGAAACACCGAGAGGATGATGGCGATTTCCAGCGTAGATTGCTATCATGTAACAGAAGACAAAGTTAGAAACCCAGCAGACTGAAAACTTCCCGGCATTCTTTGACCTACCTGGATATTTCCAACAAGAAGATAAATGATTCCAATGTTATATAACACTCTAAATGCCAGCATAAATGGTATATCCAGCTCGTGCACAGCATTTGTAAGAATAGCGGCTTTTTCTTTGGATCGCTGGGTTTCGATGCGGTCACACAGCGACTGAGAAAGCTTTAGTGCCTTGGCCAAGTTGCCTGGGGTCGAAGCCGCTGACAGAGCAATATCACTTCGCAAGAGTATAATAGAGTTGTATACATCGAACGGTAATTCAAAGAACTCAATGACCTTAGACAACTCATCTTCCCAATCGGCCAAAATAACGTTCTTATTGACTGAAAGTTCGTTCCACATGGACTCCAGGTATTCCAAGGACGCACGGCCGATTTTCAAAGTGTCGAGCGCTTCGTGAACACCTTTCAGACAGTCGGGATGTTCGTTTTGTACAGCACTCTTCTCAGTCTTTTGTCGTTTGCTCGATGTAGGAGTTGAGTCGTGGATCAAGTTGGACAGTTTCATTACGCCATTAGGTTTGCCATTAGTTTCAGAAGAGGGACGACTACGTTTTCCCGATGTGGCATGGCTGGAGTCCCCATTTTCGTTGTCGCCATTGTTTGAAGCTGTTTCGACTTCCTGAGCTTTGTCTATATTATCCGCTTCAATGGGGTGGCTTTCCACCGTCAAAGAATTCCGATACGGCATGGAAGATAAAGTACTTTGCTGATCGGCTGAATCGGTTTCGCCATTCTTTTGAGCACCGTGTGTTACAGAATTATTCTCGGGAAGAATGCATATTGGAATCAGACATGATTTTTCCTCCGTATTGGTTGCGTTTTCGTGAGTGACGCAGACATGGTTAAAGTACTCAAACCCAGTCTTTGCTAACTGTGCAGCAAGGATAGACGTCTCGCATGCAAACGCAGCGTGGATGCGTACCTCTTCTGGCGATAATGTTGGCCCCTTGTTCAATTTCCGATTATTCGACGCCCGCTGTGCGATGTGAAGACCTTTTCTTCCTTGCCGAAGACCAGAAAAGTAGCTTGTATTCAACTCGCTATAAGAGATCTGAATCCCAAGGTATCTACAACAAGAAATATGGTCAAGATCGCATTCGTTGGACAATGATCGTATTGCTCAAAACTTACCCGCAGCATTGCAGCATGCTCGTGGAAAAATCTGAGAGTTTATTCCAATCTCTGAGGTGGATGTAGTACGCTTGGCCCAGCCGTAAGAACTTTGCATATTCGTCATAAGGCATGGTAATGATACTTTTTCCTTCAACGGTATCAATGCTAGCATCACTTTCCCTTCCAGAAAAACAAACGGTATATTTGTAGAGATGAGGCAAAAGCTCGGTGACTGAGAATGATAAAAGTCAGAAATCAATCATACGCTGTAGTGCAGCTCAGGTTTGGGCATGCCATACTCACCAAATTTGCTTCGATACTTATTATCAGGTGATAGGACTAAGGACTGGCTTTCTTCGCATTGTATAAGTGATCTTGCCACTGGCAGCTAGGCAAAATATGAGCAACGTTAGTAGGTTAAACTAACACAGGTACCAAATAAAAAGAAATAATGCGGCTCTCACCAGATATTGCACAGATAACTTTGGGTAGCTATGAACATAATTGACCAATACGCAACATGCCCGATAGGTATCGCCATCCTGCCGATAATGGTCTATACGGGAATTAGTTTGACCGAAGAAGATATACATTACCCGTGATCACACTTACCGGCCGCGTAATCAAGGACAGCTCTCTGGTATAATGGCGATAGTTGCGCGAATAACTCTGTAGAAAATTCGATTCGTATTTTTGAGATCAGTAGAACCAAGATAATACGGATTTTTTTTAATCTTATCCATTGACTTACTGGTCAAGTTATGGTCCGACTCAGCACCGACATGACCAGCGATCTCAACAACATATGATTGAAAAGCTTCATTTTGCATACTCTCCGAGTGCCTAGAAAACCCAATTCGTCAATAATATCTCAATTGATTTGAAGAAAACCTTCGACTTACAGCTCAACGAACAACTGAACAGCTTTTGTCATGTTATTCTCACACAGTGCAAGTCTGTGAGTCCAAAACTAATATCAAATTCAGAAATTCAGCGGATATGAAGGAGGCGATGATAGTGGCAATGGATATATTAGCTTTGATAAGCGTAAACAGGTATAAAATTCCTAACGTACCTGTACAACAAAATGGTGAGGAGCTTTCACCGTGGCATCGGCTAAGATTTGCTTTGCTTTTTCTAGATCATTTTCTCGAAGACGCTGTTCAAATTGTTGGCTTAGTTCGTGAAGATCGTAACTTTCATTAGGTTCCCGGCTCGTGCTATTATTCGCATTAGTGTCCTGTGATGGTGATTGCGACATTTCCGGGAGCGCGTTATCACAAATGCAAGTTCAGGACTACGATTGTGGAATTCAGAATGGACCTCTGTGTTGTACCGGTCTCTAACTCGAAGTTTTTGCGCACCCAACCCCACCTGTCACACCACCATGATTCATACTCCGCCAAAGGAGAGCCAAGATGGTTCTGTGGAGACTGCGTAGATATTTTTTATTTTGAAAACATTCATTTGGATAGAAGGTCAACATCAAGATGAATGCTGAAGTGCCATTGCTTACAATGTTCTGTTTAACAACCAAGGTCGATGATGTGGGGGCTCTGCGCAGTGTCGCAAAGCGTGCCACTGTGGCTAGTGAAGAACGATCAGACATGAGGCGCGTTCAAAGAAACGCGAGACAGCTGGGTGAACCACGGAAAGAGTGCGGCCTGAAGTCCCAAAATAGGTTTGAACACGTATCCCTTTTTATGTCCATTCAGCGAAGTCTTGCAGGTTGGACAGAGCAGCTGAAAGGGCGATAAGAAAGTCAAGAAAAAATCCACCCTCCGATCGTCATCAACTCCACATGCCTATACGCAGCTGCCCGCAACTCCGGCGTGGAGAGAAAAAAAGACGTGGAGAATACATGATGACAAACCTGGGGAAACGCCTTCTATCCACCAATGTGTTATAATGTATGATATGAACAAACGCTTCATCCAACAAGACAAGATTGGCATACCAAGCTATTCTTGTCTAAACCTAAGCGCTAAGTCCACGCGCCGTCGCCCGTACAACCACGATCGTAAATCGAAGAAGTAACAAGATTATAGTTTCACACTCCCTCTTCTGGCTGCGGTATCATATGTTACGGATGCATTTCTCTCTTTGATAAAACCGATTTGAAGAAAAGTGGAAGCCGCCGTGTCAACGTAGTCAAAGCACTGCGGTGGTGTAGGTAAATAAATGCGAACCCTGGTGTATGTCCCGGTAAGATTGTTGAAATCCAGACACTTGGTAGTAACATTAATAAAACCCAGAAGGCGGATTTGCAGGCCAATACCTGCATTAAGTTACACACACCTGCTTACAGCCCGTCCACCGCCCCTGAGTAAGAACTGGAAAAAAAAAAGACAGAAGGACCTGGTGAGCCTGGGTTCTAACTTATTGTCGTTACCTAGAGCGGTCTATCGAGATCTCCCTTTTCTACTATAGTCTGTTCAAGTGCTTAACCCTTAAGGCAAAGTACCAAAAAATAACAATGATAGCTTAAATACAAGATTGCCGCGATTGTACTAGACACAAAAAACCTTGAGCTTCCCGAGATGAAAAAGTCGCACCATGGCATTGACAAACTGTGGGTTCTTCACATGGATGGGTAAAATGAACAAACTTGAGTCGTACGGATCCACACAGTCAGAATGTGGAAGCTCTAAAAAAAAAAAAAACGTGCATCTTTATGGTCCCGATGCTTACTATTGGTTGTAAGCATTGCCATAATAGAGTTTCCATACCGGTTTGGTAGGCAAATTGATCAAAAATAAATGCACAAGTAACACAATGCGAAGACAGGATCAATTCTATCAGACTGCGAAGAAACAGAGCCCTTCTGATATAAAATCCTTTGCCCTCCAGAATGGCGCCTTTCAATATCTTGCTTTTTACGTTTGTTGCTTTGAATCGTTTGATACGGTAGTTCTTTAATTCCACTTCCTTCCTTTTTGAATTATTTACGACTACTATGGCAGACGCCGTATCAGAAAGACATATCCAGGCAAGCGAGCCTTCGGTATATGATGAATATGACGAGAAACGACCCGCTACCAAGTTTTATCGCCGCAGAAAGTACTGGTACATTTGTGTGCCTGTCACCATCGCCATTGTTCTGCTAGTGGTATTGCTCATTTTGTTCGTTGGATTCCCAAAGATCGCCCAGAGCTCTATCAATGGATCCACTATCACTGTACACAACGCCCAAATTACGTTCCCTGGTCAGACGGGTACCGTTTCGAAGCGTGACGGTACGGATGGCAACAGCACATTTATCTTGTCCATGGAGAGCGACCTTTCCAACACTGGTCCTTTCTCTGCTACCATTACCTTTGATGAAATATCCGTTTACTTTAATGACTCCATTCTGGTAAATATTCTTAACTTTTTTTGAAATTGGAAAGACATATTCAGCGCATGTACTCACACTTATTGAATGTTACAGCTTGGTACCATCAACCTACCTCCAACCACTGTCTCAGGTTCAAAGGGAACATTGAACTCAAACTCCAATTTCGTTATCGCCAATGAAGATGACTTTGCCAACTTTGCCACCTATATGCTGCAAACTGATACGTAAGTCACAGCTAGGAAAAAGAATTTATTTACCCTTCCTTGCTTATTAACTTGATGTTCCCTTTCCTCTAGCTTCAAATGGACACTCAAGGGAGGAGCCCACGTCTCTGCTCTTGGCCGTTCTTCTGATGTTACTCTTAATAAAGACATCTATATGTCAGGTGAATATATTACATAAGCCGCCAAAAGTCGATGGATTATATCTTGCTAACTTGCCATTTTCATGACCGTTTCCAGGAATGAACAGCTTCCCTAATGTCACTATCACCTCCTTCAACCTTCCTAATGATGACCCTGCTGGTGGAATCCACATGTCCCTTGGAACCGTCTTGAATAACCCATCTCCCATTGGAGTCCAGCTCGGAACCATTACCTTGGATGTTGGTTATCAAGGTCTCTACCTTGGCCCTGTTTCTGCCGAAAATGTGACTCTTCAGAGTGGACCCAACAACATTCAACTTGAAGGACGAATGATTCCTCAAACCCAACCTGGAGACTTGGCTAAAGTCAGTCAACTCTTCAGCCAGTACATTGCCGGTATTCCTTCCAACACCACTGCAAAGGGTGTCTCTGCTGCTCCTGATGGTGTCCACCCCATCAACTGGTTATCCAAGGGTTTCCAGTCTGTTCAACTTGATGTCACTTTGGCTCCTAACAGCCAGCTCAAGCTAATCACTGGTGTCAACATGGGAAATCTTGACTTGCTCTTTACCAACTCTACTCCTTATGCTCCTTTGGCAAGCGCTCCTAATGTTACGGCCAACTTCCAGATGCCTTTCGGTTTCTCCATGAACATCACACAAGTAACCCAAAACATTACACTCGGTACTCCTGCCACTGGAAACATTGCCAACCTTGCATCCGGTTACGTGAACTCTGTCAGTGACCAAAAGACTGGTATTCTTTCCTTTGCCTTGGCCAATTCTCCTTTGGTCGTGATTTCTGGAAAGGAACAAGCCTTCAATGACTTCAATGCAAACTTGACTGCTCAACAAGTATACAACTTTACCATCAACGGTAACGCCTCCATCAATGCTCAGACTCCCATTGGTACTGTGTCTTTGACAGGAATTCCCTTCAGTGCCAACTCTTCTTTGAACGGTTTGCAAAACCTCAACAGCACCGATACCATCATTAACAGTCTTGATGTCGTCGGCGGAACCACTGATTACCTGCAACTGGCCATCTCCGTAGGCATGCAGAACCCATCTTCTGTCCAGATCACAACTGGTGATGTCTCCTTCGAGATGCTCTCTGGTGAAACCATCCTTGGAACTGTTTTGTTGCCCAACTTGACCTTGGCTCGTGGCCCCAACACTGTCATTGCTCAAGGAACATTCGATCCCAAGGGTTCCGTCGCCGGCCAAAACCTATTGACTACCTTCATTGAAGGACAGGACAATGGTGTCGGTATTGAAGGTTACAATGGAACTACTCCAGTTTTGTCTCTCGTTGACAGTTTGAAGGGTATTAGCCTTACCTCAGTCCTTCACGGATTGCCCTCTCCTCTCATTCAAAAGGCTAGTCTTCAAGTCAGAGATGACACTCTCACCAGTGGTTATGCCACCACCATTGTCACTATGAGCAATCCTTTCACTGCCGGTTTCACCATCAACAAAGTCTTGTCCTCCGTCAGCTACGCCGGTATGCCTGTTGGTAACATTGACCAAGACCTTAGCAGCAACCCCATCACGATCAGCGGTAAGACTACTGGTAACACTCCTGGTCTTGATATCAAGATGAACCTTGAGCCTGCCGCCATTGCCTTGTTGCTCCGTGAAAATGCTGTTTCTGCTGGTCTTGACTTGCGTCCTCTTGATGCCTTGCTTACCCTTGGTGGATTCTCTATTGCCGGCCAAGAATCTGTCGCTGCCTCTGCTGAAACTTTCAATGGATTTAACATCACTACCTTTGTTATCAATGCCATGAAGAACTTGCATATTGATCTTCAACTTCAGTCCACTCTTGTCATTGGACAATATGTCAACGATCAAATGGCCTTTGCTCAAAGCGACGTTGTTTGCTCCACTGATGACTCTATCGCCAAGTTGATCCCCATTGTCGGTCAACCCATTGTCCAAGCTATTATCAACGCTGCTGAATTGTCTTTCTCCAGTGTCATTATCTCTAACCCCACTGATAGCAACTTCCAAGTTCTTATGAATGGCAAGATCACTGGTACCGGACCTTTCTCTGCTACCATCAGCTTCCCTACCTCGCTTCTCGTTGTTTGGGAAGGCCGTACTCTTGGATCTGTCAACATGGCTGATATCCAAACACAACCTGATGTTGGTGCTACTTTCAGCGTCACTGGTACCTTCAGTATCTCTGATACCGATGCTATGGCTGATTTCTCTGCTTACATGTTGAACAATGCACAATTCACCTGGAATATCCACACTGACAATGTTGCTGTCAACGCTCTTGGCTACACATTCACTGGTCTTGAAATGCAAAAGGATGTTTCTCTCACTGGTATGCAAGGATTCAAGAACGATGTTACCATTCAAGCCTTCAACCTACCTGCTAATGATCCCAGCGGTGGAATTGAACTTGATCTTGTTACCATTATCAAGAACCCTAGCAACGTTGGTGTTGACCTCAGCGGTGTTGGCTTCGAGTCTTTCTTCGGTAGCGTCGACATCGGTCCTTTGGCCTCCACCAATGGCAGTGCTAACTTCCCTCCCAATGGTCAAAGCACTATTCCCATGAAGGGCCGTTTGTCACCTCAGTCTAGCACTGAAGGTCTTAGCGCGATCCAAACCATTTTCGCCAATTTCTTGGGCGGCAAAACCACTTCTCTCTCTGTCAAGGGTTCTTCCGCTTCAGGTCCTAGTGGCCAGGTTGGTTGGTTGAGCAAGGCTTTCCAATCTTTGACTATTGACAATATCATCTTACCTGCTGGCCCATCCAACTTGACTTTAATCCCCGCTGTTAGCTTGAAGCAGCTCTCCTTGGACTTCACCAAGGATGCCTATGCACCCACTTCGTCTTCAAACGATGTTGAAGCTCAGTTCCAGAGCCCCTTCGGTTTCCCTCTTGGCGTGACTGGAATGTCACAACAAATTCTCGTCAATGCCCATGGCTACCCTGTTGCCAATTTGGACATTCCTTACAACGCTGCCACCACTTACCCCAACGGCACTATCCAGACTGGTTTCTCCAATGTGCCTTTTGCTGTTCCTTCTGCTGTGCATGAAGTCTTTAACCAATTTGTTAAGCAACTCACTCTCACTGGTGAAAATACTTTTGGTCTCACCGGTACTGTCAAGGCTACCACTATCTCAGCTGTAGGAGCTCTTGATCTTGGTGATATTCACTTTGACGTCCAAACGACTATGCAAGGTATGTGAAAAATATGGTTTCAAAAAGAAAACTATTCTCACATCCCGTTTATTCGAATCAATTTTTACTAACAATAACCCCCTAGGTTTTAATAATTTCGGAGGCACTGTCCAAGTGACATCTGTCAGTGTTGCCGGTGCCACTTCTCAGTATGTTCAAATCCAACTGACTGTTGTTTTGAACAACCCATCGCCAATCACTATCACTATCGGTGACATCGTCTTCCGTACTATTGCTTTTGGTTTCGACTTGGGTCCTACTTTGTTGAAGCAAGTAACTATTGCCCCTGGAGCCAACACTTATCCCGCTGAGTTCCAGCTTACTCCTAGTGCTGATACTAATCAGCAAGCCGTCATTGGAAAGATTCTCTCCGGATACCTCATGGGTGGCACTTTCCCATTGCTCGTCCAGGGTACCACTGCTTCTTCTCCCATTGCTTCTCTTCAAGAAGCTCTTGCTGGTGTCAACTTGGCTACTTCCATCACTGGTGTCGCTCCCACTCTTATTACTAAGGCTGAAGTATCCAATATCCAATTCGTTCTCCCTCCTGATCCCGTTACGGCTACCACCTATGTTACTTTGAACAATCCTTTGGATACCAGCTTCAGCTTGCTTTCTATTCATGCTAAAATTATCTATGCTAACAACGGCAACCCATTCCAACTTGCCCACATCGACCTCGATTTCGGTGGCGCTTTCACGGTTGGTGCCAAACAATCAGTTACAACTCCTGGACTTCCTCTCGTCTTTGATGCATCTATTCAACAACTCTTTGCTCTTATCTCTTCGGGTGCTGATCTTAAGGTTACCATTGCCCAAACCTCAACCGTGCTTATTAATAATGCGTTTGGAGGAATGCTCGCTTACTCCCAAGATAATGTCCCCGTGGTTATCGATCCTATCCCCGCTGAAGTTATTGCAGCTGTTATGGCTGCTTTAGGTCTTCAACCTCTTGCTGCAACCGCTCCTCAGACCAATACCACCACCACAACCACTACGACTTTGGCAGTACCTACTACCACCACAGATACTACCACTACTACCACGGATGCTACCACTACCACCACTACTGACGCTCCCACCACCACCACCACTACCGTGGTTGCTACCTCCAGTGTCTCTTAGTTTTGCCATACAATCTTGAATATAATTATTTTTATGCGAGGTAATCTGTATAATATATAAATGTTACTAAGGCATCGCCAGTCTGTTGTACAAGGACAGTATATAAAATATAAGTTAAGAAAAGCTTTCGCGTCACGTTTCGCAGCTGACTGGCCATAACGAGCGAAAGGGGTTGCTCAACCAAGAGCTAAAACTTGCCACCCTGTTAAATTTGGCTATAATGCGCATAGGGTGGGGGAGTCAAAATCTTGAGGCGAGATACTCCATGGTAGTAAAGAATATATTTGCTTGTACCTGAAGTCAAGCTCGGCTTACGATGTTTGGAAGTTTCCTCACAACATATGGCTTGCTCAGTAGATAGGCTCACTGCAAATAGAAGAGGGCTAGGCAAAGCGCAGTCGGAGATTCAGATCATCATGCAGTAGAAAAGGTAAAGACCGTTTTTGAGAGCCTTGTCCTCTGCTCTCTCCATGTCCAACCCATTCCCCAATATATCAGACGCCAGCTACCTGGCGGTACAGGAGGCGTCAAGGCAGGGCACTCCCTCGCTTCATTCCAATCACAGTCGGTTGCATATGGGATCGCATTCCAGACTCGATACTATTATTGCATCAGAACTTGCATCGCAGTCCAACAGCACGCACTCAAAACCAACTGAACAAGACTCTGCGAACCGTCTGCCCGAGGGCACAGTGGCAAGATGGCAGAATATCATACGACGAGTGTCGGCGTTACCGGGTCTGCTTCAGCCAGACGAACCTGAACAAACAAACGAAGACGTCTTTCCACCGCCCATCGAGACTAGTCATCCAGAACCAGCATTGTCGCTCCAAGATATGCAGTATCAAGAGTTGATAGCCAACGATGAAAATTTACCTTCTATGGAGGAATGCTATCAAGTTTCAGGAACCGAAAAAGCTGAAACACAGCCAAACTATTTTACCAATCCGTTTGAGTCCGACAATGAATACCAGCCAGGCACCACTACACCAGCCAACGTTCATCCCTCCGTTCAACTTCCTGTCCAATCCAACGATTCCAGTGTATTTGTGAGTGATAAATATCATGACACTATTGATGAAATAAAGGATGGTCTGCCACTACAAAAACCAGAAGAGAAGGACCAACACACCACTATTGATTTGCATAAATACGACGGAGATGGGCCCATGCCACCACTTCGGAAGACAAATAGCGAGTTGCAAGGTGAGTGCAGCAGCCATATAATGAGATAGGTCATATTTGCATTGATCTAATGGTACCATATAGCCAATCGAGCCCGAGCCAATTGGGGGAAAACGTTTGACAAAGTGAAACTTGTGAATAATATTAATGCAATATCCAAGCAAACGAAGAATCGACTCGTAGCTCCGTCATACCCAGTTGTACCATTTTACCCTCCAGCGTTTTCTGTGCCCTACATTGCCATGTCTCGGGATGAAAACGAACGAAAACCAGTGAGCAGCTTTTTTTAAATGCATAGGGAAAAAAAATTTCATGGCTAACCTCTCGTCCACTGAATTTTTTTTCTATAGCCTCCTATTTTATTTGATTGTCTTTCAGTATGTAAACAAGAACAAAGCAACTGTTTCACGTTTTTGTCCTTTTTTTTCTAATTTCGCTTTATCTGGTTTAGCTTGCTATCACGGATTCCTTCATCGACCAACATGCAATCAACAAACAATGGGTGTTTCGGATAGAGCTTGGATATGGTGACATCAAATGGGTGATCAAGCGCACGGTTGTGGATTTTTACTCGCTTCATCTAACGCTGAAATTCAAAGCCAATCTCTCGACGCGCGCACCCCACCCTCCCCATTTTCCTAATCAACTGGCTCACTTGTACCATGCGCTTACGTCTATTCCAGGCTGGACACTTGAGGATGAACAAGACGAAAACAGAAAGGACTCTAACTTGAAACGCAGAGAGCAACTGGAGGAGTATTTGAAGGAATTGATCAAGGCCTCATACATGATGGTCAATTATGATTTATGCGAATTTCTGGAAATATCCGCCATCAGTATCACGAGGGATATGGGCTGGAAGGGAAAAGAAGGGTACCTTGAAAATCGAATGGAATCAAGGTTACCCTCTGTTTGTCAGTCAGTCAACTTCACCAAATGGTCCAAAGAATGGGTCATCCTTCGTGACTCGCAAGTGTTTCCTCTCCCTTTTTGGTTGTATAAGCTGCGAGTGCGCAGTTCTGTGAGTGAATATATGAACTAACCGTTTGCATTGCAGGTACATTGCCTTCTGCAAGGATATCGGTTCAACCACACCTACCGATGTGCTATTATTTGATCAGTATTTCAAAGTGGACGCAGCTCCTCACTTCCTAGCCCCGTACAACCAACATCATATTATCATCAAGAACAAGACTCGACGCATCGACATTAAAGGTCCTGCCAATCGTGTCATAGAAGATTGGATGGCCAGTATCAAAAAAGTCCAAACCGACAGTCCTTGGATGAAGCGTCATCGTTTCCTTTCTTTCGCTCCCATCCGAAATGATGCCAAGGTCAAATGGTTTGTAGATGGACATGGTACGACATAGTTGATAACAATAAGGTTTTCCAATCTTGGCGTTGCTGATCAATGTTTGTTAGATTATTATGATGCCATCGCTGAAGCTATTCTTGCGGCAAAGTCAGAGATTTACATTGCAGACTGGTGGTTGGTAAGTGCAACCTGGATCTTTTTTTTTCGTACAATGATGTCTTCGCTAACACACACGCTCGACGATGTAGAGCCCAGAATTGGTAAGCTTATATAGCGACGACTTTTTATGCGTTGGCTGATGTTGTAACACTAACCTTCTGGGGTAACAGTACTTGCGAAGACCTCCTGCAGAGAACGAAAACTATCGTCTGGATCGATTGCTCCAGTATAAAGCAAAACAGGGTGTGCTCATTTATGTTGTTCTGTACAAAGAGGTTGGTTTGGGATTCGCTTTGAATTCCGAGCATAGCAAGAACACGCTTCGTGGCCTGCACAAAAATATCTTTGGTGAGTCAGTCAAAGGCTTCTGCTTCGCGGTCATTCACCTATTAACTTCTATCAAGTCCAACGGCATCCTGATCATAATGCCGTCACGGGTGACACTCTCTTCTGGGCCCATCATGAGGTAAAGGATTGAAAAGATACTTGGCTGCAAAAGCATACAATCACTCATCAGCAGTGGATATTGCACAGAAAATACTGGTAGTAGATTACAGACTGGCTTTCATTGGCGGACTAGATTTATGCTTTGGGTAAGACTGAATCTATCCATACAGCACGTTGGACATACCTGTCTCATCTTTTCGTAACATTTCCTACAGCCGCTATGACACCCACTCACATCCTTTGTCTGATTACTCTATGAACGGCCAAACAAGCGAAATCTTCCCTGGCCAAGACTACAATAACCCACGTATTAAGGATTTCACCAATGGTAAGTGCATCCATTTTTATGCCTTCACCAGCTGTATAACGTACGTTAATCCATTGTGTATTTAGTGCAACAATACGATGCTACACTGATTGATAGACGAACCACACCTCGTATGCCGTGGCATGACGTTGCCATTGGAATGGTAAAATCTGCTTGGTTGCTGCACATTTAGCTTAAAAGCCGATCCTTCTCTGACATAACCTCTGTTTTAGGTCGGTACACCGGCCAGAGATGTAGCAAGGCACTTTGTTCAGCGCTGGAATCATGTCAAAAATCAGAAGGGTCAAAAACGAATGAATTTGCCATTTTTGACGCCGAAGGGTGAGTTTGTTCCGGCTCGCGATGAGACCAAGTTTAAAGGGACCTGCCGCGTTCAGGTCCTTCGAAGCAGCTCGGATTGGAGCCAAGGTGTTGAGCGCGAGGTAAGTCGAGGTTGCTGTATGACGTCCTCACGACAGACACGTGTGCGCCTTCTCACTCTTATTGCTAGTTCTCTATATACAATGCATACATGGAGGCCATCAGTCGGGCCAAGCACTTTGTGTACATAGAGAATCAATTTTTCAGTAAGTCTCACCAACGCTCCATCCATGCTAGTGTTCCCCGTTTACTAAGCGCTATGGTTTCTTTTCTCTAGTCACTGCTACTCAACCAGATAACAAACTGATTAAGAACAATATTGGACAAGTAAGGAGATTATTTTGTGTAGACTTGTTTGTGAGCACGCTACTGACATCCATGACAGGCTATTGTAGAAAGGATCAAGCGCGCACATAAAGAAGGCAAGAGGTTTAGGGTATATGTGGTCATACCGCTGGCACCTTCTTTTCCTGGTGATTTTGCAGCCAGCGATGCTTCCATTCTTCGGTAAGCCAAATAACCATCGTTGACTCGTATATGAGATATTTTATGTAACATTTTGACTTATCGCAATTGCCATCAGCCTGGTGATGCACCAACAGTACGTATCCATCAGCCGTGGGGGTAACTCGATTCTTGAGCGCTTGAGGAACGCGAACATCAATCCGGAGGACTACATTTCGTTTTACAGCTTACGAACGTGGGACAAGATCAAATCCAACACAGACTACAATAGCAAGTTTAAAAGCAGACAGTCGAACGGCGGACAGGGCTCGTTCGATGAGAACGTGGAAAGAGTCAACAGCACTGTAGAGGCTGTTAATGGTAAGGCCACCGGACCAACCCGAAGCAACAGCAAGAAGGGACGCCAGCATAAGAAGTCTCGCTCCGTCGGCTCGATTGGCACTAGAAGAAGCGATGAGGCGGTTGGCGAGGATATGGTTCGAAGCGGTACCCTCAGCAGTACCAACAGCCTGGAGATAAACGATGGCCGTATGGACTACGTTACCGAGCTGTTATATATCCATAGCAAGCTGCTTATTGTGGATGATCGACTTGTCATATGCGGCTCTGGTGAGTGACATGTTTTCAAATATCTTCAGCACTGGTCAAAGTGATGATAGTGTCTACATATACTCAGTGACTGACTCCCCTCATAACTTTTTCTGTTTATTCATTTGCCACATTTTTAGCTAATTTGAACGATAGGTATGAGGCAATGCGGCATTGAAACAAATATCATGTGCACTGGGCTAATGTTTTTATCTTAGATCGCAACTGGGAACCCGAGACTCAGAAGTCGCCATGATCATCGAAGATACCGATATGGTTCCCTCTCGGATGAACGGAAACGAGGTAACTTTTTTACATGTTGGCTATGGCAACTCACGAATTCAATCTAATGCCTTGCTTCGCAATATAGTACAAGGCTGGTCGATTTGCATATACCCTACGCACACACTTATTTAAAGAGCATTTAGACCTCCTGAAGGATCACGAGCGTACAGTAGCAACCGATATGCGCGAAAGCATGCAAAATATGCAATCACATCGTGGATCCATGATGCCAGATTCCACTGGCGTTTTGAATATGCCGACGGCTTCACCTCAACCTTATGACGACCTACGTGGCTACGACAATGCAGACTCGATTGTTATGGACCCTCTGGACGATGACTTTTATTATAACTACTGGAACCGCATTGCCATCTCTAATACCAAGATATACCGAAGTTTATTCCGTTGTGTACCTGACGATACTGGTATGTCTTGCACCTTTCATTTAATCTACGTATACACCATGTCTAATTTACGTCTCACTCTCCTTAGTACTCAGCTTTGAGGAACACAAGCGATTCGTCCCCGATCCTACTCTTATACCTCCAGGTCATATTGCCAACCCAAAGCGACACTCTGTGGAAGATGTAGAACAGGCGCTGAGTGGGATCCAGGGAAAGCTTGTACAGTTCCCTACCAAGTATCTCCGAGAAGAAAATTTACAAGGTGGTCAAGTTAAAGCTGCCGCAACCCCCATGACACTCTTTACGTGAACCACCTTTTTTACACATATCCACCAAACCAAACCATAGCATCGCATAGCATAGCATATATTACATTTAGCATATGGTCCTTTTTGACCTTATTTATTGGCACGCGCTTTCACCTTAATCTGACGCGCTCTCGCTTCTCTGACTGACTCAAATAACACATGTCACAGTAAAAGATGTTGATGTCTCACGTGAATTTCCTAGCCGATATGGCATTCTACACAGGCCTCGTCGTTTTCACAGTACGTTAGAAGACGCGGCGTGCTTACGTGTGATGACGAACGGCGTAGTGTGTGAAGAATTTTTTTAATCTTGGGATGGATACAGCAAGACGACGATGCTGCGTTTTTATGCAGAGTACAATACGATCCTTCACATCCAATGAGTTGAATGACCGCAACCTCATGTTGCACACCTTATTTCAATTCGGCCAAACGGGCGTTTGGCGGACTGGAATTTTTGCAAAAGCGCATGAAAACACGACGACAGTCCCAATTTTCCTTACTTCCTCATCCTCAACCACTATGAGCGGCGATAAGGTCATTTGCGAGGACTGCGTTACCGGCTTTCTCAAGACAGGTGAAACCCAAGGCGACATCAAAACCGTTGGCTCGGTGCAAGCTTATTTCACCCCTTCGAGTTCACACAAGTCCGATAAGGCCATCGTCATTATTGGCGATATTTTCGGCTGGGAGTTCATCAATACTCGGCTTTACGCTGACGAGATAGCAAGGTAATGTTTATTCATATAGGGAAGCATTGGGCTCACGCGCTAAGGTTTCATAAACAGACAGACAGGCTTTCTGGTAGTGGTGCCTGACCTAATGAAAGGCTATGCTGCTCCTGCCGATGCTCTTTTGAAGCCGCCGACCGGTTTTGTGAATAGCATTCTCCATAAAGCAAAAATGGTCCCTATGATCTATAGCTCAGGCAGAGCTATCATGGCCCTTAAACCCGAAGTTGTCCTAGACTTGGCCCACGCCGTACTGAACGACCTTCGTGCCAGCTATGGCATTCAATCCATCGGTGTGCATGGTAGGGTTAAAGTCATTGATTGATATGGTGGTCAATGAACTTTTTTTTCTCATCCTATCGTCCAATAGGTTTCTGCTTTGGAGGGAAATATTCGATTCTTTTAGGTAACAAAGGACCGAATGACACGCCGTCGCCTGTTCAGGCTTTCGCAGCCGGTCATCCTTCTCTTTTGAAGATTCCTGGTGACGTTGAAAACATCGATCCCTCCATACCGGCATTTCTACAGTATGCTGAATCTGACTTTATGGTGTCGGAGAAGAACAGACAAGACATCGAACAAATTACCAAAGAGAAGTCTCTCACCAACGTCAAGACCAAATTGTACCCCGGCACCAAACATGGCTTCTGTCTCAAGTCCAACGAAGATGATGAAAAGGAACGGGCCATTGCCACTGAAGCCACCACCGATGCTGCTCAATTTTTTGCCAGCAAGCTGTGATTAGCCTTTGTAGGCTAGGAGTATCCTATTTTTATTTATTCACCGCGGCCGCCAAGCTCGCTAGCTGACCGTGCTATGTTAATACCATTATCATTTCCACGTCTCTTGTGGGATGAAGTGTCCATTACATAATGTTTTATTTGCCAAGCACTGCTAAAGATGAGAAAGAAAAAAAAAATTTCATCTTGGTTTCGAATATCTGGAGGGATCGTCAGTGTTTGTATGGGCGGTTAATTTTGGGGATCGAAAATTTGGTTGGGGGTTATGAACGATGACAAGAACCTCTTTATCATTGCTTTACTAGCACCCTCTGCTTTCAAAATCGGGGGCGACGTCTGATCCAACACCAATCCAAGCTGAGCGGAAGCGCCAAATCAAATCATCAGGGCGGGGCGGCCACAAAGCATTAAGCTGAGATCGATTTGGGATGACATGCTTCCGTCACAGTTTTTTTTTTTTTTTGGGTTGAATGAGCGTAAAGCAGCGGGTTAGAAACGAAGAAAGAAACCAACAATTTTTTTTTTTTCCTTGTCATCTCTCCCAAAAAAATTACTCAAAGCTCCCTCAAAGCGCATTTCGCCTCTTTGCTCACCTCTTTGAAAGCTTTCATAGTTTAATTTTTTTTTCTCTTCCCTTCTTTTTTGTTGTTGTTCAACACACAACCCCTCCTTCCCTCCTCATCATCTCAGCTCTCCCCCGTTACTAATGAGCATCTTATCACCATCTGGAGGTGCTTTTAAGTCCATCTCCACCTTGCTTGGCAAGGGTATTCACCGTGCTGCTCGTATTTCCGCGCGAAATCCTATCGAGATGATGGTGGCCATGCTCATTATGGCCTCCTTCAGTTATTTCGCGCTGTTGAACTTGGCCAAAACGTCAGACATTTTCACTGGAACGTCTACTCGTCTTCACCCAACATTTGCTTACCGTGCTGGAGACGCTGTCACCTTCACTCAGTTGAGCGATAAGGAGTTGAAGGCTATACCGTCCGACGCTGTGGTCAAAGTTCAGTTGAACCAAATTGTTATCGAAGATCCAAGTGCTACCCGATCCAAGCGATCTGAAGGAGTGATCAAGCCCGATGTGTTAGAGGCGGTTTACCAGTTCCAGGACGTCGTTGAACATCAAGTTTTGGTACCCGATGGTCCTAAAACCACCAAGAAATACTCCTTTGATAGCGATTTGTGTTACAAGCCAAACAATCAGTGCTTCCGCCAAACACCTTTGGATTTGTGGAACAACGACCTTGCTGCCATCCATGCCGACCAAGACATTGCCGCTACCGTGGCCGCTCACTTAAACACCGCTGCTCACCAGTTTCAAATGACCGATGATCAAAACAAGATTCAGGCCTTTATTCTGTCCTATGCCTTCAATGCCAGCAGCACCATTCGTCAGGAATTGGCCAAGCAATGGGCTTTCAAGGTCGCTACTCTTCCTCCTGGTGCTTTGATCTCACATACCTCTATGGATGACCAACAACAAAACACCTTTGTCTGGCTGTTCATCATTGCTCGTAACGTGGTGTATAGAATCAGTGAACTCATTTCTCAAGCTGAGAACATTGATATTGTGGTTATTTTGCTTGGTTATTTGATGATGATTGCTACGTTTGTTTCTCTGTACGTGAACATGAGAGCAATGGGATCGAAGTACACGCTTGGTAAGTTTTTCATTCGTAATGCTTCGTATTTCAAACCTTTGCCTAATGCAGGATATTCCCTTTTTCAGCCACTGCTGTTATTGCCTCCGGATTCTTCTCCTTCATGCTGGCTCTGCTTACCGTGCACTACCTTGGCGTGGATGTCTATCCTGTGGTGTTGGCCGAAGCCATCCCCTTCTTGGTTGTGACCATCGGATTCGAGCGACCTTTCAAATTGACCAAACGTGTTCTTCAGTCCAGCGAACAAACTTCCATTAGTAAGCAGAATGTCCACGAAATCGTTATTCGTGCCGTCGATGATGTTGCTCTCCCTGTTGCCCGTGAATGCTCCATGGAAATCTTTGTCCTAGCCCTTGGTGCCAAGTCTGGCATTGATGGTTTGAGAGAATTCTGCCTTTTGAGCGCTATTCTTCTTGCCTATGATTATCTCATTATGTTTACTTGGTACACTGCTGTCCTTGCTCTTAAACTTGAGGTGAGTTTGAGTTGAAAAAAAAATGGACGCCAAGGCAACATTTAAATAACCATTTCTTCCCCTACCGCTTTTAGTTGAGACGCATCAAGGAGATGAACAGTACCACTGATACCTCTACAAAGACCATTGCTGCCGCCCCATCCAGCGAAAACCCTGTTCACATTCGTCGCACTGTCTTGAAGGCTTTGAAACCCGAAAGCAAGAGTGCTCGCGGTAAGAAGGGAGGTGAAAATGTCGACGACCCCATCATGGGACGCGTTAAGCTCTTGGTCATTGTTGGTTTCCTCGTCATGCACTTTTTCGAACTTTGCTCCACCTTGACACCTTCTACTACCACGGCCGGTGTCAACATTGAAGACCCCTCGGTTGCTAAAGTCCTTTCGGCTCTCTATGAACGTCATCAACAATCTAGCTCGCTGCCTTTGGTTGTCGAGGTCTTCTCTCCTCTGCAATTCCATGTCGTCGACCAAGGTTACTCTGTTTTGCCCGCCATTTTGGAAAAGCCCCTCAACTACATGTTCAACTCTTATGCCGACTACATTCAGGACCCTGTCATTAGCAAATGGTTGACCTCTGCTTTGGTTTTCTCCCTGTTCTTGAATACCTACTTGTTCAATGTTGCTAAGCAACCCAAGCAATTGGTCGAACACCAGTCCAAGGAGAAGAGAACGCTTGTTTCCGAAAACGTCAGCCCCTTTGTCGAATTGTCTGATAAGCAAAAGATCTCTGTTACCAACGTTGTGCCTACCATGAAGTCCGAAGGTTCACCTGCCCCCGCTTCCCCTGCTCTTCACCATGAAACCCACCATCGTCACCGCCGATCATCTGTTGCTCACTCTAAGGTCATCCGTCCTTTGGATGAATGCGCTGTGATTTTGAAGAGCCCAGAACAAGGCCCTGATGCTCTTAACGATGAAGAAGTGCTTCAGCTTTGCCAGGCTGGAAAAATTGCTCCTTATGCTTTGGAAAAGGTTCTTCAAGACTTTGAACGTGCTGTCAAGGTTAGACGTAGCTTGATCTCCCGTGCTTCCATGACCAAGACGCTTGAAGCCAGTGCTCTTCCCGTTCAACATTACGATTACTCCAAGGTGATGGGTGCTTGCTGTGAAAACGTTATTGGTTACATGCCCATTCCCGTTGGCGTTGCTGGACCCATGATCATTGACGGTGAAAGCATTCATATCCCCATGGCCACCACGGAAGGTTGTCTGGTTGCCTCGGCTGCTCGTGGCTGCAAGGCCATCAATGCTGGTGGCGGTGCTACCACTGTCCTTACCGCCGATGGTATGACGCGTGGTCCCTGTGTTGAATTCCCTAATATCACAACGGCTGTTGCTTGTAAACGATGGATTGAAGAAACTGGTGCTGAAACCGTCATGGCTGCCTTCAACTCCACCTCTCGGTTTGCTCGTCTTCGTAAGCTCAAGGTCACCTTGGCCGGCAAGCTTGTTTTCATTCGATTCTCTACCACCACGGGTGATGCCATGGGTATGAACATGATTTCCAAAGGTTGCGAGAAGGCACTTGCTGCTATCAGTGAGAAATTCCCTGAAATGCAAATCATCTCCTTGTCCGGTAACTACTGTACTGACAAGAAGGCTGCTGCTATCAACTGGATTGAAGGACGTGGTAAATCAGTGGTAGCTGAAGCCATTATTCCCGGTGAAGTTGTTGAAAAGACGCTCAAGACCACTGTGGCTGCTCTGGTTGAACTCAACATTAGCAAGAACTTGATTGGTTCCGCTATGGCTGGTTCCTTGGGTGGTTTCAACGCTCATGCTGCCAACATCCTTACCGCTGTGTACATTGCCACTGGTCAAGACCCTGCACAAAACGTTGAAAGTTCCAACTGTATTACTTTGATGAAGGCTGTCAACCAAGGTCGTGATCTTCACATCTCATGTACTATGCCCAGTATCGAAGTTGGTACCATTGGTGGTGGTACGATCTTGCCTCCTCAACAATCTATGTTGGATATGCTTGGTGTTCGTGGTCCTCATCCTACTGAACCTGGCAAGAACGCTCAGCGTTTGGCAAGAATCATTGTTGCCGCCGTCATGGCTGGTGAACTTTCATTGTGTGCCGCTCTTGCTGCTGGTCATTTGGTCCAAGCCCATATGGCCCACAACCGTGTTGCTGCCACGCCTGCTCCCACTCCCGTTGCCACTACCCCTTCCACTCAAAGCTTTGAATGTCTTTTGAAGAAGTAGACGACGAATCAATGAACCGTTTGTTTGTTTTTTTTTTTTATTTTCGCAAAAAAAGGATCGTTTCTTTTCTTACACGCTCACCTCACTCACACACACACCCCCCATACAAATTCTTAATAATGTGCTATTTCTTTTCTTGCGATTCTTTGGTTAATGTTGATACATATTTAAAGTAGAAAAAAAAATTATTTTTTTACAAAGCACCTCTTCACCACATACATTCCACTCAAACCAAATATTCCCTCTTGCTTGTGGTCGTCTTCTTTAAACTTACAAATAAATCTCAATTCATTCCTGCTCATGTCGCACGGTCGGTCTTTCTCCGTGTGATCGATTGTACTACAGCAGCGGTGACGGAATTCCTCCAGACACTCTAGATTCTCGTCTCGGCCAGCAGCGCTTCCACCGGCTTCAACTATACACACCATGCCATTTCATGATCCAGCAAAGTGAGTTTATCTCGGCTCTGCGTGGGGTATTTTACTTTATAATGTGGGTGGGTGGGGTTGCACCAATAATTGCAACGGAGATACTGAGAAAATGAGTGTATGTATGAAGTTATGTAAACGTACAGAAATGTAGGACAAACGAGGATTTAAATATGACAAGAGAAGGAGGTCCATAAACCTCTATTGGTGTCTTTTTTTTTCTTTACCAAGTTGCTTGGTTGTTGTGGTCGGAGGTGGGAGTGACAGTGGGGGGAACACTGGCGGTAGGGTTGTAGTTGTTGAGCAAGTCCTGGATCTCGCTAAGAATCTTGGAGTTAAAGGTATCGAACTTGGAGTTCAACTCGGTGTCAAGATCTTCGAGTGTGACATAGTCGGTGTATGTGTCGGAAATGGTTTGGTCACCGGTGGTGTCGTCGTCGTTGCTGCTGCTATCATCGCCTGAAGTTTCAGTCACATCATCTTCGTGCCATTCGTTGGTATGAACATCATCGGTAGTAGTGCCAGTGGTGTCAGTGCCAGTCGTGTCAGTGCCAGTAGTGTCAGTGCCAGTAGTGTCAGTGCCAGTAGTGTCAGTGCCAGTGGTGTCAGTGCCAGTGGTGTCAGTTCCAGTGGTGTCAGTTTCAGTGGTGTCATTAGGGTACAAGTAAGCATCAACCTTGGCCTTCAATAACTCAATAAACTGATCCCACCCCGCAACGTCGGTGATACTGGCGGTGACAGCGTCAAGCTTTTGAATATCAGCAGCATTGTTGGGATACTCAGTTACGAGCTTACTAATGAAAGTGGTCCATTCAGTCTTGATCTGGTCAGCTGTGCGCTCACCGTCTCCCATGGTCTCAAGAGTGACAATCTCGTTAGGGAAGGCAAGGATGGGGGAGTTTTGAGTGTTGTTGGTAGGAGATTCAATAACATTCAGGTGGCTGTAACCAGTCAACTCATCCAAGACGCTGCCAAAGTCAGTGTTGGCGTGAGAAGTGGAAACGCTGTAATCACCAGCAACAACACGAAGACAGCCGTATCCGGATCTTCCGGTGTTACAGTCAGTCTAAGTAGCGTTAAAAAGAATAGGTGAGTTGGTGAGTATGGTGGAACAAACGAGAACGGAAAGCCGTCGATGAGTCTTACCTTGTTTTGACAGCAACGAATACAGAAGCGGTCGACATCGGGTTCAATTAGGGAGACAAAGTAGTTGTAACCCTTGCACTGAGCGCCAGTAGGCTTACCGTTACCCTATGGAATAGAACGGATGAGTGGACGTGGTTCTGATGATGAAAAAAAAAAAATGAAAAAAAATGGCTTACATGGTTATCGTATTGACCTGAAATAAATTAAATCAAAGCAGATCAGTTATATTGTTTACTGTGAAAATTCAGGGAACTCAGCGGGACACGATTTTTGAAAAATTCGAGACTACTTACCACCTCCATCGGTAGACTTGAGAGAATACTTGGTGCGATCAAAGAAACCAGTGACTTGAACGTAACTGGAAGATTTGAGGTAGTGGCTAGTGGTGATAAATCCACTGGGGAAAGTCTTTGCTCCAGGAGCTTCGGAACTTCCCTTGGCACAGAAAAGGACACCAGTGGTCTCGGTGGTGGCAACGATATCACCGGGAGCGGGAGGCAAGAACAAGCAGAACTCGCTCTGGCTGGTGAGAGAGATTTCTCTTCCGTAAGGAGCAGTGGAATGAGAAGCGGCTGCAGTGGAAGTCTTTGTCGCGGTGGTGGTGTGTTTGGTAGAAGTGGAAGTGTGAGTGGAGGTGTGAGTGGAGGTGTGGGTCGTGGTGGTGGTGTGTTTGGTGGTGGTGGTGGTGACAGCAGCGTCTTCGTGGAAGGAATCGACAGGAAGAGCTGAAGAGACAGCGAGAGTAGCCAACAGACCGAGCGCAGAGAGTGAGATGCGCATAGTGAAGAAGAGAGCAAGGTGGCGATGAAAGAGGCGAGGACGAATGGGAAATAAATAGGGAAGAAGAGGCTGGGCAATAATTGTAAAAATAGAAACAGCACGCAGAAATTTTTTGATTCTCCTCCCCAAAGACCGTTACACTCTCCATGGTGCAAATCGTCGATAGAGCCATTAACAGGATTGGGCCGGTCTTTATCGCCATTGCACTGGTGCTATTGGCCATGTGTGTCTTCTGCTACTACCTAGTGGTCTTCCCTTACACCCATCGGTGGTCCGATGCTGGATTCTTGGGGAAAATCTACATTGCTACTATGTTAGCATGGAGTGCCTACATGGTGTATTGTATTTTCTTTCACTACTACATGGCTATCGTCACATCGCCAGGCAATGTATTGGATCGCCCTGGTATGGATCCACGACTCAGAGCTGATGAATCAGATCCAGCCATTGCTGAATCTCACCAACAGGTAAGATGCCTTCATACCCCCTTTATTAATAGGTCACGGCTAAACGTTTTTCTTTATTGTCTTTATAGGAGGATACCGAAACGTCCATCAGAGAGGTTTTGTTAGAACTGGAAGAATACTCTGTCTACCCAAAGACTTGTAAAAAGTGTAGGTGTCCATTGTCACTGTCCGCCCTCCCACCCAACCCTCCCCTCACCTCGCCTCATTCTTGACCAATAGGTCATCTACCAAAGCCAGAGCGGGCTCATCATTGTAGTATTTGCAACTCGTGTGTCCTCAAGTTTGATCACCACTGTAAGTAAATTCCAACGTGTATATCATTTACTTGACTGGCGGCGAAAAGGATACGGTTTCGGAGTAAAATTAATCACCATCAAAGGCCCATGGATCCACAACTGCGTTGGACACAACAATCACAGATACTTTGTCCTATTTATGACCTATTTGGTTGTGTCGGCAACCTATTTTGCCTTAGCTGCCTGGCGTCCTTTCATCATCGCCTTGGATTTCATCAATACGGAAGTAAGTGCAAAACAAGGATATTTTTGTTCCGAATCCAACCCATCTTAATCCGTAATCTCCAGTGGCCATATTACTATCCTAGACCGCTTGTGGCCTTTTCCTATATTTTGGCCATATGTATGGGCGTAGCCATCGGTATGTGTTGTAGATACATGCTTAGAAAGGCAGGAACAGCATTTTGAGTAACCTCATCTATTGTATTCTATGTTTAGCCGCCTTATGTGCTTGGCATTATTATCTGGTAAAGTGGCGCTCAGTAGATTTTTCATTTCATCTTCAATTATCTAACCCTACCTTTTTCAACTAGCTTTTGACTGGACAAACCACTGTGGAATTTTACAACAATCAGTATGAAAAGGGCTTGCACAAGACCCAAGGAGAGGTACGTCTCATATAGAACTGCTGTTATTTTTCTGATGGGATGCCTAACTCTTGTCTCCGCAGATATTTGTAAATATGTATGACTTTGGTGTCAAGGAGAACTTCAAAATTTTCTTCAACATCTCCGACAAAAAGTAAGTAGTGCTTTCATCATCATCAGGATGAGCCACCAGCTCTTCCATTGATTCACCTTGACTAATGCACCTTGACCAGTCCATGGTATAGCGTGCTGATCCCCGTGCCCGTCCCTCCCAAAGGCAGTGGGCGAATTTTTGAAAAGTGTCAGGAATTCAGCCTGTTGCCAACCAACAGACAACATCAATATTTCCAGGTGCAAGCAGAGTATTCTGACATTGAGGATGGAGTTAAAGACGTGTAGACGGTTTGTAATTTTTTATCCCTACGGACGAGCATTTGCTCCTTATCACACACTATTGTACATTTTTCTTTTATTACCCACTTGACTTACGTATTTAGATAAATGTAAATACCAAAGAAGAAAAGGCGGTGGATTCACAGTGAATGGTGGGACTACATTGGCAAGATGAAGGTTTTAGTGGGTGGAAGTATGAAACTATCAACAACGTCGGGATGAGCATTTATAGTGAGACAGGTGTGGGGAAATGAACATGAACTGGAGGTACCTGACTGACTGATCAAATACCCTTGGTGATGACATCACACTGAGTGGTCCTCAAGTTCCTCGCCAAGTGGAAATACGGTAATTAGTCAAGACAAAAGACATGAGAATTGCTTCGGTCAAAGGATTTGGTCAGCCTTCAAGCATTGATAGTAGCATGGACGGAAGTGCATCGCTTTGTGAACTACGCTAGGGAGGACAACCTATTCATATCTAGAGTTTGTAGCATGATGGACTTGGGACTCTTTCAGGGGAAAAGTGGCGAGAATATAGCTATTTTGTTACGAAGTTGTCCTTTTCACTAGGTATTTAAATAAGCATATACTTGTAATCGGCGTTTGCGTTTCAATGATGTAGCCTTCTATGCGTAAACCAATTAGTATGGACAGAAAAACAGGCAAAGTGCAGTTGACTGGCCAGAACGATAATTTCCTGGAACAACCAACGGCTTCGCTTTTGTATAATACTCTTCGTAGTAGACCCATGTACTTGGTCCAGCTAATATAGTGACGTTCCACACAAATATTGCTTTTCCGTCAACCTCGCCCTGAACCGATCGATAACATCGAGTTCGGCTTTGACACCGTTATATCCTCATCTCCCCCATCGCAAGTGCAGTTAGTCCAACTTGTTACTGTCAATAACCAAGCTGCCCGTCGTTCCTGACAGGCAAAACTAGACGGATCACGTATCAACGGCCTAACATTTGCTAGATGCTTGGTTGGTAGAGGACTGACCAACGCAGCAGAGTACATACTCTCTTACTCAAGAATCACAGATCAGAGACCCAGCCGCCATGCCAGCCAAACAAACCCAAGCCCAATGATCACTGCAAAGCAGTTACAAACATCTGTGAAGATCAAATCTCGGCATAGATCTTTTTAAATTGTTACTGAAAATCTGCCGGATAGTCCACCGAGATTAAATGCACTTTTTTAGAAATTTTGTCCGTCTTGAGATGGATGAACACAGCTTAGCTCACTAAGTTAACCATAACTACAAGATCAACACAATGAGTTATACCATGTTTAGCAAAGGCTGGATTGGAATACAAAATACATATCCCGTTGGCGGGAAATCATTTTTCTTAAGAAATGAAACGGGTCCAAGCGGCAGAAAGGCAACCCAAGTGAAACAAGGTTTAACAAAGGGTGCATGTCCTGTCAAATGAGAGGTTTCATGCTGAGACCGTTTCAAAGCCAAGAACATTGACACATCATGCCCCAGTCCACAGACTGTGCTTCAGGTACATTTTGCGGGGCAACCCGTTGGCGTGCCATCAACGCGGTTTAGCTAATCAATGCGCTATAGCCAGTCAAGGGTCCTGTTTTCCATGAAACCAACAAACATATAGTGTTTGAGATAGTAAAAATGATATATATTTGCCAATAGAGAAGGCACAAATACAGCAAGCTATAATACAGGGTGAAAATTAAACAAAAAGAGGCAGTAAAGACAATGTGCCTCTTATAACTATAGTTTTCTTTACAAATACAGTGAAGAGCTTTCGCTATGATGCAGCATTCAAACCGATTCGCTTTAGAAACTAGCATCGTCCTTGTTCATGATGGTGCCTTTGCCTGAATCAAGCTTCTCCAAATCTCTCTTTTCTCCGCCGACTACATCTACGTTTCCTTCAACATTGGTATTGTTGACTTGTCGGGCGACGAGGAAGATCAAGGGCAAAGAGATGGCGACCAGCGCCCAGCAGATAGCGAGCTCAATCACAAGGTCGGTGTGAACGGCATCAATACCGAAAGAGATAGCACCACCAGCGGATTGAACAGCCTTGTAGAAACCGGCATAGCGAGCAAGAGTATTGGAGTCGTTGCTCATGGCTCCCATAAGCCAGTAGAGATAGGATTGATAAAGAGCATCAGTGAAGCCATACATCAAGTAAAGGAAGAACGGGCCACCAAATCCAGGAGTGTTCCAGTTGATGGGGGTAGAGAAAGAGCGGTCAAAGGTGAGTTGGAAGGCAAGACCACCAGCCCAAACTGCCATAGAGACAGCAGCTGTCACGCCCAAACCGAGAAGACCACGCGTGCGACGGGGAAGGCCCTTGTAATCCAAAAGGAAACCCAACATGATGGAGGCAAGAATTTGAGCAGCCCAGTAAACCACACCATTCAAGGCACGGGTTTGGATATCGAAGTAGATGGCATTCAAGCCGAATTGATAGGCATAGAACCAGTTGGAGGCAAGGAAAGCTGGGATCAAAGCAAGAATGCGCCACTCAGAAACAACTCGAAGGACACCCTTGAGTTCTTCCTTCCATCCCAAATTGGCGTGCACTTCAACTGTACTGCCGTCCTTTCTAACCACTTTGGAAGGAGGGGCAATGAGCACACAAAGAACAGTACCTACGCCCATGATGACGACGAACACTGTGTAGGTAGCAGTGGAGACACCACCATGACCACCATTGGTCAAGTTCATTCCAAGCGGAATGAGGGAGCCGAGGACACCACCAAGATTGAAAATGGTCCAAAAGATAGATACAAAACGACCCTTTTCTTGTTCACCTGGATAAGCCATCATGATAGCACCTTGTGCTGTCCAGAAAACACCAGCGCAGCAACCAAGAATGGCACCGGCAGCGATAACGAATCCACTATTTTCCTTGACATCGTATACCCAGAGAGAAGCGCTGTAAATGATATAACCTAAAGTACTGACCTAATAAAAAAAAAGATAAGAGGTTTGAATGAGTGAGATGATTGAAAATTTAACAGATCAAGCGCGCTATATCACTCGACCTACCATAAGGGTGTACTTGGGACCAAAGGTGTTGACCACAGAACCAGCGAAGAAACCAACAATGGCAAAGCAAGCATACAGGGCAGCGTTGGCGGAGTCGACCAAGGCGACATCTGAACCCATTCTGCCTCCTGCTCCAAGACCAGAGAGGGAATTGAACATGCCTGGAGAGCAGAAGGCGACGAAGCCCAGAATGATGATCTGGGCTAGCGGTGTGTTGAGGCGGGAAAGCATGTAACGGACAATTTAGAGTACAATTCAGGGTTCTAAAAAATAGAGGGTCCTTTTTATATGAAAACATGGAAGATTTCTCGGAATGTTCTTGTTCCAGGAATGCATTGAACTACGCCAGTCAAATAACAACAATAGCGTAGAGGTCTCACTCAGTGTCCAATCACTGCTCGTCTGCCTGTTTCAAGTCCATCCTATAAGGTAGGACCCTGAGACTGCCCTCTTCACATGGGAAAATATATGACTCGTATCATGGCCTGATGGTCCCCATGGGGACTTTTAACTTGGTTCCAAATCTAATAGGTTCGTCCGTCATCTCGGCATCAAAATGCATAGTATGATTGCTCGTACGGTGGCAAAAGAGAATACATATTTTTTTTCATGTTTAATGTTTTGCACAGAAATGAAAGAACAAATGGCTAGGAATATTAAGAAAAAACGAATGCGGGGATGACTTCTAATGCAGCAAAGAGAAAACGTAGAAATACAAGAATGGGAGATCGTAAACAGGGTTCGTGAGAATTCAACGGCGTGAATCCCGTGCTAATTTGGATTCAAGTGCTTCCAACACTTCATGGAGTTCATCCTCTTCAATCACTGGGCCGCTTCCAGAGCATTTGGCCTTGAGCTTGAGTTGGACACAAAGTTCGTCGATGTCGAACTCCTCGAACTGTGGGTGCTCACATAATCTCTCCCACACCTGGCTGCAGGTAATGAGTTGCTTGCCAGGTTGCATGGTTGCTGGATGAGGCTCATGCTTGAAAGCATCCGATGTTCCAGAGGCTAAATCGTATTCATCGCTGTCTTCCTCTTCTGGGCTGTCAGGTAGAAAGTTCCTCCGGAATGTGGAGAACTTGTTGCTGCGCCTTTGCTTTGAATGTTCCATGCCGTCACCATTGATAGGTGAAGTCACGATGGGCACAGGTTCAATCGAATTGTTGACTTCACCAGAAGTGTCAAAAATCGATTCAGATAACAATCGTTCGTATGCTGATGTGCAAACTTCGTCCTTGAGTTTTTCGCAAAATGACACTCCGTCTTTCGTAGTGTGGCAGCCGCTGCCACAATGTCTGGAACCAAGATTGGATTTACTGGGAGTGGACGCTTCCTCGTGGGGGCCAGTTGAAATATCCATGGCGTCAGGGTCACGGATGCGGTCTTCAGACCGAGGGGACCCTGAATAATCGGATCGCATATTGTCGGCAGCAGATTCAGGAGTGTTCATGGACAAGGAGGGTGTGTTGATCGACGATAGACTTTTGCTTTTCAGGTGAACAATTTCAGCTTCTAACTTTTGAATCAACGTCATGAGGTTTTGATTGGTTTCCAGCAGACGATCTGTTTCCTGTTTATGAGCTTGCTCCATGTGCTTAATCTTGGTTTCCAATTCATGCACGTATTTTTCTTTTCTCTCTCGAAAAGCTCTTTGCGCTGCTCGATTTTGTGCTTTTCTTCTGGCTTTTGCTTCGGTAGTATCCTGTGATTTGTCTCTATTTTAGCATTCCTTTTGCTTTATACAATAAAAAAAATTGACTTACCATTTCCACGCCAAACCCTTTGTCTGAGACGATAGAAAAAATGAATGCAAGCGAGTGGGTAGAAAGGAGGAAACTGGGGTTAGGCTAGTGTATGAAGGCCGAGCATATGCCACAATGTTACTGTTGTCGGAAGCGGGAAAAAAAAATTACCTGAGCTATGGCCATCAGACGAAGGCGAACGAGTGTCATTAACTAGAGGAGTGGGAAGGCACATAAGCTTACATGAAATTATTGCAGAGAGAGTGTCTATTGAACAATGCTCACCATGTTTCTTTCGGTCATGTTCGTCCATTGCACCTTGGTTATCCCACTTGCGCTTGTCGTGGTCAGAAGCGATGCTTATAAATGGCAGAGGATTGTCAAAATTGGTCAACGGCAGCGGCTTGGAAGCTATGGCACGTGGCTTAAAGGCGGACCACTGAAGTGAATGCTGTGAATCGTTGGTAAATTGTACGTCGGCTGTGTCGTTCATGGCGATGCCAGCAGTAGTTCAGCAGTGAAGAGTTTAAAAAGAAAAAGATTTTGATGTTAAAAATTGAGGTCTATTTCTCAGCCAGCGGGAAATGGCTGCACGCCGCCCAAAACCTCCCATCCAATCACCCTTGATTATAAATTATGTCGCTGCTGCTCTTTCTTGCCTGACGGCTTCACGAATGAAACATATTTTCTATCAAGCCAGAATTGCTTCCTTCCATTGATGATGACACGGCTATACTGTTTCCATTAGATGCATATACAAGACATCCAGATGGATGAGGTCAGACTGAAACACCAAGGGAGAGGGCTATGCTGCTAGATGCATGATTTGAAGTTCCACTTCCAAGAAAGTAGGGTGAGTTCGGAGAAGACAACAATGGTAATTACTCCTGGAGCCAAATGAGATAACGTCGATACTGCTAGCCATGTTCCTTGTCGTAACCACGCACCATTTGCTCAGCTCATATAATTGCACCAATTTACATGTGATGAAAGGGACAAAAGTTATATTAGAAAAATAAGAGAAGTAAAAGTACAAAAGCTATTTCAGGTTATTGATCTTTTCAAACCAGAATGCTATCCGAATGCGCCAAGTTTCCGGACCAACGGTGACAACGATACTGCCAGCGATAACAGCGGAAATGACTGTGAAACAAAACATGACCAGACAGGCTCGGGCCCACCACACATTAAATGGATTGCGACTATTGATACAGCAGCAAGCGCCTATGAGCCACAGAGGAGGGCACAGCCTATATCAAAGCAACAAAAGATTAGCTAGGGTATTGCTCTGTGAAAACCACGTAATGGCACTTACCATCCTAATAGAAATATCAGCGCTGCAGAGGGGAATCCTTGATAACGATAGTATACTTCAGCTCGGTCATCGAGCAAAGCCTGACGCTCTCCATAGTGACCTCTCATTCCACCGTGACGGACAACGTCATGTCGGGAGTTGGTCTGCAGGACGGGTAAACTGGGAGGAAGGTCATTGTAGTCTTGAATATAAATGGCGGTTTCTTGCGCAGGCGGAGCGGAGGGTTCAGGAAGCTCTTCCGGAACAGTCGGGTAAGGGTTCTCGTATAGCGTGGCTTGGTTAGAGGGTTCTGGTGCCAGGTACGGAGGCGGTGGGTCGACTACTTCTCTGGGATCGTGGTCTCCAGATTCAAGTTTGGACTTCTTGGTCATGCTAATCTTGCCAAGGAGAGTGAAAAAGTAAAATTGCCCGAAACGTCGGGCTCACGCTTTTTCCCATTTTAATAAAATTTTGACCCATTTGCACGTCATGGTAACAAGGGACGACAATGGTACCGCTAAGCTTGTTGCCACTGGACCACATCACCTTACAGACGGTGCATTGATTATCCTCTTAGTGTAGTCATGTGTGAAATACGCAAAATTCAGCGCTCATTCGTATTGTTTCTTTTCACTTAATTGAGTTTTTATATAACTTGCTGGTTTCTGCTCAACAACTGCTATTTAATTTTAGATATGGTATATGAACAAAGCCGTTCTACTTTTTGGTTACTACACTAATGGTCTCCTAGCCTACTGTCGCTCCAAATCCCGACCACCATCAGATACATCTTCTTCCTCTACCAAAGTATCATACGCATAAGAACTGAGTGGATATGTCGTACCGTCGCCTTCTCTGTAAAAAAGTTTTAATTAGATCCCTTGCCACACAATACCATAATAACTAGCACGGATACTTGCGGTTTGCCGGTCGGAATAAACCAGTTTGAAACTTTGGGTCCTAACACCTGCATAACATTCTCCCTTCAAAGTGGAGTGGGGTTAGAATGCCAGAATTTATCTAATTTGATACACATAGGATACTTACTTTCTACCAAGGTTCCAGGCATTAAAATATCGGCTTGTCAGGACATCCCGGTTTCTTCGATGCCCCATGATAAAGTTGGATCGTTCGTAAGATTCGATGGTTGTACGATTTTGCATTAATTGATTGGTGTGGAAGCCTGTGAAGGGTACTAAAAAGAGGCCAAACAGACCCGAGAAGAACACCAGAAAAGGCCAATTCAAGTCCAGACCGAACAGACCCTATAATCACAGCATTGGTTCAATGGTAGGCTACCTATTGCTACTACACGCAAGCGACTTACCAATGGCTGATTGACCATCCTGAGTGTCTCTGGAAGAGTAGTAGCAAAGATGATGATGCAGTATAAGCTGCAATAGACTAGAAAGAGATAAAAAGGTTTGTGGTTTTGGTGGCCAATGCAATTGTTCAGCCTAGAAATAAGCAGGTTAGGTACAGATGCCATTAGCTTCATTATACGCTCGAGATCTCAACATACCATGGACAATGACTATTAAAAATGACCACCATAACAAAGGTCAGCATACGATTCTCCATGTTCTTAGCACGCCAATAGCTACTCTGCCGTTCAGTAACTTACTGGTCCATTTTCAAGACACATCTATAAGCGGAGAAATTTTGGTGAGTCTTATAGCATTCCCATGGCGGGCATTTTGACAGCCCTGTTTGACAATATTGCTAAAGTCAAGTCTTACTTTTTGCATGTTCGACAGTGATGTGTTCGGTCGTATTTCGGTAAATTACACTTTTGACAGAATCGTGCTCTTCCATCTCGCTTGACCATGACTGTACTTGGCCGAGATCCTCGTTGTAATAATGGCTGCATACCAACATCTGCTGGATTGAAGTGTCAATATGTTGTGGCTACACTAACATCAGATCTTGCATTACCTCCTAAACTCTGACTGATACCGGCTGGGGTCTCATCCTCTTGTTGTGTCAAGTTGGGTGAAGCTAAAGGGAACTGCAGACGGCATGGTCAGTGATAACCTCCACTCATCGGACTTTTTTCATCCGTCATACAGGGCAAAACGACCTACATTGGCAGTATAGCCCGGTGAAGTTCGGACAGCTACTATATAAGACCACACCATCATCACTGATACCGGTTGGAATATGACTAGGTATGCAATGCCTGATTTTCAAGAGAATTAGCTGAATATCAACCGATTGTGGCCATGTTGGAGCATGGTCTCACCTTGAAGGACATTTCCATCAGCTATCAAAGTCCAGCAAAAGCTTAAATTGTATGCGAGATAGCTCCAAGAAACTAGAAGAGCAACCAGCACAACCGGTGAGAAGTTGACGGTGGTTATGATGGCATTCTGAATTTTGTCCAGTGTGCCTTTGGCCATTGGAAGGTTGGAGTGCTCGAACAGTCGCGGTCACAAAATTTGGGCAAAATCTTGGACAAAAACGGCGAAAGCCAGGCGCGCGCGTTGACAATTGTAGTTTGTTCTGACGTTCCAAATCCGACATCATGCACGCGATGGATGACGGGCACAGTCAAGACGGGTAAGTGATCCTATATTCTCATATACCAACCTTAATTGCTGTTGTCTGATGCATTGCACAGGAAGGAACCATTGCTCTCCACCCCTTCCGATCAAGACTTTACGGTGCCGGACGAGATTTTGAGAAAGACAGCCGAGTACACTGAAGTGTCTGACGCTGAGAACCCGTACATTCTCAATGAACAGACTTTTCGTCAGCAGTATGCCAATATCTATTTTATTCGACTTACAAAATTGAGAGCCGCAACCCTTGAGGCAGCCCGGGAGCGATGGTCAGGTTTGCCAGGTACGTCTTAGCCACCCAAGGCTCTACAGGAGGCGTGAAAGGAAGGTTAACCAATTACGCTTTTCGTAGAGAAAACCGAGTATGTCTCAAAGGTGCTGGATGTGGAGGCTGGCAAATTGTGCTATATCATTGGAACCGTCTATATGGATATGCCTCTCAAGCCTAATATTCTTGAAGACATTACAAAAGAGGTGAGCATCGTTAGTGGATTGAAAGGAAAAACTTGTCGCTCCAAGAGAATTAAATTTATCTCCTACAGAATTACATTGTCTCCCAACCACCACCACCAAAATATGTTAGCGCGGATGCCACGGTGGCCATGGAAGATGAATCCGGAAGAGTTGTATTGAGCGGCACCAGATTGCAATCTGAAAACCTAGTCACAGGTAAGACGGTAGTGAAGATGGAGCCTTGGTTGTTAAACGAAAGCTTTCATGCCAGTCGGGTGTTCCATCTTTTGCTAAACTTCCTCCTACAAATTTCATAGGAACCATCATTGCGGCGTTGGGCAAGGAAAACGCTTATGGAGAGTTCGAAGTAGTAGATATTTGCACACCCGGTTTACCCGATCCAAATCCTACACCTAGAATGGAGATTGGTAAGAGATACCGTTACAGACTCTATGCGCTCATCTCACGTCAGGATACTAACTTCTATACTACAGACACTCCTGACAACAAGTATGTTGCGCTGCTCTCGGGATTGAATTTCGGAGCAGGTGGAGACAGCAGTATGCGACTTGAGATGCTACTAGAGTACCTCACCGGTGAATTAGGAGATAGTCAGGTATGTGGCAGCCGGTATGTGGATACGTATTTTATGTTGCTGACGTGTCGAACCACCGCTCTTGGGTCGCCTTTACCATAGGACTCGCAAGCTTCACAATCAATTGTTAAAGTAGTACTAGCTGGAAATTCGGTCACAGAAAGGAAGGTTATTGTGGATGACAAGAAACCGGTACGTTACATAAGGTCAAGCTGCGATTTGAGTATCCAACTTATAACCAACGACGCCTCAATCTCGCTTGTAGAAAAAATACGGCTACGATTCAACTATCTATGATGCTTCTCCTGTCATGGCATTGGATAAGTTCCTTCAGCAGTTATGTTCAAGTGTCAACGTAGATATAATGCCTGGCAAGAACGACCCTTCAAACGCACACCTTCCACAACAACCCTTGCATCACTCACTTTTTACCACTTCTCACAAGCTATCGTCTCTCAAGCCCGTTACCAACCCACACTGGTGTGAAATAGATGGTGTTAGGTACGTTGATGGCACATCTTACTCGTATTTACAAGTTGTTTAACGATGAATCAACAGTTTCTTGGGAACGTCAGGACAAACGATTGATGATCTTGATAGGTATACCGAGGGTTGCGAACGAATCCAACTGGCTGAATTCACAATGTCCTGGCGACACATTGCACCATCCGCTCCAGATACGCTATGTGAGTATTACATGTTCAGCTTGATTGCCCTGTCAATATTGACTTACGCATGATTCATTATTCTTCTAGGGTGCTATCCATTCCAAGATCGAGACCCTTTCATCGTTGAACAATGCCCGGATGTCTATTTCATAGGGAATCAGCCCAACTTCGACACCAGTGAGCTTGTAGGGTCTAAAGGACAACGCGTTCGAGTCATTACCGTTCCCTCGTTTTCAGAGACTGGCTGTCTTGTGCTTGTCAACCTGTCATCTTTACAATGTAAACTAGTTTCTATTTGTCCTCCCGATAACTCATCATAATCCCCCGCATATGTGTGGATTTTCGCCTTATCACCCACCCTTACACCCTCGCCAAACCATAAACTCTTTAAAATAAAACTACGCATTAAAAGGATTAGTAAAGGGTATATAGCTTATTTGACTTTTGAGAGCATGCATATCAGTCCCTTTTGCGAATGGCCATTACGAAGATCGTCCAGTATGCTTATGAAATTTAACACTAATCCAACACCATTACTGTTCGCCAATTTAAGTTGGTCAGAGCGTCGAACGACCCTGACGATAGCATTATACATATGTTATTTTATTTCATTCATGCCATAACCACAGAATGCAACCTAATTATTCCTTTTCTATAGAATCACTGTCAGAACCCTCTTTCTCAAATTTACCAATAGCTTGACCCATCTTCACTTTCTGTCCTTGCTCAAGAGTGAATTTGAAGTTGGATGGAGCTTCGAAAACAAGGACAACGGTGGATCCCAAATAAAATCCGCCAACCTCTTCGCCACGACAAACGGGCTTGCCACCCAGTCGCTTGCTGGCCGACTTGTAGGAGACTTCGGTATAAGTGCCAGTGGCAAGATCCTCCTTGCGGTTGGTCCTCAAAGCCTCATCGAAATTAATCTTGATGGAACCAACATTGGTGGCTCCAACAGGAATCATGGAGAAGAAACCATGTCGCCATTTGCCCATCAATACAACACGCTCGTTAAGAACAAAGAGGTTTTCTAAAAGCTTCACAAAGTAGGGCGAAACAGAGAAGAGTTCGCCTGTGGGTGTAACGGAAAGGTCAGTTCATCAATCAAGGTACAAGACTTCTCTAAACATGTCGCTGATTCTTACCTGCAAAATGTCTACGCATCTGAACAACCCAGTCAGCGGGAGAGTGGAATCTATGGTAATCTCCTGGAGCAAGATAAATGACGGCGAAAAACAATGAGTTGCCAGGTTTGGTCCTGTGGCTCAAGTCACCGCTAGGTTCGACATCGGCAAGTCGGACAAGCTCTGAGGATTTCATATTGGATCGATCATCCTTGGCTTCTCGAGCAAGTCCATCTGGTCCAACTGAACTTGCTGTCTTCACTGCGTTATCGCTGGATCCCAACATGTCATCTAGAGAGTAGTTGATTCCATTGACGTTGGCAAATTCTTCCTCATCGACAGCACCAGTGTGAGGATCGAATCGTACATCTTCAATTGCTCTTGTAGAGCTGTTATCCATGCCCAACAAAGCGTCCAAAGAGTAGGTGACGCCTTTAATCTGTTCAATGTTGCGCTCCTCTACAACACCGAAATGTAAAACTTTTCCGTCTGATGGCGAAACCTGTCATATTAGAGGTGAGCACTTCTTGACTGGGACATTTTGAGTTTGTAAATAAATTACTTACCAGAGGGGCATTGGCCACCGGTCGAGCTCCTTCTTCCAATTCTCGGTAGAAAAATGCAGATAAGTTGGGATAGGCTTTCAAGTCCTTGACCTTCATTTCATCTAGGTTGCAACCAAAAATCCAACTATATAACTTGAATCCAGCAGGTCTAAGGAATTCGGGAATATTGATCGAATTGAAAGCTCCCCAGAGTCGGGACATGCTTCTCAATGGAAGGGCCGCTGCAACATGAACCTGCCATGGTCCACTGGCTACGTATTTTCGACGAACAACTTCATCACCATCTTGTCGCTCTCTCTCTCGTTTCACCACTCGTCGATACTGTAAGAAGCATAGAAACCCGATACCGAGACCAACTGGAATAGGCGTCCACTTGACTTTGGTGTCTTTCCAAGCAGAAAATAGTTTTTCTGAAATGCAAATGCCAAGATGCGTCAGTACTAGAACCAACAGCGCAAATGCCAATGCGCTCGACCGTTGTGTATTTCTCGAGCATTATATATTTACCTCGATATGAGCGCTGCTGCTGTTGTTGTTGGCTGTATTGTCGTAATGACAGTGGCTGAAATTGTGTTGCCTGGGGGAATCGTCTTGCATGAGCTCGGACAGCTACAGGTGAGCTGAAAAGCCCGGAAACCAGTTTGGTCGAACCTTGTTTGCCTATGCGCAGCATTACAATTTCGAATGAGAGTATAGTAACCAGTAACGTTAGAAAAAAATTATGAAACAGTGCCTTTTGGTTTAGGTGGGACTGTTGTTGTCCCGACAGACCAATCGCAGCGAGAACGATGAATTTTCCCTGTAGTTCAAAATTACCATGTTGCAATTTTTCTTGATGTTATCGAGACCAGTTTTTACTAGCATATGTAGCCATTTTTTCAGACCGTTTCTTTTTCAGTGATTATCTTTTCACATACTGAGTGTTACATTGAAGCTACCTCCTACGCATTGAAGCCTAAATGTCTTCTACCTATTGTGCAAAACGGTTTACGAGTATGCTTTTCAAATTAGCACACCGTTTTGAAGACGCTACTGGTCATCCTTTATTCCCTTCTACTGTCTTCGTATCTTTTATTCGTCAATTCGGTTTACTTCAAATTAGCGCCATCTTGAACAGCGCTTCGGTTGAAAACCAGCCTTCATCCCTATAATCAAAGACTTCTGTGTTAATTATTGAATCATTACCCAAATTTCCAAGAAACTTTCTAGCGCCTTATTGTAGTATTTCTGCCATTACACAGAAAATAGCGCTAGCATTACATTTGAATTATACGCCATCTGGCATGAAAGAAACAATCAGCCTTAAAATGCCTATTGTGTGCCAAAAGAAATCCGATCGTTCAAATCGAATCAAGCGAACCAATAGAGTGATCAAGTCAGTTGAATGAGACATTATTCATAATGCTAACAAAAGTATGCAAGCTCATTGACTCTGTGAGGGTCACGCACAATCTACTACATTTCATTAAAAACATTTAGCAACTATATTTCAAAGAACTTACTACTTCATTTTTTAAAGGTGGATTGTATGTAAACTGGGTCGCAGGATTCTTTGGGTTGTTCAAATCTACAAGCGGCCAGATGTTCAATAGCGGCTTTGTACACCTTGATGTAGACAAGCGGCGCCAAAAATTTGCTGTAAAATTAATGGTTAAAGGAAAATATTTCGGACAAAGCAGGGTCTCTGAGAAGTACAAACAAATGAATTTGGTGAAGGTTGCCGCCATCGTTTCCAATTTCAGTCGCAAAATACCTCATCGCTGGTTGATGAGCGGCCTTTGAATAAAGGCTAGCCAATCAAAAAAATTGACCCCTAAGTGACTCGAACACTTAACCTTTCGCTCTGGAGGCGAACGCGCTACCAATTGCGCCAAGGAGTCAGAACTTGGAATTTGAAACTGCAAAAAAATTATGTCTCATTCAACCTCTGATGATCCCAGTAGACCTTACCGACATTCCGTAACTTCTTTCCGGGGAAGAGTCTTTCGGAGAGGTGTTCTATCTAGTAAACTATATACTTCTTTCCTCAATTTTCTTTTCTGGTCCCTAATAGAGAAGTTTCTCCAATTACACCTTTTCGCATTCTATTCTTAGAATTTATTGAACTGTTTCAGTCCCGTTCCTTGAATATTGCTCTCCCAAGCTACCTTTTTTTTTATGCCTCTCTTTCTTTATTCAATCCGCTATATAGCACCCTGTCAGAAAAAAATTTCACCATATTTTTTAATCATTAATTGCCAACCTCACCATAAATTACTCGATATAATTGTTTGTTTCGAACCTTCATTGTGTAAAGACCCACGAGGGCTATAAAAACCGGACTCCTTCAATTCTAATAAAGACACGTTTTTTTCTGAGAATTATTTAACGGACTGTCAGTTGGTACTAGAAGCACAGACTGTCTTTTACAACTTAACCTAGAATAATTTGACTGAGAAATGATACATTGTCAATTCATAAATACCATATCTGTTGCATTGAAGACTTGGCTTGTATTATTAATATAACGCTATAGATTTTGGCGCCATCATGCAAACAAAAGATATACATAAACGTAGCTACTGATCTCATAACCACTTGATATCAGCAAAGCTAATGTTCGGAAAGAGTAAATTACTAAGTTATAGGGCTGAGTTAATTAGAAAGTTTGATTGCACTATAGCAAGAAAAAACTATCATTTTTGTTGTCAGCGCATTCTAAATGAACCAAACTTAGTATTCGAAATACCTTCCCGAACAATTTAAATCACATTGCTGTTCTTATTTTTTAAGGATCTCGCATATAGTATGACAAGTTTTCAATTGAAATGTCAAAGCTCTGATATTGGACCTTAATCATGCTACCTCTAATATCTCACGCTCTATCTTCTATATCTAATACATTGTGGTATTATGAATAAAGTCGGTTAAAGCATCAATTATTCTATTACCTAGCGCTACTGCCTAAGAAAGAAAATTATGTATCATTCTTTTCCGCTTAAAAAATTTATGCCATTGCAATGGCACATTTTTACTGGCATAATGGAAATACCTCTATCCATGCTATTTTCAAAAATATGATAAGAAATCCTTTGAGCTAAATTCTAACTATTTTGTGAGCATGAATTGAAATGTTGATGCGATTTTCCTTATTACAGTGGAAAGATGGGTTTCTCCTGTGAATTAAGATTCTCACTTATACGTAAGCTGGTTTATATACTATAATATTCGTTTGGATGCCATTTCATCGCATCCATATGATCAACACTGATATACCAGAAAATTTCTAGTGATAATCAGCGTTGGACTAATAGGTTGTGCCGAAAGCTTCCTAATTGATTTTTAATTGGCGCACCAACCAATATATTTTTTCTTGGATCATAATAAATACCTGGGGCAAAAGTTCGCCTTGTCTCTTGTTTTATTTGTTGAAGTTGAAAAGGAAAAAAAGGAAAGGTGTAGCTCCTACCGTCATAATACAGCGGATGACTGATGACCATTATCAATGACGATGTCAAACAACTCATATATAACCTACAGAGATAGCATTCATTCATTTTCTACGATTTGCAAATCGGAAATAGCTTGTTCTTCTATGTGGTCATCTCTTTGTTTTCTTCTCCGACGGCTTCGTAACTGACTTCCGGCTGCTTTGAGTCTTCCTACTCCGACAGGTCTGTCGCCTAGCCAGATTCTTTCAAATTCAGCATCGGTCTCTTCAAACAGTCTTTCGAACTCGGTTTCTTCTATCTGGCAGCACTGCAACCGATAGCAGAGTTTGATCGGTTGCCCTCCTCCTGTCTGCCGATCTAAGCCGTATGCTTTCACTAACATAAGGGATCTAATATCGTGGATGATAGCAACGTCCGTCCACGAAGAGCTTGGATTTTTTGTCTCATCTAATGCTTCTGTCAGTTCTCCTACTCCTAAGGATCTACCTTCGGCAAATTTTAGGATCTTCCAACCTTTCAGCTTTTGCAGTACACGTTTTACATCTTCTTCTTTGACAAGCTGGACCTCAAATAATGTACCAAAGTGACTGACGTTGATCGGTACTGAAGCTCTTTCACAGTGTGCAACCAAATGGATAGCATCACGAGTACCTGGTAAGTAGCCAGTAAAGTTCGCCTGAGTATTCTGGAAGCTTAAAAAAGACAGATCGCCTTTTTGGATTGCCAGCTGGTGCAATAGTCGGTTACGAGATTCGAGCCCTTCTCCATACGCCAATGGCAAGTGTATCGAAAATATCCCTGCTAATGCATAAGCCATATCCTCTTCGCGTGTTGTCTCTCGAACAGCCATTCTCGCCAATATTTCAGCTGCATTCCCTTGTCGATAATATAGGTGAAGATCTAAAGTACAGAGATTATGGTGCTGCTCATCGGCTAATTCTTGCATGGTCACCAGGGTTCCTTCTTTTGAAATTCCACACAGACGGCCAGCTGCAGCACCTTCCTGTAGACACCAGCCTCTCTTGCACCATATACTCAGAGGAGTATCAGAATCCAGAACAACAGCAGCACAGTTGGCATACCACTTGTACATTGAACGAATGGCTTCATCAAGCTCCGATAAATTCGACTTGTCAATGCAAATTGTATCCATCCATACATATCGTGTATGCTTCCGTAAAGTCCTTCTGATTCGATGTAGTTTCTTTGACATTTCACTGATTGTTTCATCTCTCCACCATTTCTTGTTCGTCGTATCCTGATAACTTACTTCAACATCACTCCATCTGTGTGTGATAAATATGACTTCCCTGGCGTCGATATTATTCACCAGTTTATCTTGATGCAAATCCCATACTCGATTCACGACTTGTTTACGTCTATGACACCAGATGTCCATGCCGACGGCCTTCGCAGCAGCTATTGGTGATAGTGGACTGTGGACAGATCCTGTGCTGCAAGGACACTGGCGTCGATGACGAACCTGCCAACTTGCGGATGCTCCATTCTGTGAAGAAATTTCGGTAGAATCCAGTTCGGTACCGAGGATTGCTGCTACTAGCTTCTCAACAAGTCCATCTCCACCGGCTATACTAAGAATGCTGAGTCCTGCTATAAATATGGCATGCAAATCAGTTGC